ATGTCTCTCTCGTCGGAACATACTACACCAACAGAGTCCACGAGACAAAACGAACTGCGACAAACCCGCAACAAAATCAAAATCATTCCATATGTAATCAATATTTCATTCATATGATGTTTTAGTAGTATCTGTCACATTGCGGCAGCTTAGTCAGAAATTTTGGTATTCTGCGATATCCGAGACGTATTTTTCGCTGGATTATTTGTTTTGAAAGTTTATGAATGTAAATGGTTGAGCAGTGTAGACTAACTGCGGTTTTAATCCAAATTATAAAAAATGAATAATCGAATCGAAATACAAAACCGGCGAGGCGGGTATTCCCACGTCAGATGCTAGCTCCTCCTCACACCTGTGTTGCGGAAAAAGCAAGAACAATCGAGTACCGACATCCCCATCTTGATGGGGGGAAAAATATTCCTTGAATATTGGCAGAATACTTCAACTTTAGATTAACATTCTACTCGAAAATAGCAAGCCATCTCGCTTTTAAAAATCAGTTCGCAAAAATTCAACCTCTATTTATATTATTAAAAGAAAGCTCGACAGTAAAGTGTGTGCAGTGTGAACAATCCAAAAAATATATAAATTTATGCTCTGGTGTTTTATATCATTCTTATTTCTCCCGCGTAGGATATATTTTGAATGGCTGACGTCGATTACAAACTTGATTGATTAAGATAACAATCGCGAGTTAAAAATATTTTATAAATTAAATTATGTATTGAATATTGTTCTGAATTTGAGTATGAATTCCGCCACTATTTTAACCCTAACTCAACCAAACTTGAATTTTGTCGAAACAAGAATCCCAGGGTGTACGGTAGGGAGTAAGGCAAAAAATGAAGACGGTCTGACAGGTCAATTTTGAATCGAGTTGGTCAACCACAATGATGATTTCAAATATCCCTGTAAATATTGCAGTCTAGTCCACGCATCACATAACTAATCCAATCTAACCAGAATACTGCTGGGGGGTTGTTGACCACTGTGAAGCTAGCAGCAAATTTAAAACTTGCTCATTGAACAGAACGTTGGCAGAAAAAAAGGCCGTGATCGAAATTCACACACGAAATATAAAATTGACAATGCCAAATTAATATAAAAAAGGAATAAAGGAAGCAAAGAACAGGAGAGGGGGCAATTTCATCAATTCAAATCAAAGATATAATCATAAAGATTGTAAGCAGTAGAGAAAATTTTTTAAAGTTTTAGAATTATGTCAATCATTCGACTGAATTTTGGTATTCTGAAGCAAAATTGACGTAACTTGCATATGGCGATTTTGGTGATTTTCAAAGCCCGGCATTTAAAGTTCATTTGATTTTGCTCAGAATCTTTAGGGCTATAGCTTTAATTTGAAAAAACAAAATCAGACCCCTCTTGATCGAAACACCATGCTGCTGGGCTTTAAAAAGACCAAAATCGGCAAATCGTCATATGCGAATTACGTCAATTTTGCGTCAGAACACCAAAATTCAATTAAAAAATTGACATAATTCCAAGTTTTTGTTGAAATTCATTCACATTTGCTTACTGTTTTTATGACTATATCTTCAAGTTGAAATATTAAAATCAGCCCCTTCTTGACCGAAACACCATGCTGCTGGGATTTGAAAATCACCAAAATCGTCATATGCGAGTTACGTCAATTTTGTGTCAGAATACCAAAATTCAATCGAAAAATTGACTTAATTCCGAGTTTTCGTTAAAATTAATTTTACTTCTCTTACAATCTTTATGAACATCTACTATTTAATTTAAGATAATGAAATCAGCCGGAACACCATGCGCTGGGCTTTGAAAATCACCTAAATCTCTATATGGGTGTACCTACGTCATTTTTGTCTAATAATACTGGACCGAAATTCAGTAGAAAAATTGATAACTTTCTAATTTTTTTGTTTGATGTTTGATCTGCATTTTTTTAAAAGGCTTGAACAATAACCTAATGCGTTAGTAGTTGCACCCTATGCATTTTGACACATACGTTTGTTTTCAACACAAGCCAAACTCGCGCCCCAGTTATTAAGCGCCAGAAGAAGCGCAATGGAACACGGTGGAGCAGGGTTGCCAGATACCAGCGATAAAAAAATCCAAATCAAGACATAAAAAAGCCAGAAAAAGCCAACAATTTTACCCCAAGTACAAAAACCACATGATTTAAAGCCCTTGGCACAATAGTGGATTTGCGCAGTTTGAAATATGCTGATGTAGAGCCATCAATTCATTTAGTGAACCACACAGATGTGTTTTCTCATTGAAAGTTGTATTTTCGGTTGCTATCGTGGCGATTTCCACTTCAGTGGGATGGAGGGTTTAAAAGTAAAAAGGATTAATTGAATGGCAGCACCGAAATCTACATTTGACACAATACAGTCAAGCTGACATAAAAAAAAATGATAAAACCAAATGAAAAGAAATATCAAGCGGAAAGCATTATTTTACAATTAAATATAAACAATACAGGGTGCCGCTTCAGTATTCTATGTAAAATATCTTCATGTTTCTACCCAAATTTGTGATATATATTGCGAAAATTCTCCCTATACCGTACTTTATTATTGAAAAATTTTCATTTTTTAAATTTTGAAACCATCATTTTTATAAAAACAAGAGAGCTATGCTCAAATACATGGACACGTAGCGCCACCCAATGGCAATATTTTTGATGACGTCATAGCGAAAAAAAAAGTAATAGCCTTCTGGAGAAAAATTTTATCTTTAACCACTGAAAATTTCAAAGCAATTGGTCCCGTATTCGAAGAGAAAAGCGACTTTTTGAAACGTGACAAAGAACAAGAACAACAACAACAACAACAACATAATATTGAAACGATCGTTATGTCCACTACGTGTCCAAAAATTATCTAACCACATGTCGCTTATAGATGGTCTTCTGATGGCTTATTTTAGCGTAGGTAATCACATCTTTCGTGAGACAACATTTTGATTACTGCAACTAAACTAAAAAGCTCATCGGAAGGCATAATGACAATTAGAGTATACAACTATTTTTTGGAAACAGAACTAAAGTCTGACAAATAACACGCAAAACTATAAAAACGAGGCGATGTTTGCAACCTGCTTAAACATCTTTCTGAGCGGCTGCAGAAACTGCAATTGTTACGTCATTGTTGACTTATTTCTGATTGGTTATGGTTAAGCGTTAAGATAATGAAGCAGAAAATCGATGCTCGGGTAAATCCAAATGTTAAGTAGCTAAGCAATAGGCTATTGCTGCGCACTAAATATTGTGTTTTATATGATCTTAATAATAAACACTAGAATAGACCTAACAAAAAATCATGATAAAGCCTAACGGAAATTTCGACACCAAACGTGTTTGAAAAAAGCCAAAAATGTAAAACCTGGATTAAGCCAAACGGGAATTTCGACACCAAACGTGTTTGAAAAAAGCCAAAAATGTAAAACCCGGCGGTAAAAAAGCCAATATGGCAACCTTTATTTGGAGTGCCAACTCTATCAATAGCAAAGCAATGTGTAATGAGCACTGGTGCGTAGCGGGACGTCTGAAGGTGTAGAAATGCCATGAGTATAACATAAGCAGATATCGTGATAGCTGTCGAGCCTTACCAGCCAGCTGCAAACGCCGAATCGCCTCTAGCAAATTCAGATGAGTTTAGAAATGCAGGTGTACCAAAATTTAGCTGTATATTATTCTTCCAGCAGCTCGCTGCAAACATTGTTTTAAATATATTAGGGAAAGTTTCGTCTAATCGCCGGAGTGATTACATTGCTGTTGATGACATAAAAGTTATATTTCATAAAAGAAATGTTTACTAATTTAAATTAACCAGGACATAAAGAGATGTGACTTTATTTAACAGTCTTCCCAAATTTCGTAGAGACGTTTTACCGTTCCAGCTAGCTCAGTAATCAAATTACGCCGAACGTTGAGGTCATTCAAGTCTTTCCCCAGACAAAAAGTCGAAATTGATTGAAAGCATTGGTTCATCGGCAACAGTGACCGATATGAAGTTAACAAACTCAGGGTTGACACAATTTGCCATGGAAGGGAATATACGAAGAGACGCGTTCACCGATACCATACCAAGCTCGCTGCGTTCTGCAATCGGCTTGTAATATCTGAATTAATCATTTTTTAAACAGAATCGACGCGTATTTTATAAAATTGTTTTGAAACGCTGTCATGAATTTGAATCGCTGGGAAACGTGTAGTAGAGCTGTGCTAAAAAGAGGATAAGTTGGACGTGACATTTTTGAGACACCGGCATTTGATATCATAAAATAGGAGATATACATGCTATCACAGTATACTTCCCTACTAGACTCAATTCGTTATTTTCATGGAATACCTTGCATTAGTTTACAGATTGTCACTTATTGGAGATTACTTTTATCAGCTACTAAACTATAAGCAACAATGAAAGTGATATGTGCGGGAATGTCTAAAACTGGAACAAAATCTCTGCACGTTGCTCTTGAACAATTGGGTTATTCGGTTTATGATTTTCCTGAAGCATTTGACATCTACGGAAACGATTTTTATAAATGTTCGAGCAAAGGCTGGACTGTTGAAGACTTCCGACAAATATATGAGAATGTTGATGCTGTTGTTGACACTCCCATGTTCTATTTTTGGGAAGAACTTGCGGAAGCTTTTCCTGATGCAAAGGTTTGTTTCACTACGACACACTTATTATAATATGTCTGTGATAATCTTATGCAATGGAAGGGAATATACGAAGAGACGCGTTCACCGATACCATACCAAGCTCGCTGCGTTCTGCAATCGTCTTGTAATATCTGAATTAATCATTTTTTAAACAGAATCGACGCGTATTTTATAAAATTGTTTTGAAACGCTGTCATGAATTTGAATCGCTGGGAAACGTGTAGTAGAGCTGTGCTAAAAAGAGGATAAGTTGGACGTGACATTTTTGAGACACCGGCATTTGATATCATAAAATAGGAGATATACATGCTATCACAGTATACTTCCCTACTAGACTCAATTCGTTATTTTCATGGAATACCTTGCATTAGTTTACAGATTGTCACTTATTGGAGATTACTTTTATCAGCTACTAAACTATAAGCAACAATGAAAGTGATATGTGCGGGAATGTCTAAAACTGGAACAAAATCTCTGCACGTTGCTCTTGAACAATTGGGTTATTCGGTTTATGATTTTCCTGAAGCATTTGACATCTACGGAAACGATTTTTATAAATGTTCGAGCAAAGGCTGGACTGTTGAAGACTTCCGACAAATATATGAGAATGTTGATGCTGTTGTTGACACTCCCATGTTCTATTTTTGGGAAGAACTTGCGGAAGCTTTTCCTGATGCAAAGGTTTGTTTCACTACGACACACTTATTATAATATGTCTGTGATAATCTTATGCAATGTTGAAAATTGGGTATTTTATTGTTGAAGTGATTTTGCTCAATAAATTGCAGGTGATTCTTATGGTACGAGACAATCCAGATGTTTGGGTGAACAGCTACAGAAAACAGTTGAGAGATTTGAACGGATGGCATATGTATTACTATCCGTTTTTATCTGCAATGTGGAGAAAATTTTTCATATTCGGAACAAACGCTGGTAAGTCAAATTTACATTATATATATACAACTTGTAACCGGATAGATCAGAGTCGTCCAACCCGTGATCCGAGGGCCATTTCGAGTGGCCCGCGCTGTATTTTTCAGAATTGAATAAAAAAATAGAGTAAAATTATTTTTTGAGTGATGTAGTATATATACAAAGATGTAATACAAACGATTTGTTTATTTCCTGAAATGCGCTCTGCCATCCATTTCAAACGAGCCATGAGTGCCATTTTGAATCGAAACCAACTGGGAGGAGATATCGATACATAATGGTGCCATAATCGCTTACACACACTTGGTCTTTTACTAGTCTATATGACGTTATCGCAAAACAATAGAAGCCATTCTAAAACTGAGATTTCGGTAGGGAATGTAAATTATGTATTGTTCGGATTGCCAATGTTTTACGTCCGGAAATAAAAGAGGGGTTTGCAAAAATAGCCTGTCACAAACAGACAGACCAAAACTCGTCGCGTTGAAGAGCTTGGGAACTCCATAGCGGAAACTTTAATTGCAAACGCGGGAAATTTTTCATCGTATTCATTGGCGCTTGACAAAAGCACTGACATCAAGGTTACTGCTCAGTCGGCGATCTTCTTGCGGGGAGTCAATGATGATTTTGAAATTACCGAAAAACTCGCAGCCATTGTCCTTCTTAAGGGTACGAGTAGAGGCGTTGATTTGTTTGGATTTGTGATGAGAGTGATCGAGCGTCTTGGCTTATCTTTGGCGAAATTTTTGGAAATAACCACTGAGGGCACCCCATCAATGGTTGGGAAACAACAGTTTATTGTTCTAATAATTATAAAAGTTTGGTGTGGGGTATTCTTTGTTTTTTCATTAACCTGTAGTCAGTGTAACAAAACTAGAACTTAACTACCATGTTAAGTGGCCCGCGCACTTATTAGTAAACTACATGTGGCCCTTTGGCCAAAAAGGTTGGACGACCCTGGGATAGATGAACAAGGAAATCGAGTAACAACCTCTGGTTATTAACCTACACATGTTTCATATTCACAACTAACTATAAGCTCATGGAAGGATCTAAACATGAATCTCCACTCCTACAAGTACAAGTTTTCAGGAAAACAAAGAAACATTAATATAGGTATACCAGTAATAGGCTGGCACGCTAATCTCCCGTACATGTTGGTAGTTTCTACCTTTGAAGATTTGGGATTGAATAAAATTTGTATCATTGATAAAGATATTGTATCATTTGAAGGATTGCTTCCTTTTGGAAATTGGCAAAGCGTGTTTGGAATTGCAAGATATTGGCCGCAGGCAATAGAGCTTCCATTTAAACAGGCTTATAGGAGACACAACGCTCATGTTGTTCATGTAAGTTTTCCTATGAAATTTTTGTTTTATTACAATAGGTGGAAAGGGGAACATTCAATGGCTTTATTTTTTTTTCGTAGTTTCTTCTGTTTCTGCTAGGATAAATAAATAGGATAATTAAATCATACTCAGGGGGTATGCTGTGAACATTAGGTCAATTAACCACTTGCATATTTGTATTGATGGTACATAATTCATGGCCAAGTTCATCTTTCGAATCATAAAAGTATAGAAAAAAACAAAGAGCATAAATATTACCGGAATCGTAGTTAGTTTATCAAAACCTGTCCATCAGAAAATAACTGATTTTCCTAATTTTATATCAGTTTAAAGTTTGCTGAATGCCCTTTTAGCATAAAGCTTTTCTCGTTTTACACAGATTGTAGCAAAGGGATGAGTGCTTGCAGCTAAAGGAATATGCCGAATAGCTAGTCGGTAACGAAGTCATTAAGGATATATATTAATAATCCGAAAGTGAGTGCAATGCCACATTAACGAAAGTAAGCTTTCGCTAAAAGAGTAATTCAACCATATCAATTACCTGTTGTCTTCATGTAACTGGGTCTGTTGGTAATAATTATATGATTCGTCACTTGCAAATATGGCATCAATCGTTTTTGAACGTCGTAAACGAAATTATATAGATTCGAAACTATCTTTGCAAGTCGATTTTGTACCGATTAATACTAATCATTATCATAAAACTTTCACGTAAAACTATTATATTTCAGTCATGTCTAAAAGATCGGCTTCTAAAATATAACTGTTCGGAAGGTTGGGAATCACTGTGTGAATTTCTTGGTAAACCTGTTCCACTAACTGACTTTCCGTGGATTAATAAGAATGGAATAATGGCATATTCAATGTGGGAAACGCCATTTTTAAAAATAGCAAAAAAAGAAATGATTACAAATTTAAGCATTTTATTTGTAACTGGAATAGTCGGAGCAGCTGTATGTTTTTTTAAATTGAAAACATTCAGGTAATGTTGTACGCATGAAGTTTTTCCAAGATGCTTCGAGGAGCCATTATCTTTCAGTATCAAAATGATATTGAAAGATATAATTCTTTCAAACAAATTCCGTTTTCTAAATTTTATCATACAACTTTGTTTGTCCTTCGCATAATCTTATATTTTGCTATCTGTTAAATTCACACATATTTGAGTTTAATGAATGTTCGTATAATTATATTCATATTATTCATTTTTTTGCGATTCGAGAGGTAGAATAGGCTCGGCAGGGCTAATATCTCTGAGCCCCACAATGAAGGGCCTTCGAAAAAGCCAATGACGTCTTTACTTTACTATTAGGTTCAATTTTGGTCAGATTTGAAATCAAGTTCGCAAAATCATGTCCAAAATATTAAACTCTTCGACTAATGATCTACTGAAATGGTACATTACAGTTAGCGATATAGATGTGCGTCCACTTGAAATTGATTCGAACTGTCAATCTGTCATATATCCGATGATAGAGTGGTTTTTCCATTGTTAGTATAGCGTTGTTGTAATAATTCATAATGGTATCGTAAATTTTGGGGAAAATTGTACCCACATAATTAGCGCTTGATATTTTTACCATCACAATTTGGAAACTGAATCACTGTTGCTACATTGAATAAACATTGTAATTTTGTCAGCAATAAAAATAAAAAATGCAATAAAGCCTAAAACTAAGCTGGCAATAATTGACATGTTTTCTATTGCGAATGATACTATGGAATAAATGGTTGGCAGATTGGTCGTTAACGACGAATGGTACTTGTACTTGACGTTACAGCTTTCCACAAAACGCCTTGAAACGGGATGAATACGCTTTAATATAAAGTTACTCAAGCAAACAAGATCACGTGCTTCTCTAATATATTGCCATTGTAATCTCACAATGTTATAATTCAGTTGAATAAGAATGGAGTTACGTTTGTTCGTATTCGGATACGATAGAAGATTCAGCTCCATCACTTTTGCCAATTTTCATTATGAAAATTTCTTGGAATGAATCCGGATTGTTTAATCATTTAATATTACTCTTCAACAAGATCATGCTATGTGAGAATTACTTGTCTGCACTAATACAATTTACAAATATCAATTACTGAGGTCGCACAGTTGAGTGTCGAGCTAGAGGTAAGATCGGGCTAAAAAATTCCAGCCCGACTCCGGCCCGTGGGTATTAAAACCCGACCCGAGCCCGACTAATTAACTGGATTTGCAGGCCCGACCCGACCCGGGTCCGTGGGTAATAAAACCCGACCCGACCCTAGCCCGACTAATTAACTGGATTTGCAGGCCCGACCCGGGTCCGTGGGTAATAAAACCCGACCCGACCCTAGCCCGACTAATTAACTGGATTTGCAGGCCCGACCCGGGTCCGTGGGTAATAAAACCCGACCCTAGCCCGACTAATTAACTGGATTTGCAGGCCCGACCCGACCCGGGTCCGTGGGTAATAAAACCCGACCCTAGCCCGACTAATTAACTGGATTTGCAGGCCCGACCCGACCCGGGTTCGTGGGTAATAAAACCCGACCCGACCCGAGCCCGACTAATTAACTGGATTTGCAGGCCCGACCCGGGTCCGTGGGTAATAAAACCCCACCCGAGCCCGACTAATTAACTGGATTTGCAGGCCCGACCCGGGCCCGTGGGTAATAAAACCCGACCCGACCCTAGCCCGACTAATTAACTGAATTTGCAGGCCCGACCCGAGCCCGACTAATTAAATGGATTTGCAGGCCCGACCCGACTAACTAACTGGCTTTGCAGGCCCGACAAATTAACTGTATTCGCAGGCCCGAAATTTCATATTTAATTTAGGAGTTCTTCGAATTGTCATTGCAAGAGGTTAGTACAGTATAGGGGAATGCTGGGATATATTTCTTCTTTTGTGAGCTCTATAATCTGCACATTCATTTGACAATGCGGGGCGAATGGATAGAGGGTAGCTAAAGGTTTTACTGGGCAAACTAAGAAATTCCCTAGCGACACACATATTATCATCAAGAGGCATTCAAAAATGTGTGTCAAATGTTCCGCTGCACTCCACTTGTGCGGCACATTAAATTAAACGAGGTATGCCGTTAAAAATCAATGAATAAGCATCATCATCCAAAGAACTACGAAACTTTAAATTTTGAAATTTAATATTTATGAAATCGGAACCACTCTGAAAAATAGTTTCTAATAAACATATATTTACTTATAAAAAATCCAGCGATATATCGGCCCGACCCGAACGTAATGATTGTCATTTCAGGCCCGACCCGAACGTAATGATTGACAAATCAGACCCGACCCGAACGCGATGATTGACATTTCAGGCCCGACCCGAACCTAATGATTGACAAATCAGGCCCGACCCGAACGCAATTATTGACTTTTCAGGCCCGACCCAACCCGAACGCAATGTTTGACATTTTAGGCCCGGCCCGAACGTAATGATTAACAATATAGGCCCGACCCGAACGCAATGCCTGATATTTCAGGCCCGACCCGACCCGAAATATCGGGTCGGGCTGGGGCTCAGGCTCCAGATCTTAGCTCTATGTCGAGCCCGTATTGTACTATATTTGTCTATTTGTAGATCAATTCTCACTCAATCTCATTAAGTTAAATCTTTCATATTGCAATGAACAACTAAGATTTTTTGTACAAAGCCCCCACCACTAATGCAAAAATGTGAAATTTGAGATCAAGAAAGAGAAACCAAGATATTCTTGGCTGACTGTGTATGGGTTCCAACGGGGTTCCATATGTAAGGCTCCGCCAGTACAGCTCAGGGATTCCATCCAAAAAAATTAATATATGTAGGCTATATTGTTTAAAGGTAATCGAATAAAAATATTTTTTTCACGTTTGATATTGTGCCAACAAACTTTAAATCGAACTGAAATATTCTCACAAGGAGGCTGCCGAATCAAAAAGTTTTTAATAACATTTCTTGGCTCATAATTGTTTAAGGCATGCGTTTAGTACCACAGTGACTGCACGCATAGGCCGAAAGAGAAACCGGCCAAACGAGAAAACTCATGGCTCCTTCTGACTAAAATGAAGCCGGATCTTAACAATCTGGTGGCATTGCATTAAGCCCATTCCCTTTGATTACTAAAACCAAGTAATGCACCTTCGTTTGAACATTAATCTATCATCTAACTCTCTGTATATAAGGCTTTCCCTTAGTAGGAGAATGCTTGAATACCCTCCTTAAAAGTCTCCGGTTTCATGTCTACAATCATGATTATATTTTCTAGTTTTACTATGAGGAAGATATTCTGAGGTTATAAAACATCCACAAAATGGGTTTTGCGTCAAAAGGAACCAAGCCGCGTCGGGTCAAGCTTCTGGTACGAAGGATTACTTACGATTGGTCCTAAATAGGCAATTGGCTTACAGAATAGTTACGATTACTGAAATGTATCTTCTCCTTTTTTTACATGTATATATCACAATACTGAATGTGGCAGTGTATAGAACTTGGAACAGCTTTCAAGATATTTACGGACAATTTCATTTTGTTATTTCAAGCATGATACGTTGACAGTGACGTGTGACGCTATTTTACTTGTAATATTTATTTTTCACTTAAAAATAGGTTCTACTAACACTATTTTCTATAAATTAAAAACGGTGTTCGGTGAGTTCAGTGGCATATGTGTACTAGAGCTTTGATACAAATATAACAATAAAATGTCCCAAAGCGCACTTTACATAAGTATCATCTAACTTTACATAGGTATCATTCACACGCTTTTAAATATGATTTTTCACATTGCAATATCACTGGGAACGAAACTATAGACAGATAACTTAGATATATAGCAAACCCACGACCCTAATTAATTTGTTTATCAGCTGGAAGTCAGTATTCACAGAATCTTGCAATTATCAATATAGCATAAGTATTTGCAATTGGTGAACAAAATCATCCGTATCCGTAACCCGTTGAATCAAAATTTTATGCTCGCGGTGCATGTTCTCCATAGTCATATTAACTAGATATTTGACCTTCAGAAGAGTAACGTAATTTAATATTTGATTTTTCTTCCACCAGTTACTACACATAGAGAGCACGTCATTAGTCTAGGTTAGACAAGTCAATCATAATTAATTGAAATTAAAAAATTAATTGAGTCAAGTTAATTGACCAGTAGGCTATCTCGAAGTTCAAATGTAAACGACTGTACAATTTTTGCTTCATCATATCACCAGAAGTGGTGGTTCCAGAAGTGACTTCTGAAAATTAGATAGATTTACTGGGTTATCACAATGGCAATTGTTCTGATAATTATTAAATAAAATTGACTTTTGCAAAGTAAAAAAGTTCACCAAAGTCATGTTTGAGAGATTACATTCCTGTGAGGAGAGTGGAAAGACGAAAAGTTGAAATAAATATTTGAACGTGTCAGTCATGTCTCTTCTACATTTTGTTGATGGTTAAAGTTTTAAAGAACTGATCAAATTAGTACGAATACGTATAAATTGTTGTGGAACTTGGTCAGAACGTATAAGTTTTTCCGTGAACTGCTTTCACAGCGTAATAGCCATCTTCAAGTACTGAAAGTTGGAAATAGCTTGGTCAATAGTTGCGTATAGAAGAACAGTTTTTTCTACAATAAACCCAGAATTAACTGCCACAGAAACAAAAATAACAACAATTTTGCAAAAAGATACAAATGTACATTTTTCATCCAGTAATGCGTCATATTCATTTAAGACCTACTGCATAAATATGTATGTGACAAAAGGCGCTTCTAACACGTAAAGTAACTTCTAACACGCCAGGTTGACGTGAATTCCTGAATATAAAAAACCTGGATAGGTAATATTTGTCAAGAAATATTTACGAACACGGAGTGGATTTATCGATCGTTTTGTCATTTTCTATTTTCACCTTATTGTTGTGAAAAAAAAAATCGCTTTTCGCATTATGTACTAGACTAATTCTTTGGAATATTCGGGGGTTAAAGATTGTTGGTTGTAGTCGCTAAAAGACTATTATATACATTTCTATTTAATTCTGAAATTTATGTGGGCTCTACTCTATGAGATTCGTTTTTCAGTTTAAATTTGTGTGTGATGACGTCTTCAAAATTGATAATGCGCGCCGTGCCGTGGTTCCGTGATACTTTGAAACGACCTTGTGGTTCAGACTACCGGTACTCTTAAAGATTTGATGCACTTCGTTTTGGTCTTCGTGTTCATATATTTGAGCACTGCTCAGTTATTTTAATACTGTGTATTATTGCCTATTTATAGTTGATGTTTTTTTCGTGTCACGGTCTGTTTTTAAATTTTCATCTTTCCGTGCCACGGTAAAAACGAGAGAGCTTCTCTCATATTTATTTTTTCATTCGATCAAAGAAGGGGGGAATGAAGTGATGTCGTCGCTTTTCGGTCATTTAGATACATCAAGCGAATTAATAATTAATACAAGCCAACTTATCAGTTAACAACAACTGTTTATGGCGATATCGTTTGATGGATGGCGACCTTAAACTGAGAAGTATAACAAAAGTTAATGGTAGCCAGACTTGATCTGTCAACTTGATACAGATTAGATGCTATTGAATTCCACAATGGCATTAGACAAGGCTGTTTATTGAGTCTTATGTCAACAAACGGTTAATTTATTGAAAACAAACCCGCTGCATATTTAGGGTTATTGAGATCTTTGCTTTGTCTAAATTCAGAAAACATTTCATTCGATTGGAGCTGAACATTTCTATTTAAATATTCACCCGATATACTCAATCTACAAAAATATGGACATAGAATGCCGTTAACATTCTGGATGGACGTTCTCGCCCATAGTTTTGTAGTATATAAAAATTGATATGGTATTGATAAGATTTCCTCCATAAACCTTGGCTACTTCAAAATGCAATCTACTACTATTATTACCAGAAGATAACATACAATATTTTGAATTTGTTATATTTTATTTGTACAAAATCTAGCATATAAATATTTTAATGTAATATAAATACCAATACAGTGCCCCATATAATGAAATTTCTAATCTATAAGTTAGAAAGCAAATAAATCTAAAAATACTCAACATTCACACATTGTGTTATATAAAAATCATTAATCGTAATGAGAAGGTAACAATATACAATTTATTTAATATAGGCTTTGTAGTCAAAATATCAACAGTTGCTTCTGTACAAGTTAAAAATTGCCCATGGTCAATTTGCGAAACGACATGTTGGGCAAGGCATTTTCGACAGTTCGGATGTTTCAAATTTAACATTACAACGAACACACTGTTTCCAATGTAAAAATGCTATCTTATAAGCTTGAGCACCATGTTTTGGATTGAATCCAATGATAAACTCAACAGGACAACGTTCGCTTGCGTGGTAACTCTTAATATTGAATTTATTGGGAGCGAAAAACACTCGGATTTTCATTGACCCCATAGAACGAAGTTCAATAAAACCACTCCAACCACGAACGTCTACAACATGTCCCCTGAAGAATTGCCGGATTTCTAGAGGAAAGTCTTTTTGCTGATAATGATGCCTCAACATTTCCAAAGGACTGTTGTCGTTTTTCAGAAAAACTGTTAGCCACTCCACCGGCCTCTCTAACTTCCATTGAGGAAGCATTTTGTGCCTATTTTCCAGCTGTTGATGAATACGATTTAGAGACAATATATCGACTGGAATATGAGTTTGGATAGCTCGAAGGAAGTGCAGTATGTAATTGTACAACGTTGAAAGCGATTCCCTCTCCTGTTTTTTGTCCCATTTATCCACATACTGCATGATGCGGTGAAAATCATAACTCTTCGTATTTTTAGACAATCTAATTGCCTGTAGCCAATCTTCCATATACAACGAAACTTTAATTCGGTGGTATGCACTATGTTTAAATATGTCTTCAAGAGATTGTAAAAACTCATCGACTGCATATGATTTTGGTGTCAGATCTTGAAAAATGCGAAACTCTCTTCCTTTGTTAGTCTTCATTTGCATTTTTATTAAAGTCAGTTTATACCTCTTTGATGACATGGTGCCATCATCAGAAATCCATTTTTTAAAGTCTCCGATTGATGTGATAAAATAATCATTGAAAAGGTTCAAAAATCTGACAATTTCATTCTGTACCACTCCCATGCCGTCCATCGCTTTGATGCATTGATCTAAGAGAAAATCACACTCGATAAACGAATCACAAATCATATCCCATAAAAAGTGAAAGCGGTGATTTCTATCGCATAGTTCGCGCATATTGTGCTTCGTTATCTTCTTACAGAACTCCGCTAGATATAGACGAATTTGGATTTCGCCAATGAACCCATATGATGGACTTACGCTAGGACAATAGTAACTTCGACATTTCTGAAATTGTTGAATAGCACACGATACGGCTTTGTGTACGGATTGAAGGTTATTTTGAGAAAGTTGAGAATATTCTGCTGCAATCATAAATCCAACACTGTGATTTCCAAAAATATGTCTCACATGTGCATTGTAAGCATAACCAAACATACTGTGAATTCTATAAAGCACTTCATCCCCTGAATCCGATGTATTTTTTCCTGCTATTCCAATTGCCTGTTCTCTGATACGAACAGCCACTTTCAAGGCATCTATAGCTTCGTTGTGTTGACCGGATTTACCCAAAAAACGACCATAGTGAGCGTAAAATTCGGCATTTTGAGGAAATTCCACAGTCAGCTTCTTGAAAACGCATTTTTGCTTCTGTTGGTCGCCTACGTCCATGATTAATCGGGAGTATGTTGGTTTGGTTTTATAATCATCATTTTCGTATGCACCTTCGCTGTGTCTTATTATGAAAATATTATTCAAGATTCTCAGTATAGGATGCGGAATATTTCGTGGATCAACCAAATGTGAGCGAGTGCAGTGAAGAAAATCGATGGACAATGCATCTAATTCAATCTTTGCTTTACTTTTATATTGATTTAAGATTTCTTGTGCAACAATATAATGAGATATTTTCCACTCTGAGATATCAGCACATTCGCGAATAAACTGCTGCCCCAATTCTGGAATGTCCGTTTGCAGGTCCACTGAAACATAAGGTTGTTTTTCAAGAATTATCGAAAAAAATTCTGATGGTACAGAGCAGTTTCCATAATAATTTGCAAGAGATAAAAAAGCGGCAATTTTATGCCAAGGCTGCAATCCTTTCTCAAGGAGAAGATGACTTTCTACGTATTTTTTGACGCCACGGAACTCTGAATGAAAAGCCGTGAGACCATATTCAAATACTGAATGACGAACTTTTTGACCCACATCTTTGGTGAGATTCGCCAACTTTTTCCTTATACCAGCATTTCCGTGTTTTACCAAAAGCTTTTCAAATTTCTGAGCCTCGTTTTCCGAAATATAGTCGGGTAAAAAGAAGAAAGCGGTCTTGGGGTGTTTCTGTGTCAGCGAATAGTAACGTAAGACATGAAGTATAACCAACCTCTCGTAACGGCAAAGATCAAGAATATTCCTTACTTCTTGACCGGACCTGCCATCTATTAAAAGTAAGATTGGGAGATTGGAGCGATCTCTAACTGTTTTTATTTTGTCGCGAAAATCATCTTGAACCTCTGTCTTTGAGGGAAGTGCCATGCATGGTATGTGCTTCCGGAACTCCCAGAGAACTCTCCGACCAACTGTTGATCCACCACTCCCAGGAGAGTGAAATAAAGTGACGATTCCTGACTTTCCAGCTTTAATATACTGATAATCTAGACATTCTATTATACTTTGCTGAATATCCCTCCGAACATCAAATGAACCATCTTCAATGACATCCCATGTCAAATCTCCTCCCTTTAAATAATCGTCAGCGTGTTGTGCTACCTTCTCATTATCCGGCTGAGTAATTGTCTCGTGTTCATCAAAAGTCAGCACATGCATATCCGTCAACAGCCAATTCATTTCATCTTCTTTCAGTGTGAAAGTGGTACTGTTATCATCTTCATCCTTCAAACGCGGCAAAGTGAGCCTTGTCACCTTCATATCCTTTATTCGATTAGCCGCAATTTCTTGAATCCATTCGCATATTTTTTCAAGTGGAGCTATAACCCTGTTGTCATTAGCATATTTCTTTGATATTCTACCAAATTCCGTACTTTCATCGGGAACATCAGAAAGACATAAAACAAACTTGATTCTCCGGGGCGGCTTGAAATCGTGATTTATATTTGTTATAAGATCCCTCAGGCAATCTTCGAGATCGTCATCACTTTTGTGATACCAAACAATAAGCATAGTTGCTGGCTTTTGCCCAGCGCAAAAGTAAGAAAGTGACGATATATGCTTGCTTAAAGTTTCAGGAGTAATACTGGCTTCCGTTTTGACAATGGTCCAGTCAGTTTTCATGTCTGAGGACTTCACGGGTTCTTCCGAAGCGCATGTTACGGAAAACTTTCCTGACTGCAGGTTACCTTTTGCTACACTGAGAAGACCATCATTTTCACTGTCAGAATCGAAATCAAACACTTTCAGCCATGGCATAAGTGATAGTTTGCAAGCAAACGGAAATGTTGGCTTAATACAAGTACAAAGAACAAACGCTCGTTTTGTTTCAAATCCATCCACCATTTCTCGGAATAGTTGTTTTTTAGCTTCGAATTCTTGAATTTTATGTTCATTCGGTTCTACAGGTTCTGTAAAATATTACATAAATTGAAACCTCGACTTGCGTGCAGATCGATTTTTATAATGTGTAGTAATTCGATTCTGTTGTGAGTTTTTCACAGAGGGGTCGACAGGTTTTCTTGAATAGAATTGTACAAGGAAGTTTCCGTCAACCATAATATAAAACCCCATTCAAAAATATACACACAATACAATGTTAAACCATATCGGATAATATTTTAGAATGCTAGAGAATCTATATGTGGGGTCCACATCAACCAGCAAATGTTATTATATCCAATTAATCATATTTGAACACATCTTTAGACGTTTTCGATATTGGAATTTCGGTACTCCTGACGTATGCGCACCAAGATGACGCATAACCTGAACCCTTACCTGGTACACAACCTGAGTTCAGGTTGTGCGCCATCTTGGTGCGCATACTTCAGAAGGTCCGGAATTTCAATAAAAATTATCAACTAATAGACATATCATTGGCTCAATCTATGAACATAGATTCCTGTAGTGTTGATAAAAAGGGTCAGACTGAATTGACTTTGACCGATTCATAGAAAGAACCGCGGCAAGAGTGACTGTTGATGTGGTATAAACACGTGGTAACGAATAATAATAGGGGATTGTCTATTTCGGAATTGTCAACAGATCCACAACTCTGGCGATTATCGTGATGCAAATCAAATTTTATATTCTTAAAACATATGGAATTACCTGCCACTATAAACTTCAAGTTACTTTGAAGTGAAGTCATTGTTTTGTTTTCCTTTATGAATTCAATGATTTTTTCTGCTATATATTCCGCATTAATTCGGTTGGGCAAATTTTCCATTGGTAAGTGTTTTACGCCATCCGGTATCTTCTTCTGGTGGATCGGCCTTGCCATAAGGATCGTGTTCTCAGAAGTTGACAATTTTGCGTTGTACAAAATTGGTCCGTGGTGAGCCAATTCGTGTTTCACAAATGCTTTGTTGATCAGGTAAACTCTTGAAACATTACGTTAAATGTTTTAACGGATATCAAAAGAAGTAAATTAAAACTAATCGGACAAACAAAATTATATGCAGTTCCCACGATTTATTCATATCGTATACAATAATTTTCGAAAATAAATCTGCATCTGTTTGAAAAACATTGAGACAACAACGAATATATAAATAGTATTAAATTATTCAATTCAGTCATTAGGAAAATTCGAAAGAATTATGTATGATTTATAAAAGATATCGCATTGAAAACGATATTTTTATGCTTGCACGTCTTTAAGGCAATAGCTTTGTATGCGGACAAGTGATGCAGTTTTTTTACCTGTATTTGCTGCGCTTTGTGAACTGCATAATGCAATCTTGCTTGAGTTTTCCGGCGGTAATTGTTGCATCTATAGAGGACTTTGCGGAAATTTCTTTTTCATTTAAGATGCGTATCGCTTCCAACACAGGATCTTTAAGATTTGAGTTACAGTGGAAACATAACATCACGTCGAAATTTTCTACATCGGACGCTAGTGTTGTGGTTTCAGCTGAAGCTGCCATGCAGAAAAATATTATGTAGTTTTGCAGTTAACCACAAATGAAAACGGCCCACCTTCGAACATAAACTAAAAGTATTAATTACAACTCTACAGGCTTGGTTTAAAGCAACTTTATATTATTGCTTTTCAGCGAATCCCTTCGGTGCAAACGAGAATTCAAACGCTCAAGTTCAATATTTTCCGAGGTGGATATCGTTTAATTAAATGGATGGTAAGTGATAATTTTACCATATTATCGATAACCTATAATTTCAAGTAAAATACATCATTAACGCATATGTAAGTCATTCTCTTAACACTCCCGATATAGCTGGACTTTATACGAGATCCCACCCAAGTTTAATCTTATTGGTGAAGAGTATTTCATTGATTTTTCTAACTTAGATGGTCGAAGTAAATCAGTGGTTACTTCCCACCGCCTCATATGGAAAATATTTAGCCTTAGATTAAGCATTGCGCTAAGCCTTAACGCCATCTGTGTTAAACTGGCACGTAAAGTACAAGTAAGTGCACATGGGTGCACGACTTACAATACAGTATCATTCCAAGATAATTATGGGAAATGTTATATGACATATGATTCTTCAAATAGATGCAATTTTTATAACTGAGGTGAAGAAAAATATTTCGATCACAAAACATTTTAAAATAGGGAAAGACTAGAATTCCAAATACCCATTCCGTCGTATCAACATTTTCTCGAAGTTGATTTTAAACGCTGCATGAGCGCCAGACGCCTATTTATGATTCACCCAGTTGAAACTTTGGTATCGAAAGCGGGTTTTTTTTTTCAGAGCACGGAAGACAGTTGTGCAAGGCAAGTAATAACATAGATCCAAGTGTCCCTATCATTCATTAATGTGTCTGCATCCTTATTTAAATTTCCATTTTATTATTATTTTTGTGAGACAGTTGTGTACAACCCTGTGGTACTCAGAAACTTTTTGTAGTGCCACCTAAATTCGTTCGAGCTTTTAAATATTTTAAACCTGCATTTTGTACCAAATTTGATCGTAATTCAAGAAGTTCACCAGAAGAGATTTCTACAACAATACCAGAATTGACCCTCCCAGGAATATTATGCTTGGAAAATTTAAGACCTCATGACATCTCATCAAGTTATTTCTTCCAAGCAATTTCATACAAGAAATAAAGAATTAATCGGTGTGCTAAAAAGGTATTATGACAAGCAGATTACAAAAGCTTGGAATATGTCGGACATACGTTTTACATAAATTGAAACAAATACCTTGTGCTTCATTTGTGACAAGTTGTCAATTTTCAATAAATACATTTGAAAGTAGCTAGCTTATCGTGTACTATAGTGTATGACAGGGGTCACCAATGGAGGTGTTCGTGGGCGCCGAATCGAAGGTCTGTTCTTAAAATTACCTCAAATAACGGCGCTTATTAGTGAGCTGCATTTATGATTTTATTCCTGTTATTATTGTTCAAATCCGTTCATGAACATGGACGTATCAAGCATTACTGAGCAACGTTCAGCCTTGATACTGTACGAATTGAGCTTGAAATTGTAACACCGCAGAATGACCTCCACTCCAAGTCAGTGCTATCAGGATGTTCCAAATTATTGGGGCCTAGTTGACACTGACAAGTACAGTGTATGAATGCTGCTATGGAAGTGATCATTTTAAAACGTTCAGTATGGAAGTATATCAATTTAATGATAATAATTTATTTCTTATGTTGTTATAATTGTTGATAATTTCATGAAAAATAATTAACATTATCAGTGTCTCCTCGTGGCTAAATACCTTCGTTAAGTAAATCGGATTTTTAGAAGTGTGCATCAACTGGTAGCCCTTAGCTTAGCTTAATCGGTACCCATGAAGTAGCGCTCGGCTTCATAAAGGTTCTGGGAAGTAGCCCTCGGTTGTAGGAAGGTTTGTGACCCCTCTGGTATATGGTATACCACAGAGTAGTCGAAACTCAGGCTCGCGGGCCACATGTGGCCCGCCGTATAATTATCTGTGACCCGCGTCACATTTGCTGATATAGTTATTTTGGTATTGTTTCGTCATAAAAATAATCGGGAAAATCTTCCTGTCGTATTGTCGCAACACTAACTTGTGGCAGGGATAGCTGAGAATCAGTGGACAAAAGTGAATTGAATAATGTGTTTGGCCAGCCTAAACTGGTTCAAAAGTCAGTTATTCGATTTCGGCACCCTTGAATGACTTAAAACTTCCACAAATAAATCTATTCCTCGGGAATATTGTTAACAATATCTCAATAGTCTACATAGAACTAAATATCAGCCTAGCATTATACTCCCTGTCGCATTGTATTTTTGTAATCGGCGTGATCAGTAACACTAGAATTAATGCTCATATGTTAGAAAATTTAGTAAATATCAATTAATGTCGCATTATTCACCTGCTGTAGCCTACTTCACAATTGCCGAAGTTTAGAATTCAATCAATCTGCAGTGATTTGTAAATTGTAAGTCGCTTTGTAAACGTGAAATCGAAAGAAAAGCTGACCAATTCAAACAAAATTAACAAGGGACAGGTTGGGAGACGGAACATTGGATGTCACTAGGAAACTTTCAACGACCAACATAATTGTTGATATAAAAACATTGAATAATGCTGAATAACGAGAATATCGGTCAGAGACCGAAGACTTATCGATCGAAAGTTAGGGGACCCCAAAACACCGCTCTTACTCAATAGTGACACCTTGTGTCCCATCACTAATTAATTAATAACTCGCTGATTATACGACATAATTCGCCCAAAATCAATAAGCATCTGGTCCGATATATGATAAACGAACATGCAAAATTTGGAGCAGATTCAAGCTCGCTTCCGTGAGATATCGCGTGCATCTAACAGACAGACATACAGACAAATACCTATCAACATAATTACCGATTAAAATCGATAGGTAATAATCAAATGTCCCGAGACTAATGTGGCCCGCAAACAACACAAAATTGATATTGTGGCCCTCGACGCCGGCAACCTTGGACCACCTGGTATATCATATTAAAAGTATATATTATAGCGTATTTAAGATTCGGTATGCCATATCGATGTGGTACAACTGAGGTGTACTATACACCCGGTTGACGAGCACAGGCATATACTTAAATGAGTAAGTCTCCGGCAGAAGATACCCAAGTTGTTGTTAAATTTTATGAAGAATGATAATTAGCATGACTCACGTGTGAAGAGCGACGAATATTCAGATTTGGATGTTCCTTGTTCCATTTTTAACTATAGTCTGATAGTACTTCTTGTTTTCAAAGTGGCTCACATTATATTGAAAATAGTACTCCAATGTTCCTGACAATAAAGATATATCAAACACACCAAATGGCGTTTACGTGTGAGTGATGCTGGATCAAGCAATTTCCGCAAGCCTCCGTGTTATTATATTCTCATATGAGTTCTTCTGAACTAACCGCTGAGCTTTTCTTGGAACAAATTAATGTAAACGCACTGGTTTCAAAATGACACTGAAATTTGGACTTTTAATTCATTAAAGATAAGTCTATATATATTAGTCTGAATGTACGCTATACAATTTCAGTTTCATAGTTCAACTATGAAATAAGATCTATTCAAGAAGTGGATCCCAAACAGATTTTAAACTCAATCTCCCGGAACGGCCACCATTGGCGTTCGTAATAACACCGCAGTCCGCCCTTCTCTATGATTTCCAATCATCTATAACCATTTCTGCAGAGCCGACAACGGGGTCTAAATGAACTTCAAATTCATTCAATCCTAATAGCTACTGATGAATAGTTCTACAAATTATAACCTGGTCACTCAATATTTCTTAGCCGTCAGAAATTGACATTTTCGTCCACCTACTGATGAATAGTTCTACAAATTATAACCTGGTTACTCAATATTTCTTAGCCGTCAGAAATTGACATTTTCGTCCACCTGCCCAATGACACTGATAACTTGTTTTCGTATTAAATTGTTTAAAGTCTCGTTTCAAATATATATATTCTGTATATTTATAGTCGGATTTAAAGGCTGCTTACGACTAGGACTAAAGGTTTCACCTCAGCCAAGGGTATACGTATATGCATCTATAATACAATAACTCTTTTCAAATAGTTCATCTTGCCAATAGTTATAAACAAACACAATTAAAAATCTTTAAAAAATACGGGAATTTCAAAAAGCGAAATCTTTGCACTCGGAAGAGCGATTATCATCGAAGGTTCCTAGGTTGTTGCTTTGTAGAATAGTGCAGGCCTATGTACGCCTGCCAGCAATAAAAAAAGTTCCTTCCAAATAGCATGTACGTGATGTTAGCACCTTACCGTGTTTCCCCGGGAAAAGACATGGTTGTATTTCAGTTTTTTCCGGAAAATATTACTAAAGCTTATTTTGGGGGATGTCTTTTATTTCCATATCAAAAACAAATTACTAAGAAGAGAATTACGAGATTTTCAGATATACAAAATATGAAAACCAATATCCAATCACTTCCAAAAAAAGCTCGTTTTTATTTAAAAAACTGCTAAACGTGGATTATTAATTATTTAATATGTGTAGGAGAGATTTCTTGCTACAGACCAGGTCAAAAAAATTCGCTGTCAACAAAGTCTTATTTTAAGGGGAGGGCTTATATTAAAATCATTTCCAAAAAATCATTTCTTATTTTTCACAATTATAGGCCATAACAGCGTTATATTTGGAAAACTTGCTAGACTCAAAAAGTGGTTATGCTGGTCGAATCGGATGATAGGAGTATACATAAATGAGTGTTAGCACAAGTGTTTCGTATGCATCGTATCTTTTAAAAAGACAGAAATGCTATACAGATAAATGAATTCGCATGGTATCATCTCGCATATGGCATATAGATTGATAGATTTTATTCCAAAAATTCCGGGATACACACAAATTAACTATGGACAATTCTGTGAAGCGAAACAAAACGTTCAAGTCATGAGAAATATGATGCGCCTCTCGCAAACACATACACAACAAAATCGAACAGAAGAACACACATAAACCAGGGTAAACGAGGCTTGGGCCAAAATGGCACACACAAAAATGCGCAAATGTATTAAGCTTTCTGACCCTTGTACTTTCAAAAAACTTAAGCTGATAATGACGTAGGCCTACTCAATCTGATACAAAGATAGTATTTGTAATACAGTGTGAGAAAGTGACAAAGATATTCAAGATCGAGGAGAGCTACACTGTTTGGGCATTGCTGATAAAGTGGCATGAGGTACATAGAAACTCAATTCAAAACTATATTGGTAAATTCTACGCAAGCACACTCGGAAATCATTGGAAAAACCACACTAATCAAACGCGGTAGCCATAAACCAATATGCACGTAAAATAAAAACATGGCATTAAATGAATGTTTCGAAACGTTTCGCACTATATCAATATTGCAATAATTTATGCATATGCAATATTTAACAAAGCGGTCTTGACAGAAATAAAAGTATCCCCTTACATCCGCTTGGTATGAAATATTTTTTTCTTTATTTTTGCAAAAATTTAGTTTTCGCGCTAATAAACTTTTGCAAGACTAATTTTAAAATTCGTTTTCGTTCTCGCAAATATGCGTGATCGCAATCCATTTCCACAAAACTGCAGTCTCGCAAAAGTATATTTTTGCAAAAGTACAATTTGCAACACTAAATTTTTGCAAAACAAAATTCTCGAAATATCCCACAGCGTAAAACTTTATTCTGCCTGCAGTTTCCACGTAGAGAATGTTCCTTCCCATAAAAGTACATTCGCGCGTATATCTTCCCGTATAAAGCTATTTTCGCGAAATGTTTTCTTTCACCTTTAATTTACAGTGAAACAAAGATTTCAGTATTTTGGTATCTAGCCCATCGTGATTACTTTTGCATCGGTCCATATTTGTTGCACAGGCAGGCACTGTAAAATATTAGTTTAATGTCGTAAAAAGATTTTTGCCATGAATTTAGTTCGTCAAATTTCGCCACAGAAATTGATCATAAATGGTGTATTGAAAAGAAATTTTGCAAGGTGAGAAAACTTTTATTTTACTTTTATATTTTATTTCCCATCCTTTCAGGACATTAACAATGTTGAATAACGCATTATCAGATTAAATTGGTCATTATCAGATCGAGTGTTTAAAAAGTATAACAGCCCGAAAGTTTAATACATTCGCTTAGTTTTGTTTATTTCTGTCCCAATCCTGGTTTAACAAGGTGTGTGTTTTTGTAATTTTTTTTATGTTTATGTGCTGGTGAGCATTTCGATGTTATATGCGATATTTCTATGTTTTAAAAGTTTTTGCTAATTTACAAGAACTTTCCATTTTTAATTACAGAATCATGGTGTTTTCAAAATAAACTATTTAACACCTTTTATTCTGGTACCTCTGTGCAGAAGTCTTTCCCTTTGTATCTGTACCTTATCTTAATTTTTGATGTAGCCCCCAACATTGTCAAGTATTAAACCGGTTGAATGTACTAGTATCATGGTTCAAAATAGTTATGGTGGTGGTCCTGCGGTTGAATCTCCTGTTATGACCAATGTTCCCTCTAATTTTTTGTAGTATGTGTGCGCAGATATTTTGGTGTGTGCGCACTTTTTCGAAATGACTAATATTTGTGTAAAAACCGATGAAGAAATTTTGGCGTTCTAACCGGGTATAAAGTGGGCCAACAACAAACTTTCTCAACCTGCCAACCGAGCACATTGTTACATTACATCGAAATACGTCTGTGCGCAGTAAATCTATGCGTGTGCGCAGCCTCTGAAAGCTGTGTGCGCGTGCACACGCGCACACCTTAGTGGGAACACTGGTTATGACACAAAGATATAAAAATGTCTTATTTCAGATTTTTTTCTGTATTTATGTATGTCATTTTTTGGACCTCCTGATGATAACATGACAACTTGCCGATCTTTGACCAGGAATGTTTCATTCAATCTAACAACATATAATTTTTTCATAGATCACTGGCTTATGATTTTTCAGATCGTCCCAGTGCTCAGCGAATGTTAAAGATTTCTTCTACAAACCAAAGCCAAGAGATTCTTCTCATTCAAGTATTTTAACGAAAAAGGAGAAAAATCATCTTTATAAGATACAATGTACAAACAGTTTTAATTCTAGTTTCTTTAATTATGTACCGATTTATGCTTATTCATTATTTATTTGACTTCTATATTATTAAATATCATATTAAATTTACTATATTTGCCTGATATTTGAAAAATACATGGAATTGTCTACTACAAACATCTCATATCAAGTAAATTAAATACATTATTTGGGATATGTAGATATTATGGTATGTGAGTTTTATTTTATAAATGCTGTTTTCTGTTAAATATATAAAGTTTCACTGAACTTACATATCATCTAAGTTGAGACTATTCGGGAAAATTCATTTGTGTGAAACATTTTGAAAAGTAAAGCAACTCAGTCTAATTTGAATACTATAGGTCCCTATGATATTCAAGATAGAATTCAAATGAGATTTTTCAACTTTTTCAGTTCATAGTGTGAAACCAGGTGCTTTGGATGAATACAAAGACATTTGGTGAGTATCTTTGCAAATTGGATTCTATAACCATATGATATGCTGTTGCATACATAAATTTTGTAAATATTTTTGAGTCATTTTGATTTTATGTTCAAGCTTTATGAGATTGCAATCTAAAAGTAATTCTGTTTTTTTTTTCTGAATACTATCATATGAATACCTATGAAAAGTCTGAAAATGCATCAGTGAGAATGGTTGTCAAAATTTGTACTTTACTTGGGTAGAGTATGGTTTGTTGAATCAGTTTCCCCAATGGCTTGTTCAAGAAAACTACATAAACAATATAAATTGTTGTCTGTTGATCACACTACTTTTATTTTCATTTTGATACAGTTATTGTAGCACAAATTCATTCTTATCTTTTGGTTATATCTACTTAATTTGAGTTCTCAACTCAGGAGAAGAAATGATATATTATGAGTCCAGACTACACTATATCCATATTTCTCAAGAATACATTTGTCAAAATGTCGTATCCCCAAACAGATGTTTTATCCTATGAATATTATTTTGTTTCAGTGCAGAAATTCTACCAAAAATATCGGCAGATCCGGATCTACCTGTAGAATGTGTTGGAAGTTGGTCATGTTGGTACGGAGATCAGGATCAAGTTGGTAAATTCCTTTTGTTATAACTCTAGTTTAATTTATAATTTATTGTGGACTGAAAAGATAAGTATTGGCTCAACAGTTGGTGCATTATGGTGAGTGTTAGAAATATGCTTACCATCGCAACCTCTGACTGGACGAGAGGCTGTGGTGCGCAATATGATTATGCAGTCTTATGGGCTTCGCTATCTCTCTGGATAAATATGAAAATCCTATACCATTCTAAAACATAAAAATCCTTCAGTATCGATTTTGTTCTAGAATTGTATCAAACAGCAAATAGGAATAGTGATTTTCATGTGTGATCTTGGGGCACCATTTTTTTGTCAATGACCGTATTGTTTTATTAAATTTCCAGTCCACCTCTGGCGATATAATGGAGGATTTCCAGCAATTGGTGAAGCAAATCAAAAGATGAGTAGTTTGGAATGGTACAAAGATATGAGGAAGAAGCGTAGCCATATGCTTTTGGGTCGCAGAAATCAACTTTTATTCGAATTCTCCTTCTGGAATACACCTGAACCAAGAGATGGTCCGAATATTTATGAATTAAGGACTTATCAATTGAAGGTCAGATTTTCGCCAGTTGTTTTTCGTACTGTTTTAGTTAAGATGGACATCCTATTTTTTTGGTGCTTTTGTATAATGAAAGTTTTTTATGTTTTGATTGGTCATTAATAATCTCATTACAGTTACCTTCAAGAGTCGCTCAAATTAAAACCAAAGCCATAGTCAAGTCACCCACCACTTTTCAAATCAGTGTATAACCTCGTTAAAAAATTAATAATGTATATTTTTCAGCCTGGAACTCTAATAGAATGGGCGAACAGCTGGTGAGTCTATAATGTTTATTAATTAAGCTTTCAGTTACTTTCCAACTAATTCGTGATAAGATTTTTTTTTCTGGGAGTTTTAAAATTATCGAAAATGTTTATTGTTGGCTAATTCTTTACAGGAAACATTTTTATTCTGATCCACAGGGCGAGAGGAATCAGCAATCGACAAACTAATAATGAAGCAGTTGGTGGATTTTTTAGTGAGATTGGAGACTTAAACATTGTTCATCACCTGTGGGGTAAGAGATGTTTCTTGTTTGATTAGTTTAATATTTGTCTTAGGACATGACTTCCATAGCTGATGCTAATATTCTGTATTTAAATACAGATTGTAATTTGTTTATATACGATTAAATTGGCTGTTATTGCTGAAAAGGGGATTTTCAAGTTTTCAGTTCAATCATTTTACTTGGTTCAATTATTCTAGCAAACGACCTCATAAATAGCGGACAGTTTTAACTTCTTAAGTCGGCCAAGTGTCAATTCCATTAGAAAATATAGAGCAGTTCAGGCATGTATACATGTTCATGAATTTTGAATTCAAGTGTCAATTACTGCTGATTTAAAGCATCAACTAGTTCACTAAAATGAACCGATGAGAAGGTGTTTCGTTGATCATACTATAAGTAGTGCCTTTGGTACAATATTTCAGCATATAAGGATCTGCATCATCGAAAAGTAACCAGAGGGAAAGCTTGGACGTCTGAAGGATGGGATAACGTAGTTTACTATACAGGTATGCATGCATATTAAAGGCAAAATAGACCGAACATCGGTAGCAATTTAAATTGTCTTAGCGATACTACTTTAAACATGTGCAAACAATGAGTTAGACTCGCGTTCGGTTATGAACCTTAAATATATGCCAAGCTATTGGCTGTACTTGTACAGTTATATGGCAATATATCAGATTATGACCCCGTATTTATCCAGAGAATGATGAGACTAGAAATGCAACATTACACATGGTAAATTACCGGTATGTCATCTTATGTGGTTACCAGTCAGGGTAGGGGCAAAATAGTTCAATTTGGTCCAATGCATACTTAGAGTTGGAGAAGGGAAGCTAAAACTGACGAGAAGTCATGTGAACTACTCACTCTTAAGCGATGATGAGTCCAGCTTTTCTCTCTCATACATACTTGTAGAATTTCAACTAGTTGCATTGTAACTACAAAGAAAATGGCAATTGGGAAACTAGTTCTTGATCTGGTCAAATCCTCGGAATTCTATATTAAATAATTTTGCAATAAAATCTGTAACTTTAAGTACAACCTTGGCTTTTATAAATGCTATATAATAATTTATTTCAGTGCCGTTAATCCGAGAAATGAAATCACAAATCATGATACCACTTCCACATTCTCCTCTTCAGTGATCGGTATCCCAGATTGGCAGACATGTTAGCCATTTTTATACAGCAAGTAGGCTGTTTTAATGAAATATGTTATAATGGATGTATTGCCTTCCATGATATAGATAGCCTAGTCTTTGAAGATATTTTCACTAGGTGTTGGTGCTTTGACTAGTATTTTAAACAGGAATATTTTCTCCTTTCATTAATGTTCCATAGCAACTTGGTAAAGATGTATTCAATTCGAATTGATGCTTTTTTGAAAAGATCTATTTAAAAAATTTGGATAACCAAGATGCTCTGTTTTTCTTGTTTGTTACATCATTTCACTACTTGTTTTCTGTAGCTCAAACCGGATTGGATTTAAACTTTGTTTGATAGAAAAATGTCTGTAAATAATATTTATGACGGAAACTGAAACACCATACGAAAATCTTATTTTATCATGTTGTAGATGTTAGAGATCTGTTAAAAGCAGTTTTCGATAATGAATGTGTGTGTTTTTTACAGTCTACTGTTATGCTGTAATTGTAGTATTCTGGATTTCCTAATGTTATCCAAATGAGGTTGCATATGCTTTTCTGACTGTAAAAAAATTGAATCCTTATTTGTATATCTATTGGCAAATAAATTATACTTTTTCCTCCAATGTGTTGGAGGTTTATTTGTTTGCAAGACGCAGTAGTCAATTAAGTTTTCAACGAGCATTTCAGAAATGAAGACATTTCGAATATGTGGCTAGCAATTGTATTCGCAATCAGATCTGCCCAAACCCTTAATCGTCGTTTCGGGCGTCGACAGGAGGTAACGAAGGCAATTACAATTTCAACGTGAGTTTGTTTTATAACACGACATTGTCAATGTTTGACAAACAAGTTTTTGATGACTCATGCCTCATTGCAATACCCATGACCCGCAAAAAAACGTTATACAATAGCTTAATAATTAATTGTGCAGTCTGTAAGGATTCACAAATGCGGTCCCAGAACAGTTTGCAATTAGATTGTAAATGATCTAGACAGAAAGGCGAGAAAAAAATTGCAAGTTTGTCACTCGAGTCTTCCATAAAAAAATATAAATGCAAGTAAGGCAAACGAATTATAAGTGAGTTTACAAGCGTATCTTGGATGATAGCTGATATTTTAATTGAATCAATCAATCGTTTTATTCCGATTCTCTGACATAAACGACTCCAAAAGTGAACAGACGAACAAAATGCAGAGAAAAGGGAAATCATGGGATGCAGAAAGCAAAGCTTAACTTTAGATTCATAAATATAGTTGTGGCAGAATCTACATAATGTGACTTCTGCGGTTTCCCGCAGTTCGACTATCGTAACATTGCTTGACTATTCTGACTTTACAAACATAATTGAATGGCGACACAACTGTGAGTTTAAATTTTTCCGCGACACACATATATACAGTATAAAGTTAACAACTAATCACAGAATTCATAAAAGGACACACATATATACAGTATAGAGTTAACAACTAATCACAGAATTCATAAAAAGACCCACTATGCAGAAGTTCCCATTCTGGAATCATGTTAGCATCGGAATTCATACTATACAAGCAACTATTTAAATATACTTAATGATGAGCATCTGCTTTCTGAACCAACAGTTTTGGATTTCCCGGGCCACAATTGATGGATATAACCTTTTTAAGAAGTGCAGAAATATCTTGAAGTTGAAAAATAAAACTTGAAAATTCATCTAATTCATTATTTCCCGGAAGCCCAATTTCATCCTAGTTGGCTCGAAACAATCCAGTTCCCAACTACAGTACTTACTTCGAATTATATTGTTACACCCCATGTCAATCAGCTTCAACCAGGCTTTCTCTGCTACAGGTTCAAACAATTTTGTTGTAACAATGACCCTCATAAAATCTGTTTATTGTGCCTGAGCGATGCGTGGGGATTAAGTGAAACAAATGGACAACAGATAAACAATGAAGCGTTGACCACCGAATTCAAAAGCTTCTCGCACAAAAAATTTGTGGTGTACTCTGGGAAGTTTTGCGGCATATAATTTGGGAAAATCCGCAATAAAGGGTCAATTTCACAAAGCAGTTAAATTGAGTTAGTTCATCGAATGAACATATACCTATGCGATGTATCAAGCTAGAATCAGTTATTGACTCTGTAAACATTTGCTGATGTCGGTCGGTCTGTCTGGCAAACGACCAACTTACAATATTTTCCTGTACGGGGTTCTAAGTGAAAGCCACTGCCTGAGCATTTACTTCTGTAGTCATTCCAGTCGCAATCCGGGGCACAAAATCAACCACAAGAGCTTTTTTAAGACAGGTATGAAACATCAGTAAGAGTCGCCAGCTATATAGTCACAAACCACAAAGCTAATAATTCGCTGCAGGGATATATTTGTGCATAACAGCAGTGCTGTGAACTTTTTGCTTGTTCGACTTCTGTTAGTTTTTGTATTAAACAGTTTTACTAAGCAAAAGCTTCTGCAACGAAGTTTGTGGGTGGTGCTGAATCGCTAGTCTTATACCGGGTATATATTGACAGAACTAACTAAATCGATTACAAGGACAATTTAACCACTGACTTTGGTGTCGAAAACTTTGTTATTATTCAAAGACTTACGAAATTAAAATTACTTATTTAGAGAAATACCGACCTTAAATACAAAATGACCGAAACTGACAACCTTACCTCGATCGTGGATAGCGCAAGGAAAAGCTTTTATTCTGGAAAAACAAAGTCAATCGCTTTTAGAAAAAGACAACTCGTGTCGCTTGTCAAGCTCCTGGACGAAAACGAGGATGAAATTTGTGATGCACTGTACAGAGATTTAGGAAGGGTGAGAATGACCGCATATGAAATTTGTTATGCATAATGTTTTTCGCGAACAGCGCCGACTATTTGGATCCGGTATAGTCAACCAATTAAGCAATTTAATATTATTTACCCTTACCAAAACTTGGTTTGAACGATTTATCCCATACCCTATACAAATAGCCTAACGATACACTTCAGCTTGAAAAGTCAAACAGTGTAGTTAGTTGTGGATACTCTCCATCGTGTATTTATTTCCGTGGTAGTCTGCCAAAGGGTTGTGTTACTTCTAATACCGATTAAAGCGCTATATCGTATATTAACAGTTTGTCGGTGTGTGAGATGCTAGTATTGCAATTTCTAATAATTATGCTTTTGTTCAAAATTACATATCCATCCTAAAATTGGTGTTGATATGCCGTTATTTATAAGCAACAGGCTTACCATGTATGGAAAGAACAAGGATGACCAAATAACATGTCCATCACGCGTTAGGTCATGCGTGCAAAAACGAGTGAGTTGTTTTGCTAAACTTTACCTATTGAGTGATATAGCCTAATGCAAACAAATCATTATCCAATATCACTTCAACAAAGTTTAACAACTGTCACACAACGATGGTGACGTCCAGATTTAAATCAAATGACAGAGGTTTGAGCATATTTCTTGTCCTTGTTTTATAAAAATATACACCATTCATAACAGGATTATTTTGCTGCTTACCTTCTTGACATACATGTATTGAGAGCCGAAATTATTTCAATGCTACAAGGCATTGACGAGTGGCTGAAACCAGAACATCCAAAGAGAGATTATACACTTATGTTTTCAAAAGCCTACGTCAGGTTAGTCATATATGGGCTACACACACGAACCTTTCGTTAATGATGTTATATATACTATTTAACTTAGATATGTTGTAGATTTTTTTAGTAGATATGTCTGAAATACATTTAATACTCTACAGAAAAGAGCCATTCGGTTTGTGTCTTATTCTTGGTGCATGGAACTTCCCTATACTGTTGACACTGTCACCACTGATAGGTGCCATAGCAGCAGGTAACTGTGCTGTGGTGAAGCCGTCGGAAGTATCTCCAAATTGCGCTAATGTGATGAAAAAACTGGTTAGCAAATATCTTGACAAAGTGAGAGATTTTAATGATCTGTTTTGTTTTTCTTTCTATTTTTAAGTTTATTTATCTTTGAGATTTTGTGGGCGATTGTGGGCATATGCCCATCACAACTCTGACTATATACTCTTCCGCGCTCTATGAACAGTGTGTCATTTGATCGAGATTGTAAAATTGATCGAAACCACAGCATTTGCTATTTTATATGTACAGAGTTGTTATCCAGTGGTTATTGCTGGACCTGAAGATTCTTCCAAATTGATGAAGGAAAATCGTTTTGATATGATTTTCTACACGGGAGGAACTCACGTAGGGAAACTAGTTATGGAGGCAGCATCAAAGCATCTAACGCCCGTGGTTTTGGAACTCGGCGGAAAAAATCCTTGCATTGTTCAGAAGTAATATTTTTCGAGTTCCTAATGAGTATTAAACATGGATGAGATTGCTGAAATAAGTCATAGCTTTGCTTATACGTGATAAATAATATATTTCCTGGTGGTAAAATTGTTGAGCCAAGTGTTTATTTCATCTTGCCACATCAAAAGTGGTCACAAATTTGGGACTTTATGGATCATTATTTGTTTAATTATTAGTCTAAAATACATTCTAAAATTTCCACATAATCGGAAAAAATAAGCCAGTAAATCTATAGATTTTTCAGTTATTGAATAATTTCGAAAAGTAAACTATCTGTGTTTTTTCTTTACCAACGTAGAAACTTTGATTTAGAAATTGCGGCGAAACGTATTTGCTTTGGAAAATACATGAATGCTGGGCAAATATGTATTTCACCCGACTATGTCCTCTGTGAGGAAGAAATCAAAGATGAATTCATCAAGATTCTCAAGTAAAAATTATTTTTCAGGTTTACCAAACTTCAAAATTTTCCATAGTGAATGTGTGTGTGTTAACTCAAACAGAAAAATATATAACTAAGATATCATTCTAATCTAACTCAATACACAAAAAATAAACAACATATAACAATAGAAAACAATACGGTTTTCCCAGGCTCAAACTGAGACATTTTTCGTAGCTTGTTTTATCTTAAATGATAACATCCATATATTGATCATCATAATTGTCTATCAATATCATCATACAGCGATTATCAGTCGCCCCGCATATCTTTCATAATAAAGTTGTTCTTACTATTTAGATCAGTGTTGTTGGAAATGTATGGTGAAAATCCAAAAGATTCCACAAGTTATTGCCGTATCATAAATGCAAGACATTTTGCTCGCGTTGAAAAACTTTTAAAGAGTGGAAAGATTGCGATCGGCGGACAAACAGATAAAGAAACAAAATACATTGGTAAGAAATATAATTTGTTTGTCAAAGATATAACAACCACTTGTTCCCTCACGTTTTCCTCTTGTTCCAAATTGTCAGAAGTATGGTATTACTGCACGTAAAACGCACCTCAACATTTTCACTTAGCCCGCCAATTGCACCACTTGAAAAGAACTACAAACGTGACTTTATGCAAACATTCGAAATATAGCATATAACATTGTACTGTTTTTTCATATTTCCATAACTCCCAGTCCCAATACATGGCTATTTTAAACTGGACAAGTCACGTATTTACCTTGCTTTCGATAGCACCGACTGTACTAACGGATGTGAAAGAGGACTCGCCTGTGATGCAAGAAGAAATCTTTGGACCGATCCTTCCAATTATAACAATAAAAAATATAGATGAAGCAATAGAGTTTATCAACAAAAGAGAGCGACCATTAGGAATATATATGTTCTCAAAGAACAAAGAAGTAAATGAGATCTTCTTTAATATTTCCCCGAATTTTTTTACGCCATTTTGAAACTAGCAACTTGTCACTTCTAAGAATGACTTTTTGATTAGAATTTTTTCACTAGTATTCTGATTAAATATTATATATATGTATAATTTATTTTTAAATAAATTGAGATGGATTTCGACAAGTGGTCGATCGCAAAGACTGATGTATATATCTTTTTTTTCAACTACTTTAAAACATTTAAGCATGAATTCTGATTTTTGTAAGAATATATATTTTTTGTTAAAATTCTGTAAATGTATATCAATAATATTTTGGTGTACGTTTCATAGGAAATTGAAAAAGTTATTTCCAGTACATCTAGTGGTGGAGTATGTATCAATGACGTCATGTCTCAGCATAATGGCGTTTTGCCATTTGGAGGAATTGGTAAGTTTAACTCTATAGCGGCATTTGAAAATGCATCAAGACAAATTTGCGAATAAGGCGACAAAATATCGCTGCTGGCATGATCACCTAGTCTAGTGGTATGTTTGCATCCCATTTAAGATATCTCGGTTTCCATTACCTTCAATACTTTATTATCCTGACCACCATTTCAGTATCCTATAGCATTAGTATAGGTTGCTCAGAAGTGCTGTTATGCCTTTTCAGGATACAGTGGGATGGGAAATTATCATGGAAAATACAGCATTGACACTTTTTTACATAAACGAGCCTGTGTTGAGTTTGGAGCACCAGAGATATTGCTGGGCACCAGATATCCTCCCCACACAGACAAAAAATTGGCGCGAATAAGGTTTGTTCCAGATCTTACTGTAATCGATGATAGAAATTAGTGAAAAAAATTATGAAATTAGAAAATTCCTTTGGTGTATATCCGAGTTGGATTAGTTTAAGAAATTTACAAACGAAAGTTTAGGTTGATCATGATTTTGTATCATATACTAAATGTTTTAGACAGATAAGACACGTCTACAAAGATAATAAGTGGTATTTAATTAGTTGTATTAATTCGAATTTGACTTTACAGGCTCACATGAATAATTTTTGTGTACATGCCGTAATAAGCTCGGGTGTTCGAGACTTGAGGTCACTTTTAGTGTTTCAAATAAAGCCGGTCACAGGCTACAGTATATATATATATATATATATATATGTGATAGGCGTTTCAATGCACTATTTTGTACTATATGTCAGCCCAGTTCAGTGATTAGTAACCATTAGTAATTGAAGTTTGCTCAAATAAATTAACATTATAAAGCTGCAACAGTTTTAGTAATTCTGTGAAAATGGCTTTTTCTGTTGGCCACTTGAGAATAAGTAATAGACATGAAGTAGGTAAAATTTCTGCGTATTTATAATTTAGAACATTGAAGCAGAAAATTCCCCAAAGGCGTGGACCAATGGATACATTTTTACAGCTTCTCAAACTAGCCGCCCTTGGTGTTCTCATTGGTTATCTGGCACAGGTATGTTGAAAAGTTGTAAATTTGTTTATCATTTTTTTATTTTTGTGATTACCATTTAATTTCAAAACCTTACCCTTCGTGGTGTTTATCATTATGTACTTTTTTCTCACACTAGTTCTTTTATACCTCTGATGTCGAAAAATTATCCACTATTCTTATAGTTTAAATGAATTTAACATATACGGTATATATAAATGGATACCAAGTTTGCCTAATACTATTGTGAAATAAGAAGAAGAAATGTACAGATATCGGAAGTAACTATTGACACATATCTAACTATTCAATCAACAACAGCGCTTTCTAGATGGCTAGCATAGCCTGAGGTCAACAAGCATTAACTACATTTTAACAGATTTTCGCGAGCCTTCTCACCGAATGATCGAATCGAAAACGTTCAAAAATCAGATGGACAAGATAAGCTAACAAACAACAGGAAACCATTACCGGGCAACAAACTGATTTTATGGCCTTTTGTTGAGCTACATATTTATTTGCCCAATTTTTCATTTTATTATATTAAGTTCAACTATGAAATATAGATGTATAGTATATATTATTGAGGACTAGGATTGTTTTATAGTCTTTTTTTGATCACTGCACGGGTTCTCAAACTTTTTTTGCGCATTCTTCCATTGGCGTATTTCTTAGCTCCTAATTCCTCCCTACTCCACATACAAATCTATTTGCAATCTTTCTTCATTCCAATCTTTAACGGAACATTTGCTTGCGATATGTGTAAGTAGTTATCTAACTTTTGTATATTTTAGATAGTTTATAATGTATGAATATATATATATATATATATATGCATTGCAATAATACCAAATAAGTAAAAAATATTTGTGATACTACAATTGTTTGAAAAGTAACATTTCCTCCCCAAAAACATTCAAAATTCCTTTTTTGGAAAAAATTCCCTTTCGGCTGGAAAACGTTGGTTTACGGTAAAGTTAAACTCTGTAACCTATTTATCCAGTATTTAATGGAAATGTGTATTTTTGTATCATGAGCATAAACAACAGTGATCAATTCTGACAAATAACCCAAGTGCTCGACGAAGTGCTTGAAATCGTTTGTATCAGTAAATATTATACTGTATATGATGATTTATTTTGTTTCCTTATAATATGCAAATCATATTTAAAAAATGTAATTTATAAATTATTAAGAGCGAAAAAAATATAAGGCGTAGCCTATTCATTTATACCAGTTGTTTTCATTGTCTAGTATTAGTTTTGTGATCTATAGAGGCATAGTTATATCATCACGGGCAGTCATTTACAAGGATCGGTATCTCTGCTTGACGGCACTTTGCTTGCAACTCTGTAATATCACAATGACTGTTAGGCAAGCATAGACAGAAGGATCCAAATGTCGATAAACTTTTTACACTTAGCGAGTCTTCTGCGGAAAGCCAGGTATCGCGCACTCAGTCACAAGAGTAACCAAATGCATCCGTCCAGGTAGGATGGATGACTATTAATTGAAGTTAAGGAAAGGTTTTTCCTATAGTGTAACAAAGAAAGGTTACAAAAATGAAATGTCAATTTGCATTCGCTAAATTTGACCTAATTGTGAAACCAAACACCAGAGATTCCACCTTTATCATACATACACTTTATTTCAAGTTGAAGAAAACTGAAAAAATATGGAATAGTCTGTTACCGATATGAGTGGAAGAATCGCAGTCTAAAGTTTCACAAACAGTGCACAATATTAGCTTCTAAATAGCTATAAAATGATGAATAATTTAGTTATTGCTGTTAGTGATAATGGACAAAAGAATCCGGAATTTGATCATCAGAATGTCCAGTTGGTTGGCAGGGAAATATTGCAAGTATGACAAATGAATATCTGCACGCTATAGCGGTTATAGTAATTTAGAATTCTCTTTCACAACAAATCTCCTTTTTTTTGGAAAGTTGTTCTGACCAAACGGCCTCGACTCATGGTATCGATTGACAGGATTAGAGTCGTGCTGGGCAAAATGCAAACAATGCTCGCAGTTTTTGCTTAATGATTAGCTAAGTTTAAAAAGGATCAGATAATACTACTTCCTTCTACACAAGAACAACGCTTGGTCCGTGAAACAATATTTACTATATATATTTATTCAACTGCTAAATTCACAATACCATTGCAAAATTTGTAACAGCTTGACCCAATTGGTCCTACAGTCGATCCAATAGCTAATATGACGAACAGTTTAAATTAAACCTTTTGCGGTCTTCGAAAGCAATCTCTGTTCTAGAAGTTATAACTGTAAGTTTTCTTGTAGCCTGCTGCCAGAGCTTTTCTCCAAGACCACATTTCTTCTTCACTATTGCTTATCATTTCGCTAATTACCAGAATCTCGATTTGATGAGCTTGTTATGACCTATGTAAATACTGCAAGAGATTAATGGTGCAGTTCCAGTAAAGCGAATGAAGAGAACCGTAGTGATTTTGTCGCTCGGTGACCACGTTCTTGTCTTGAGACAGACATGAGTATAAATATGTTCGAAAGATCACCGGACGTGCATATTAGATTTAATTAGAATTGTGTTTACAGGTCAAACGCCCATACGTTGAAAATAAGAGGCCACAGAAGTTCAACCAAACGCTTCAAAAATTAAATGCTTCGTGATGCTTTCTTGTAGCTTTCGGAGGATGGAGATTTATGGACGTTTTATTGCCACAAATTTACTTTAATCAGCGAACCTTGTCATAAAATCGTAAATAGCTTAAATACCAGTTTTCGTTTCCCACACAATACGTTTTATGCTAAGCTACATTTTTTTTACACTTTTCATCAAACTTGGTAAATTAGACAACGCTTACGATATCGTTGTCACAGATACTTCAATTAGTGCAAACTATGGATGAACCGGTTGTGTTTTCTAAGGTGGTTGAGAAGGCAAGGTCCGCGTTTGAAAGTGGATTTACGAAACCAGTGGAATTCCGAAAGCAACAACTTCGTAGACTTGTAGATCTACTCGATGAAAATGAAGAATTACTTTATGAAGCTGCGTATAAAGACATGGGAAAGGTATTTTCAAAATTGTAGGATTAAGATTTAAATCAGGTTCGCTGCTAATAATTTCGCCGACTTCCAAGCAAAACTTAAAATTAAAATTGGCGAACAGTTAGTCAAAAGAAGAAGCAACATCTGTAAAGATATGACTTAGATAGAAACAAATTTTTCAGATAACATCTTCGGTAAGTTACTACTCCTAATGTCGAAAGAATCTCACAGTGTACAGTTTGGATACCGTTTTTGAATCCCACACATTTATTTTCTCGTTAAACTTTCGAAGCAATAGAACAAATATAACTATTTACAAATGTAATAAGTTACTATTCATTGACGAGAATCCGGTATGATTATTAAATGATTTCGAAGCGCGTCTAGGAACGAACACAGCGATCAAGTATAGGCCTAATACAAGAATGACACGATGCATCGCTGCGAAAAAAGTCGACGACTTTTTCAGCGATTTACCAAAATAAAATCTTCATTTTTCAAACTGAGGTTTTTATTTATTCTCAATACAGAGTCGTTACGAAACTTATTTTGTTGACACTCATATGTCGAGAAATGAAGTTATAGAAGCCTTACAAAATGTTGGTAAATGGATGAAACCTGAATATCCAAAGGTTGATCTTGCACTTAGAATCTCTAGCGTATCTGTGAGGTTAGTGTTTTATAATTAAAACTACAATTTTTTCATCTGGTACACATAATTTACGAAAACTGATATTTTGTGGAAGAATGGTAAATCCTGATCATAAAAATAATCCACATAAATGTTTCAAATCACGGCAAAATTTGAATAGTTTGAGTTTTGAATATATATATAAAGGTTATTTCTCGGCATTTCATATGGTAGTTTTCAATTCACCTGGTGATATATTTTACGTCTAAATTTATATGTATTTACGCAGAAAGGAACCGTACGGAGTATGCATGATTCTTGGTTCTTGGAATTTCCCATTTCTCCTGACTATAACACCGCTGGTGTCAGCGATAGCTGCTGGAAATTGTGCAGTTGTGAAGCCGTCGGAATTTGCACCAAACTGCGCTAAACTTATACGTGATTTGATTCCCAAATATCTGAACCAGGTATGTAGTTTTTTAGCCCCAATCTGTACAATTCAAGTTTGATTCTCGTGAAGGATGTTAGCTGAATATATTGATCTTTGGAAACCGATGTCGGGAGCTGAGGCAAAAAATCTTTCGCCTCTACAGTTATGATTATCGATGAGTTTAATACAAACCCAACAAAAATAATTATCACCTCCAGCCATCATAAATCGAGCTGCCACGCCTTTCATTATAGGACTGTTATCCAGTCGTTCTAACTGATACGGAAGGATCTGCGAAACTTCTCAACGAAAACAAATTTGATTTAATATTTTATACTGGAGGAGCTAACGGTGGCAGGCAAGTCATGATTGCGGCGACGAAGCATTTAACACCTTTCGTTCTTGAACTTGGAGGGAAAAATCCCTGCGTAGTACACAGGTACAAGTAAATATATATATTGATGTTTCCGGTCAGAATAACATATACGGGTACATGTAAATTATAAATACGTGTTAATTAGTTCCATTCGCGGGAAAACCATTGACGAAACTTCTCGATTTCTTGAGTACCAATGATACTTCATAAATATACTTTAAAGCAGAGGTCGGCAACCACTGGGCCGCGGCTCATTGCCGGTCCGCGGGTGATTACTACCGGTCCGCAGAAAGATTACACAAAACGGACAACGTCCCAAAAACACCTTTACAATCTAACAACAACGATTCCCCGTGATTAAAATTTCAAATGGTAATGTTGAAAAGCGTATTTGGTATTTGCGATATATATCGTGGCAGTCTTTTGGTCGATACGCTTAGATAAATACTCAGACATTGCAAGATAAGCTTTACAGACAGTGTTACCTTTTTTATGTGAGGTCGGGTTTTCGATATTTACAATTACAACTACAAAAACGAAATACCGAAATGGACGTAAGAAACACGTTACGTGTATCACTGTCGAGTGTCGACCATATCTCCAAATTGGGAATAGTTAAGTGCCAGCAAACAAATACAGATCTCGCATTAAATAGCATCACCGGTACCCCTGTTTTTGAAGATATTTTCAACATAATTTTTCTAACGCGTATAATTTACTACATAAGCTTAGTTCGTTTGTATAAAGGTGGTCCGCCAAAATTGTGGTCAGGCTCTACCGGTCCGTCACTTAAAAAAGGTTGCCGACCACTGCTTCAAGGTATAAGTTCCACATCAGCCAATTTGAATTCGCGAAACCCTAATAACCTATTCCTAAATCATAACAGAAGTTCAGATTTGATGACATCGGCCAGACGATTGTGCAATGGTAAATATCTGAACAACGGGCAGGTTTGCATTTCCCCCGACTACGTATTGTGTGACGAAGCAGTGAAAGATGAATTTTTGGAATGCCTCAAGTTAGTTAATAGTTTTATTGATGCCATTGCTCTATTGTTTTATTCACAAAAATAAATATTTATTAGAATTATGGATCAGTAAGTTATTTTTAGTTTATTCTAATCGATTATTATATTTTTTGTTACTATTACCTTATGTATAATATATTGGTTTTGTGCTATGTTACAGAAAAAACTTGGTTCAGTTCTTTGGTGAAAATATGTCAAAATCTCCAGATATATCCCGAATTGTCAATGATCGTCATTTTCAGCGTGTTCAGAAGCTTCTTAATAGTGGCAAAGTTGTTTTCGGTGGTGAATACAATGCAAAAGAAAGATATATCGGCGAGTATTTTTGATGTTTTAATTTTTTCAAGACAGACAACAACCTTGCCAAATGAGTTTGATTTATTTTGGGAATATGCGAACGCTGTCGTTCAAAATAAGTAGAAATTGCATTCTATCGAGTATTGTGAAAGATGTATCTACAGCGCAAAATTCGCTGTAATTTTGTTGCAGAAAATGTTGTTTTGTAGCAAAAGTCACAGTTGGTCTGCATCTGTTTCAAAATAGTCATGACCCCTTGTTCACATACGAAAACATCAACTTAACGCAGAAAGCCGAGCACCACAACATGAATACCACACTGTATGAGTTACTTACTGTGTACTTGGGATCAAAATATGCGTTTTCTAAACTACTTTAAACTTTTTTACCAGCTCCAACGATTTTGACTGACGTTCCGGAAAACTCGCCAGTAATGAAGGAAGAAATCTTTGGCCCCATTCTTCCTATTTTTTCAGTTAAAAATGTAGACGAGGCAATTCAAAAAATAAATGAAGGCGAAAAACCACTCGCCCTTTACATTTTTTCAAGGGACAAAGCGGTAAGACTTGGTTAAGGCATCCCCATAATATGTTAAATGTTCATCGATTTTAAAAAGATATTTTTATCGTTTAAGTAATTGTCAAGCAGCTTAACTAGATAAATCGAATCGAATCCCGTGGGGGGTTAATTATGTGCGAGAGGATTGTTGACCGCATCGCCACAGTAGGGTGATTCACGTAACCGCTGATCGGTGACGACTTCCTCCGCCATAGAGTTCATGCATCTAAAAATAAATAACTGGCTAACTGATCCCATACACGACATGGAATGGTAACCGAGCAAGAGCCCATGGTTTGCCATATGTTTAAGCGGACCTATCGGCTCTCCTCTCCCCCGGGATAAATATGTAAATCCTAATAAACATTTAAGACATGATTATACCGTCTTTAACGCGATCGCGTTTATCAAGTAGCCAGCATTACACGAAACCAAACTCGTGGTATATATATAATAGTTTGGTTAGACTTTGTCGAGCAACGCGTCTCGGTATTTACAAACTAAATAGATGTTTCAATATGGCCGCTTGGTCGTTCAACTCCATGAATACTTCTGTTTCTACAGATAACACAGAAAATATTAGACAACACGTCAAGTGGAGGTGTTGCTGTGAACGATACTCTCATTCATTTCAATCACTTCCAGCCATTTGGTGGTGTAGGTGAGTTATTACTTATCGATCTTAAGATCGGTAAGTATGTTGATAGGTATTTGTCTGTCTGTCTGTCTGTTTGTCTGTTATATGAACGCGATATCTCACGAATGCGAGGTTGAATCTGCTCCAAATTTTGCATGTGCATTCATCATCTCGGACCAGAAGCCTATTGATTTTGGATGAATTGAGTCGTATAATTAGCGAGTTATTAATTAATTAGTGATGGGACACGCGGTGTCACTATAAGGTCATGAATCGAAACCGCAGTTTCGATCGATAAGTCTTCGGTCTCCGACCGATATTCTCGTTAGCGTGTTGGTGGTTTTAGACGGTTTTTGCACGTTTTGGCGTGTTTTAGCTAGTTTTTGACATAATATTGATATGGAGGCGTCACCAGTCATGTTGATAACGATATCTGGTTGCAAACTTTTTCATTTGTCTTGTATTTTTCGAACAATCAGTAAAGCACGAATAAACAATTCAGTTCTGCATTGTCATTAGTCCAACAGACAAAAGAGCTATGCCCAAATATATAGACACGAAGTGGTACTCGTATGCAATCTGTCACAGTAGCCTACCGATACCGTACCGCAGCTGAGCAGCAGATTTGGTCTCACGCGAAAGCGGCTCCGCCACAAGGACTATTATTTTTAATTTTGATGACTTCATCGCACAAAAAGACGAATCTCATGGAGGTCACAGAAATTTTTGGAATAAATGAGAGTGATACAATATATAATCACTGAATAAGCAAAGCAATTGGTTCAGTAGTTTATATAACCAGGTCCAGCAGCGATTTTTTTACAAGAATGAGGAAAGAAATACTAACATGAGGATCAGCTACAACAAATAACAAAACGGTCCATAGGTCCATTTGGCGTCTAATCCGTCATTCCTTTTACATGATGTTGACAAAATTAAATTAACTTATGACAAAGGCTATTTTTCAAAACTGGTTAATAACTCAAATTATAGTTTAATTAATTGTTTTCTGTAGGCCAAAGTGGAATAGGTAACTACCATGGAAAATATGGATTTGACACTTTTTCTCACCAACGTTCCGTTTTTGTTAACAAGACTCCAGATGTGTTTCTCAGTTTTCGCTACCCTCCCTATGCGAAAAGAAACGTGGACACTCTCAGGTAGGTCAGACTGACTGAAAGAGGTAATAGTCGGTAGAGCGTTCTTATCATTGCTTGAAGTCGCACAAGCACTATTAAAAGTTTAAAATCATTTTACGTGGCGCCATCCAAAATATGAGTCAGAATGAGGTTTGAGTCGATACGGATGGCAAATGTTTTACGTAGCTCCGCTAACAATATAATATTTGCGATGCTTACAGGTTGCTAAAGAAGAGGATACCGACAGGTCGTCCTTCCGGAATAGCAATGATGTTGGGAATTGGAGCAATAGGAGCTGCTACGGCGTATACATATAAGGTAGAGTGCCGTCAAAGAAGCTTCATAATCCGTCATAGGTGATAAACAGAGAGCACCCTTTTGTATTAAAGCCGATATAGCCTCTAAAATTACCCTTGATAAATATGAAGTATATATTAAAACTTTAAACTGTGAAACCTTTTTTGAACTTACCTGAATGATACTGATATTTCATGGTATCGGAATTCGGTGGATAATTATTGCAATATCTTCGCTCAAAACTGTATGCTCATTATTTAGGCCATGGACGCTGCCGTAAACACATTCCTATTCTATCCTGTGCGTATAAATAAGTTTCTTTCTATTATAAGGACAGATTGACAACATAATCCTATCATTTCTATTCAGAAATTGTACTCAGAATCAACAAATAAGTGATTATTATCAAGCTACGGAATGGAAAAGGTGTCAATTCCAACGATTTATATATTAGCAAATGTGTGTAATCGTTCGTCGAATTAGTTTTGATTTGTGTGATATATAAGTTATAGCCAGAGTTTTTGTACTTGGGTAATCTTCACTTCAATAACAGACTGTTTGACGAAAAAGAGAATGATATTCAGCTTTAATAAATCGAGTTGTGAAAGATGGCTCTATTCTAGATGTAGGAATGAAGCTATAAAGTCCTAGTGGACTGTGATTAACGTTCACTCCGCCGCGATATTGAACGAATTACGTTTTCATTTGTTTACGGTTTGTATTACATTACATATATCATGGCTTTTTTCCTCACTCCAACCTGCTACCATATCATTTTAACTACTTTTAGTCCCGTTTCAACGCGGATTTTGGCAAGTACAGTGAAATTGTCAAGTAAGGTGACCGTACATTTGAACCCATGCGTATATCCACGGGTTCAATCTATATGCGGGTGCTAAAACCCATGGGTTAGGGTTAGTATGGGTTTAACTATCCGTGAAACAAAAAAAATTCCATAGGTGCAATAGCATACAGGTGCAATTGTCATGGGTTCAAATGTAATGGAACCGTCAAGTAAATGTAGCATTAAGAATATTTTGGGTCGGAATGGCATAATACAGACTACCACCAGGCAGTTCTCAATAGCTAATTCTGTGCAGTCATGTCTTCCTTTTTAAAGCTACCCTACTGTGGTATCATTTCTTGCATCAGCACGGTTATGAGTAAAAAGAAAATCCGTAACATGCTCAGAAATTTTAGAATCAAGGTGGGGCTTAAAAGCTTAAAATGGACAACGACTGTCAACAGCAAGACTCTGTTGTGCAGAGTCGATAAAGCAGGCCCCATCACTACACACATGCAATGATCAAACATTTCAGGTATATATCTACTGTATATATTTAAAAAGTGCACAGAAAATCTAAAAATGACAAAAAATTCGAAAAAGCCAATAAAATATTAGTTACTATTAACATGACAAAATCTGAAACGACAATTGACAGGGAGTATATATGAAATGAAAACCAATTGTCACTTATGTCCTATGCGGTCAGCTGGGACCATCACTTGATAAATAAAACAAGATAAGTTAGCAATGCTCAAAATATTTAAAATATGCATATGGATCTCACATGACGAAGGAAGTTGAAAATTTTTAATTTTCCAAATAAATTCCTAGTACTCGAAGTATTGTTGCAATAGTATAATAAAAAATAACAATTAATTGCTCTTGAAAAATTGAATACATAAATATAATTTTGCAATTGCTTTGCGTTATATTTTCGAGATACCATAATTAAATCAAAATTCCGCAATATTGAGGGCTTGAATAATATAATACTGCTGTAATTGGTAATAATGGCACAACGAACTTGAAACAGGCATGGTAGAAGAAACGCGTTTGGAAGAATACTTAGAAAAAAATAATGTAGAAAATATTGGCAAAAGAAATGGAATCTTATGATAATTATAAATTTTAGAGGGCGTTCAAAAATCGGCCGCGTTGGATTTGAGGTTTGAAAAAACTAACCAGGGAACCAGACAAGAATTTTTTTCATACAGGTTAGGCATGGTAGAAGAAACGCGTTTGGAAGAATACTTAGAAAAAAATAATGTAGAAAATATTGGCAAAAGAAATGGAATCTTATGATAATTATAAATTTTAGAGGGCGTTCAAAAATCGGCCGCGTTGGATTTGAGGTTTGAAAAAACTAACCAGGGAACCAGACAAGAAATTTTTTCATACAGGTAGTATATGTCCAAAGCGTTGTCTAAAAGTTAAACAAGTATTCAGTACACAATCATTTGGAACAATTTAAATTAAAAACAAAATAAATTATGTTTCACTCAGAAAATGATACGAGGCGTTGTTTGGTCACAATAGCGCCCAGAATTATGATGCTGATTTTTCCTACACACTTCCAATAATGGCGGCTGCAATAGCCAAGGGTGCTGCCGTGGCAATCGTGGATAGTGTGTTAGTAGCTGAGGACGTAGTCGTCATTTGTTCATTCGGTACCGTCGAGGTAATATCGGTTTTTGGTTCGGCTGAAAAAACAAACGAAAAAAAAACTTTATTGACAACATGGTACTTTTAGATAAGGATGTTCATCATTTTTCTCATTACATTTTTTTTTAATAATTGCAAGAAGTGATATTTTTGGAAGTAGTGTATTCAAGAATTTGTATTTACTATTTCGATTTATATACCTTTTATTATAAAATACGGATATCCGAATATATCAAAATCCGTCTTATATCGAAGACTTAAAGAAGGTAGCTTACCGGTCAGTTTTTCGCCATATCTGTCCAATAAAACCATGTCAACACCGTTCGTCCATCCGAAACCAGCTTGTACGTCATATTCACCACCAGCACCCGGTACACCGTCATCACGTGTGACAATGTACTGTAAAACAGACCAAATTTTGAAAATCGTTTTACATTCTGTGTGTAAAGTCAAGAAACGCCGACAAGTACATATTCTGAATAAATGGATTGAAAGTGAACAATTGCTTATATAGTATGCCTCACTTATCCTGTTTGTATAAATACTTCATTTGTGGGTGTCTAAATAATGGTGGTTTATATACATTTTTGTATAAAATTATAGGTACTCAACAGTCAGTTTTTAAAATTTAAAAATCGTATAATATGTTATTAGTTAAAATTTCAAACTTTTATTATTTTGGCGTGTTTCACTATGTCCTACTAAGTACTAGTTTATTTAAATGGCCGCAAGCTTCGGTTCCTGTCCTATAAATATCACCCGCTCTATTACACTATCGGGTGAGGTGGCAGCACCAATGGACTGTACAAGACCCCTATTTTCCGCCTGTATCAGCTTAAAGACAATCTTGTGTATCTTTGCTTGTAATGGTGAAAGTGACAAAGATATTCAAATCTACCTTTTCGAACATCCATTGTTCTTCTGAAATATTGTAACCCCTCCAATTTGTAGTGATCCATTTCTGTGCCTGATCGAACGCTTCAGTTTGAAGTTCAGTCACATCGCTATTCGCCATTCCTTCTATGATCATGTGCTAAATGGAGTTACAGAAATTTTTATTATTTAATTCGGCCGGGCCATGCAATATCGGAATCGAGGGCCCACGATATAGGATTAGCAACATGTCGACAGAAATATGTTCCAGCGTTGCTGAAATATAGCAGTTGCCTTCAGATTAATACAAAACCATATGAAAACGGGACTCAAAAATGTCATGTCCCACTTGTCTCACACTTTTCCCCCTTCAGCACATATTTCCCACAGTTCTGAGTTAGGGTAGATATTTAGTATGAGGCAAATGGTTAAAGTAAGCAAATGAAGTAAATTGTTATGTTTCGGGTTAGGATAGATATAATACTTTGGAAGGTAAAGTATTCAAATAAAATAAGATTCATATAAATAGGGCAAGTGGGACACAATATTCTGAGCCATCCTGTAAAAAAAAATTGAGGCGTTGGGAGGTAAAGAGATAATTCTACTCACCACCAATGGAGGCCAAGCATTCGGAAAGTCCCACTGTTCTCCACTTTCGTTTAGAGAAGTTGGAATTCCACCAGGAAAATCTAACACAGACGTTCCGTCTTTGTGCAAAGTAGATTTTAGGTATTGATGAAGTCTTTGTTCACGAGTTTGTACGTTGATTGAATCAGGATAGCATTTGGTCCACAATGGATTGACATTTGATGCAAAATATTGTCTAGAATAAAAATTTATTCATAAAGAAACGTGATTAATCCGCATAATTACTCGATTTATTCCAAAAAAACGAAAAGTGCAAAGGCAGCATTGCGTGTGTTGAAACTTGTATAAAATAATGCTATAAAATATTAAAGTTCACACCATAACCATAATGAATAAGCGTGCACTATTTTATGAAACGGTGTTATCTCAGATATACTCAAATTGTATAATCATCGTATAATCAAATCACAATTTCAGAATTACATGACCTTTATAACAATTTGAACGTCACACTTCATCTATTGATCCATCTGTCGATAATGCAAATTCTGAACTCGGTTTACACGCTTCAAAATTTAACGACTTAAACTTTTTGTTCGAGCGGCGCCAAATCAGGAGAAAGAACACACGGCGCACTTACACGAAATTAATTCTGCTTTTAAATAAAACTCAATTTCGTGATCGTAAATGTGTACTTCATGCTTGCGTGACAGAAAGTAAACGACATAGAAAGGTAAAATGAATTTTTTGATTCATATACACAGCATTTAAAATATAGGAAACGATAAAACATTTATAATAAATACAATATGTAAAATATTCAATTGTAGTTTAGTTGTTTAATACAATTCTGTTAATTTTCGCGACGCACTTGACAACTCGCCGCGGCGTACCTTTTTGAAACCGTTGCCCCTAGCCACCAGGAATAAAATAACAATAAATTTACTGACCTATTATGTGCTTTTTGAGATATTAAATAATCGTAATAAACACCATCTTCTTCGTTCCATAATATTTTTTCAATTGCTTCTCGGCGAACGTCGTACGCTGTCATGTACTTCTCCGATTCTGTGTTGTTACCTGAGATTGTGTTATATACATATTTAGAGTATACGAGTATTAACGGAAAAATACAAAAAAAAGTTCGTCACTGACTAATCAAATTTTCTTGTGTAAGGTTGTAAAAAAGGGCTTAGACCTAAAATTGCCAATTCAATATCGTGACCAGCTGACCAGCTAATAATTTTTGCTCAACAAGGTTTTTAAATTTTCGTTTATCTCCAGTTGAATTCACACCCTTACTTGCTGACGACTATGTGGCAAGTTTCAAACAGTTTCTGTCTTAAAGGTTTATATTTGTTAATAATGGTTAGTTTTTCCTTCAGTTTTACCTATTATGGAGTTGAAGTCCGCCAACGCTTTTTCTACAGTCGCCAAAATGCTGTTCAAATCAACCGGTACAATATCTCTTGTTCGGAGATTTCGCAGTAATTCAGTATCGTTCCCATAACACGAACCTGGTAACAAAAAAATCATGTTGTAGCAAGACAGCTTTAAACGCTCTACTATCTTGGTTAGTGCAACAAAGGCTAAGTCGTTCCATATCATTAGAATTTAAATGTAATGCTCTACCTGTCCATCGCGATGAAAAATCCCAGCCAGATTCGCAAGCCGATGTCATGTGACTCATGAGTTCAGCACCAGCGGCTGAAATAAAATAAATCGTTATAACATGCGGATTTGAATAGTTACGCTTTTAAATAAATTCAGTATACTGCCGAAAAAATAGTAAGTTTAAATATAATTGAAAATATATCCAAATATCATTATACAAATTTGAATCGGTAAATACCAAAGTGGCAAATTCAAAAATCAATATGATTGTAAATTGAGTTATTTTACAATGCAACAGCATCGTTTTTATTTACTGAACACACCTTCATCAAGCCCCAAGGTTAAATTATAATCTTCTCTGTACGATTCAGGTCTAGGTTGATTTACATCAGATGCATATCTGTTCAATACATGAGAATTTCCCGCATTATCTTCAACTATTACATTTCTTTGGGTCATCCAGAAAGCGTATTCACGTTTTAGAGTAGGAAGGGCTTCGACGAGAAAGTCGGTGTCGCCTGAACATATAATAGAAAGGAATTAGTTGTTGAAAATCAACAAATCTATTCAACGTCTATGTCCAGCGATTGAGTTGACGATAAAATTACGCCGATAAAAACAACTCTACCTGTTTTATTGAAATATTCGCGGACCATGAGCGTCAAAAATGGAGGCTGACTTCTTCTTGTGTAATAGATCCGACCTCCGTTCGGTACAAAACCATATTTGTTCACCAAATCAAGAAAATTGCGTATAGAACCTTTCACAGTGTCGAACATTTCGCTCAATAAAAGACCACGAATTATCCAATAATTATCCCTGGAAATATGAAAAAATCAAGTAAATATCATTGAAATAACGTGTACTTCTGGACATGCATTCTTCTCGTCGATCGGGATAGAAAGATAAAATTCTATATTCGAATACCAGAATTTTGCCAATGTACCAATTCGAAAGTAAAAAAATCGTGATGTAGGCTAAGTTTTTGAAGTTATTGTCGACTTTTTCGATGAATACGAGGTAAATAGCATTACCATTTACCAATTCAAGTTTTCTATTTTTAAACTGAAATTGCCGTACAAAGTTTACTACGAAGTTCATATAATTTCAAAACCAAGTGGGCCTAAGAAACGAAAGTATCTATAAATCACTAGGTTAGCTCTATGAAACCAATGTGTCACGCGCACAACCACAATCAAATGTTCGCCTATTCGCTACTTTGAATTAAATGTGCAGGCAACGTCAGTTAAAACAGACAAGGACTAAAAGTTAAGTTAAAATTAAAGTACCAAATTACCAATAATAAAATTCTCGGAATCTTCCGCCTGGCACAATGATTGGATGTGACGAGTAAATCATACTGTATAAATGATTGTTATTTTTAACATCGTCTTTAATTCTGCATCCGAGTTCTTTCCACAATTTATTAAGATGAGAAGCCCATGATTTGAGACGATCGTCTGCTATGGATTCAAGGAAGACAGGCCTGTGTAATAACGTAAAACGAATGAATAATTTGTGCATTGGACAGTAGTTTTTAATTGCCCAGCCTTATAAATTACCAGGGCGCATGGCTATTAATTACAATCTTCTTTTCAATCGAATATAGGCCAAAAGTTAAATTAATCATTATCTTCTGGTTGGTGCATGATTTTAGTCTTAAAATGAAGTTGTTGGCCTTTCATATTGTATTAGAGCGACAAAGTTTAGCATCTGTTTTTTCTGCAACGTGGAAAGCAACATAAAAGCAGATTTACGTTTCTGTCCAATCTTGCGGTGTCCATTTTTCGAGTTCCAAAGAAGTGTCGTCTTCTAATTTACCGACAGGCTCAAAATTAGCGTTAACAAAACTGGTCATTTCTGCGTCAGTTGGATTTCCCCCAGTTCGGTTTTGAAGGTCGTCAAATTCTTGTAGAATTATATCTGAGTACAAAAATGTATTTATTAGGTATTTTTGCTATTTATGCGCAGCGTGAACAGGGTGAAAACAGTGCCCAATTATCAGTCTTCATTTCATTTCGGTATTCATTTCGAAAATGTATTCTCACAATAACTAAATACTGTATTTCAAAAAGTGAAAATCAAGTCGATTTTACGATATGGTTATTTAATAGAAATAAATTTTCATATTTAAAAATATTGGAAAGTGAACAAAACAAAAAAACAAACGTTTACCTGATGTGTTTTTCATTTTCATATCGACAAATGTTTTCGAATCCTTCTCAATATGAGCAAACTGAGCACTCGACAAAAGAGGTCCATAGCAGTAGATTTCGCTGCAAGCAAACAAAAACTTTGGTAAAATATTTGAGTTCGACTGAATAACAACCAATATAGAGTGGCAGATGCGTTAAAGTGAAATCTCAGACCATCCCTAGAAATATCGTAAAACAGGAAAGGATATTCAAGTTCTGCATAAATGATATTAAAGTCGGAATAAATAACATATGAAAAATAACAATGTTACATAATTTTGGTAAATCGTAATCGACTGTATAAAAATGGCCTATTTCGACAAATAATTATTATACTGTGTAATGACGAATATTGGAATGTTAGTAATTTAGTACTACCATACAACAGTCCGCACATATGCAAATACTTGCGAAATAATAATACATATATAAAACAAAATTTCCCCTGCATAAGGCAGGAAAGGCAAAACCCGCCATCGATAATTTTAAATCATACGGTGACAATTCACAATTAACTCTTCGGTCATTTTGAAAAGATAAATGCAAATTGGGTATAAAAAATTCGATTGTCTATTATCATCTGGTTTCTTGCACGATTCAGTTTATTTTCTGAGAATCAATAACGAGCACTATAACCTATATATCGTAATTTAATTTATATACATATATTACAACATCAAGTCCGTCACGTTTCAAATTTATAAAATAAATTCAAGTATATTTCGCGGAACATCGAAAAGGAACAAGGCCTCATCATTAGTTATATGTAAATGTGATTAAACTAGTCCTATCTTCTAAAGTACGACTAATGGCAAATTTGTGCCTAATGTTGGCGCGGTCGATATTTTTATAACTTTTGATAAGGTGTAACGTAACTAACGTGTTTTAAAAATCATGAGTCTCAAAATAGCAACATTAAAATTCCTCATTAAAAACAAAAATTAAAAACGTTTATTTCTCAGGCTATCCAAATAATTTGCTCTAAAGTTAGAACAAGTGGAAATAATAATTTACGAAAAATAGGATTCAAATAATCATAGTTACTGATTTCGTGTTTTGTCATTTTCCAATGTAAAGCATGCACATCTGTGACGGTTATAATGTATCTGTATATATACTATACCTATTTAAAGTATTGGAAATTTAAATACTGTACATATATGCCACTATTTCAAAATTATTGGAATATGCGAATTCTTCCTAGCCATACCAAAACTTAAGTGGCGATTTCAGGCACAAGATTCAACTTCACATTCGCATTATTTTGTTTTACATTCTCACAGATTACTACTGTACACACGTAAATAAACGATGAAATTCAAATACCCACTGCGACTGGACCACTCGATTTAAAAACTCACATTTATCTCAACAGACGGTGGATAAAGACAATGAATCTAATCTAGCCGGAAAGAAATGTGAGAAACAGGTCTATACAATACTACTTGAAAAGGCAGTAATATTATAAATACAATAAAATTAAAAATGAAGTCATTTTATACATTTCGAAGTAAATTTCCCATTTCGCCTACCCATAACGTTCTTTTTCGTCTATCGGCGTATAACATTCCACCCTTTTTGATTTACTGTACAGGACATTATTGTTGGCGAAATCTTCGACAAGACATTGAAGACGACAAAATAGCTTTTTCCGTCGCTCAGCATCCTTGCTTTCACTGTATATTTCATCAGTTTCAGTGAGCAAAAAATTCATATCTGTTTCTTTGAGCTGTCGCGACTTCACGAAATATTTATCAGATTCAGAGTCACCAATGATCAAATTATCGCTTTGCTCACAATCGACCGTAACCTCGCTCATCATTGAGTTCACTGCGGGGTCGATTAATAACTTTGTTTTCGTACCACCACTCATGACTTCGGCAGTACTAACTTTTCGATATAATAAAGCAATATAATCTATAAATTCTGCAAATTAAAAACCACTTTTACACATATTGTCAGTTTATTATCTTCTCTGCTTAGCGCTACGTACGTCAATTCCTATCACGAACGTTCCATGAATATACTACGGTAAGTAAAATACGTGTATTACCTTGTTTCTAAACTCGTATCTATTTATAAGTTCGGCTAGTTTAATACATTAAGTTTTTACATTCACAAAATCAAGGCACCTGAAGCGTAAGATATATTATGACGCAAAACAATATAAATTTTCGTTTTTTTTTCAAGTTATGATAACAAAAAAATGAGTCGTCTTATTCAGTCAAGCAATCAGGTTAATATGACAGTACAATACTCCTTTACATGTAGTTGAGCAATAAACGGACAGAAGAATCCATGACCGAAAACAACGAATTCGTACATAAGTTATAAAGTAATAAGATTTCTTGAAAAACTTTAAAGTAGGATCGAATACAACAACTATACCAATTATATGCAGATTCATCAGATTATTTTTCAAAAAAATTTACTATGGAAATCCTTAATACGAACACAAAATCTTGTTCACGCCGTATCCCACATTATTATACTACATACCAGTTATCGCTTGAGTTTACCCTTTTCTAACATACTTTATGAACGTCCGCTGTGCTGAATAATAAAATTTATTACATCGATAAACTGCACCGCGATAACTAGGTCACACTGGTAGTGGTAACTACTAAATTCGATGTGCCATCCGAAGCTAAGATACGAACATATGTAGTAAATATCCCTTTACGTTGCGCTTTCTTTTTTCAAACTAGGTAACCGGCAATACTTTGATTATGTAATATGTCTCTCTCGATCTCGCGAAAGATGGTAAACTGACAAACCTCCAGAATTAACCAATCACGACGCCGCTTATTCAACTCGCATAGCAAACCCCAACTAAATATGGATTGTCGAAACCTGCCTAGAAATGACGCGTCATAATGAAGCTAACGAACGGTTACCGGAGCAGACCGGATTGAAACCGGTTATAAAATAATCTTTGGAACCTTTAAAAAAATTAAGGTCGTTTACGAGAATAAATGTGGCGAGTCAAAGTACTTAGGGATAAAGCAAGATATCGGTCCAGGCAGCCAAATGTTGCCTCCTACATTTCGCTATCTTAAAAGTAAGCATTTTAGAATAAACTTCTGATCGTAAACGGTGGCGTGATTTTCAAAACAAAATTTAATTCGAGGTGCGTGGCGGAGTGAGATTACCGTTGTTGGCGTAATGTTTGTGACATAACAATCGAAATAACAGAGTTGCTCATCCAACCACAAAGACATAACGTCACTACTTATAAATAAACACAGATGGTGGTTATAAACAAACGGCTACTGGACGATCCATAAAAACGATCCTTATAGCAGGTTACGTTTGACAAAAAGGCAAATTCATAAATGTACATCTGCATATCAAGGTTTCAGACCGTGATTGTGCCACGTAATATGCAACGTCATGACTGTATGGCTGCCAAGGTTTATGGCAGGAAGCGAACTAATAAATTGACTATAATTATTTATACCATGCATATATATATAGTGGAATTCATTGGCAGTTTTCCGATTTTAAAAAGGTCGTGAATCTCAATACGTACCTCAAAATTTCAAAATTTCTTTCAATTGAAGATTTACATTTAAGTTTTGATGTTTAGAATTTTCAAGGGATTGTGAATTATGAGCGTGATATCAGTCATTTAACTAAATGACTTGCTACTATACCATCAACATACGAATGTGTGAGAACTTCAAAATTATCAATTAAAAATAATTGAAAATTTCAGAATGACTCAATTCTAAATGTAGGAAAATTGCCGTAAATTGTCCGTGAAAGACACACCCACCGGTTTTGACAGGTTTGAACCGGTTTGGGAAAATGTGATAAATCGTGATTTCAATAACGGATAATTGTCCAATGAAAAAATTAGCTTTGTAGTATATGAAACCAAGAGTGGCACGGCACGATGCTCTTGACATCAACGAGGCCAAGTTACAGGGATAATGAGATACGTCATATCCTAACGATGCCATTTTTGTTCAGACGTTTTATTTCTTTGAAATCTACGGCTAAGTTTATGTCCTTACAGTCTCTCGTCTGACATGAAAAGCGGCTCAGCCAACGCAATTTGACGGGATGTGGGAAATATTTATTATACCAATACGATTACAAAACCCTTAATAAGGTTGTAATAATGATCTTTTCCCCAATTCCTGATTATTAAAGTTAACGATTTTGAACTTAACAAGGGTCTTTCTATATAGACTTCAGACACTCGGATCTCCGTATTATTATAGCTTTATTAACCACTAGCATCTGTATATTTGTCAATACACGAAATCCAAATTACAATAATTCCGATAAGTAGTGGAGGTGTTTAATTTGATTTTGTACGTGGGGGGGGTCAAGACCCAACTTAAAACAGCCCCTTTTCCCAGTTGGGTCTGAAAATTTTAATTTGCTTACCAAATTATACAAAAATATTTAATATTATTAGTATTTGCATTGTCAAACGTACTAAGAAATTTGTGTTAATAGGGCCGATGATTGCTATCAGATTATATTATATCAACATATTTTTTGCTGTTCGTTCGCCTCTGTAACATGCGCAATCGTAATAAAATTATAATGTTAATGTTATCAGCTTACCGTATAAATCATACCATATTTACACATTTTTCGGGTTCTGGTTTTAATGATAACATCATTATTCTCCAGGGAGCGAGACAGTTCAAGGTTCGTCTGAACTTAGATCGTAAACTTGTGACGTAAAAGGTGGCGTGACTGACACAGCGAACTTTATCTAATCCAAGGGGGCGTGGCGGCGGAGGTTTACGTTTGTTTACAAGGTGTTTGTGACGTGACAAACAAAAAATACGTCACGGCCCAACCGCAAATCCGTGACGTCACTACTTATAAACACAGATGGTGCATATTTGTAAATCGATACTAAACGACCCATCAATAGATATATCGTGAGTGTGCTAGACTAGAACTTGTCGTAAAATGACTATGATCATAAAAACAAGAGAGCTATGCTCAAATATATGAACACGCAGCGTCACCTAATGGCAATAATTTTGATGACGTCATAGCAACAAAAAAAGTAATAGCCTTTTGAAGAAAATTTTTATCTTTAACCACGAAAAATTACAAAGCAATTGGTCCAGTAATCAAAGAGAAAGGCGATTTCTTCAAAACGTGTCAAAGAACAACAAGAACAAGAACAACATAATAACAAAACGATCGTTATGTCCACTAAACGTGTCCAAAAACGATCAAGTCTTCACACAATGTTTAGTTTCTCTGTAGACAAATTTAACTTTGGAAATGTTGAAGTGTTTCCAAACACGATGAAAATTTACTGATGAGGTAGATACGTGTACAATATCTTTACGTTACGTCTGCAGCTGTGTACATAAAATAATGAACAAATATTAATACCTGGTCAGTGTGAAAATATATTTTTGGAAAAGGAAACAAAAAACGTACCGCTTTTATTTCTATTTGTAAAACCACAGCGCAGGAGTTTCGTATACGGTAGCTGAATTATAAGCGAATAAAATATAACCGTTTATTCATTCTTAATTGTGCGCTTTCCCGTGTTTGCGAAAGGCATCCTAATTGACCAACTCAACGAATTTTAATTTTTTCAAAACAGCTGCCCTTTGTCACGATCATTCGTGTTTTCCGTTTGTTGTTTTTATGAGGCACTTGTGAACTCGCTAGTGTGAAACATTAATTATGAAGCGTAATCGGGCGCTGTGGGACGTGTTTGAAAACGGGACAAATCAGTTTGACTAACTGTGCATTCACGCAACATATTTCGTTACCTACACAAGCTCAAATACGCCGCCTAAAGGTTCAGTCAGCAGACTACCACAATTATCGACTATATCGTGTGCGAGACTCGCGAGAGCATTATATAATCTCTGATTATCTTGTCTTAATATCCTCAATATGCATGTAAAGTAAAAATACTAAACTAACAATGAAGAAATTATTATAAAATTGTGATACAATTATATACATACTAAAATCATTATAAGCAAATTTTTCACACATACTGTAATATCGTATCCGTATGACTAACACAGAATTATATTTTTTGAAGAAAAACATTTATATTTTTCCTAAATCAAAAATTTACCATATCGAATGTAAGTAATTTCCAACTTATTCAAATATTTGATTCATTTAAAAAAAAAATGACATTTATATTATTCCTGAATCAAAAATTTACCATATCGAATGTAAGTAATTTCCAACTTATTCAAATATTTGATTCATTTAAAAAAAAATGGCTGAATTTATACCAAATAATACCATGTGATTGAAAAACTGTATCAATATTGAAAATGCCATATAACCATATGAAACTACACATGCATGAAGTACTTCAAATACTAGACCTGAAAGGCTACTTCTGACAAAACTCCTACCAAAGGGCCTGTTCTTCCAAACAGACACCAGAGGCTCTTTTATTCAAAACCCTTCGGTAGGTAGGTAAGTAAGGCTCCCTTACTCATAAGCATAACTTTAACTCATAAGACTATCACATGCGGAAATGGCCTTGTTCAGCAGCTCAAATAAATAGATTTGAATAACAAAGATTGGGTGCAATATTTATATGAATGAAGATTTATTTCCTGCAGATCTAGATAATATACCAATCCATGATATTTGAGATATATATTGCAAAGACCAAACATTAAACACAAGTGACTGTTTATAAAAAAGCAACACTCCAATAATCCATCCGTTACTACTTCCCACATTGCCCTCATCAATACATATAAAAAGGAACAGGCAATCAGATATTTCTGCAACGAATACCGAAAAAGAGGCGACGGCCCAACACATGGATAAGTTTTTCAGCTACTGGTATTTCCTCTCCACCAGGGCAAATATGAAAAATTTCATCCACTTATAGAATTCTGTCTTAAGCGATGAGGTTTGTCGACAATAAGCAAATTATTATTTATGAAGTTGAAACTTACCTGTCACAAGGGTTAATAATCTGGGTATAACCCGCATTGAAAAACAGTGTTCCAAGTAATATACATTGCAGTGGAGTTCCTTTCTGTGATAACATATCAACGTTGAAAGAATAAGGATCTATAACTTGTATCAGGAACAGTACCTGCTGAAAACATGAAGAGAAAATTCAAAGAATCCCTATTAAGAATCAAATTTCGTATTGTGACAAGTATATGAAAATTGCCCATGCCCATATTTTTACTACAATGTGTGTATTATCACAAAAAAAACTCATCATGTCTATTCACACACATCCAATGTATACATAACTGATTGATCCAATACAGCAATAGGTTTTTCAGATTTAAAAGCCAAGAGTATTTTTCAAGTACACCTCAAACTGAATTTATCAACTATATCTTGCTTTAAGAAAAAATGGCAACGGTAATACATTTTAGCATGACTATCCCTTAATAAAGCAATATTTCCTTACAAACCGCCCTAACACTTTAGTCTTTTAGTTCTGCCTGCATGTAACTGTGTTGTACAGCGCATAGCAACTTGGGTCTATTATGTTGGCAGCATACTACACAATAGAAATGTTGTCGCATGGTAAACAGCTATTAGGACTTGGCAAACAATTGCATTATAGAAAGAAAGATAGCAATACTCATGTTTTAATTTGAAGAATTGCGCTCACAAACATAAGTTGTCAACAAACATAAGTTGACAAATATAACAGTTGACGTCAATTGAATTGCACATACCAATCGAACCATATCAAAAACATCAATAAATGACAGTTTGTTGAATATTGAATGGTTGGATCTCCATTCAATGAGGAAATATCAAATCTTGACATAGAAAATCGGCAGTTACGCACAGTTGGACATTCCCATACCCAACATATACTGGTACCCATATGGAATCATAGTTTCACTATAGTATCTGCCTCGCTGACTTTCTTTCCATATTAGCATATTGAAGATATATACACAAGTATTATCATATTCTTGGATAAATACAAACTTAAGACGCTGTGAATCACCATGCGAATAAGATGTCCTCTGGTGGACATAAAATCCCTATTCTACAATAAGTGCAATCTAACGGCGGCGGTGTGGCTCAACGGGCTAAGCGTTAGGAATACGCTCGCCACCGCACCTCTAATTACTCTGCGTGGGTTCGCAGGTCCGAATCCCATGCAGGGATGGTTATGTGCGAGAGGATTGCTGGACTCCTCGCCGTCGTTGGGTGGTTCACGTAACCGCTGGTCGATTACGGCTTCCTCCACCACCAAGTCCATGCTTCCGAAAACAAACAATACAACTAATCTCATACCCGACTTGGAATGGTAACCGGACGAGAGGCTGTGGTTCGCCATATGGATAAGCCGTCTTATCGGCTTTCTTCTCCCCTGGATAAATATGTAGATCCTATCCTAACAATTTTATGTAGCATGAAAGCAACTTCTTTATTGAAATTGGTTCAAATCAAGCCTATGCCTTCACTCCAAATTGAGCAGAATATATAATTAAAAGCAATAACTAAAGCAGAAAATTTAATAAAATGATGGACTATAGACGTCTTCATTAAACATATCAATTTTATTACATTAACTCCGCTAACTCAGGTAATTAGTTCTCAAAAAAACATACAATGATAATAGATGAGCAAATACTTACAAATATTGATAGTAGAAGTATGCATATTAGAAATATAGCGATGCATTTCTTGTAATGACACCTTCTTTTCAGCCTGCAGTTTATAATATTCGTATAGGAATTTGACTGGAGACCATCCGTCTGTATTGAAATTCAAAATTTGTTATTGTATCTTAGTTGTATTAGTTACAAGTATGTGATATATTAAATATATATATATAATGATAACCCATTAGCATAGAAAAATTCAGCTGTGCTACTACGATCTTCTATTACCAGTGCTTGTATCAAAATTTTAGTTTAAATTGCAGAATAGCAAGTCAACAGTTTGAGACAAAATGAAAAAAATACCAATATCTAGAAATAATTTACAAAGTGAAATATATTGTTAGCTATCTTCATGTAAATATCATGGATATAGCATACTAAATAATTTGACATAAAAAATCGATGTATAAGATATTTTGCGGAGAAATTAATTTATTTATTACGACTGATTACTACCAATTGCTACTGCACTTACAGTAGGAAGTATAAGTCTATATTGATGCTTTTTCCATTGTAGCATCTCCATGGCTCAAATTTTGTTTATATTGATCTTCTGTCATTAAATTTCAACTTCATTTAATTCCACTATTGTAAAGAAAATTTCAGTCACAAATTGCCTGCAGGTGAAATGTGAGCTTTTCTTTACTTCTTTTTGTATTAACCATTTTCCTAAAAATAAGGATATGTTGACTATTCGCAAATTGATATATTTGAAAAAATTTCTTCTAAGTGCTGAATTGGGCCAAACCGTAGACTTGTATTGTAACAATATGTCTTTTCCATAATTTTGTGTAATGTAACTTACCGTCGGATATCTAGGTGCAATTTTTTTGCTAACTAATAAAACGAGAATATCGGTCAGAGACCGAAGACTTATCGATCGAAAGTTAGGGGATCCCCCAAAACAGAAACTGCGGTTTCGATTCGAAAAATTCTGCAAACCCGAACTGGATTGTTTTGATTAGTTTTCAGCCAATATCAGAAATGTAGGAAACAATAGCCAACTCCCCATGTCGTCGAAATACTACTCGAGGAAATACTTTTATGAAGAATTCTGCAAATCCGAACTGGATTGTTTCGATTAGTTTCCAGCCAATAGCCTATTTCTGTATTTACCAATCCTATAGTTTGTGTCAAATACAACGGCGCTAACCCAGGTTGCGACGGCTATTCAAACACAGCCTAGCGATATTTTGGTGAGGAATTCTGCAACCTCGAACCTGATTTAGGGATATGGACATTGCTTAAACTTTAAGGAGTAATTATAAGTAACGAGATACGATCTCGCGGCGTGTATCCTTCGCTCTGACTCAATAGTGTGGAAAATTTCTCGAAGGAAACTTGCGCATCGCGACGACGTCAAAGTTACAAGAGAGATATGGACAAGGCTCAAAGATTAATCACGAGATACGATCTAGCGGTGTGTATCCTTCGCTCTGACTCACTATCGTGAAAACTTGCGCATCTGATACGCACACACACATTCAGCGCGTCTCGAAAATCTCTCGATTTGTAAAAATCCAGATCTCTTCATCACTAATTAATTAATAACTCGCTAATTATACGACATAATTCATCCAAAATCAATAGGCTTCTGGTCCGAGATATGATGAATGCACATGCAAAATTTGGAGCAGATTCAACCACGCCTTCGTGAGATATCGCGTGCATCTAACAGACAGACAGACATACACACATACATACAGACAAATACCTATCAATATACTTACCGATCTTAAGATCGATAAGTAATAATAGTATAAATTAGACATGAAACATAACATTTCCAAAATTAAAAACTGAACATTAAAACCAGAATGGTACGGTAACCACGATAATTAAATGAGAGAAATTGCAATTTAAACATTTAACACTCACCTGTGCTCTATGGAGGGAGTCCACCGCCAAGGATGGGATACATCAGCAGCAACAAATAAGCGGAAGTCACGTTCGCGTTTGCCTGCCCTGCCAGCGGAAACATGTGAAGCAGGTGCCAAACAGCTGATCAATCTGAACATGTGACGACACTTGACTGTTTATATCAAAAGCAACCAAGTGTGACGTTGTGTGTGTTGTAAATAGACCTCAATGGATATTTTTATGAACATCAATTTCCTTGTTTATTTCCGTAACAATTACTAATCAGCAGTAAGTCAATATTGACGTAACAATTGAAATTTATTCAATCGCTCAGACACTTCTTTTGCTCAAACAGATATTGTAGGTAGTAGTATATATTTACGGTAGTATAGGTGTAAACATTGCATTGATTTCGCAGTTTTGCGTTTTATTTGTCAGCTTTCGGTTGTGTTTTCAAAAATTAGCTGTAAATTGAATAATTTACTTATCATTATGTCTTCAAAGAAGCTTCAGTTTAGACGTAATATTCAAAAATTATTCCCGGAATGCTAAAGTAAGTAATAGTACCTGTAAGCGTCATGTGGTAGCATATTTTTTTCATAAAAATAATGGTGTTGAACATTTAAACGAATTGTAAGCGCCTACTCTTTGGAACACTTGTTTTTTTGGGTTCAGGGTCGGGAAAACCGTAAGAGAAACGTCTACCGTCTGGTATTCTAACTGGCCGATGGTCTTCAGATCAGAACCATGGCTTAGTTAAACGACTGAGAGAATCATTTATAACGTTCGGGAGACCAGAGGAATGGGGGCCCTCAGTTCCCCTGTGGTAAAACACAAACTTTCTCTAAGGAGTCCGAAATAGAATCACGTCAGTTGCTAACCCCCTGTAAATTACATATCAGAATTGGGCGACAAAATCATCAAGCTAATGCTGGCCCACCAAGCATATTGGACGTATACAAGTTTCAGCGATCAATGCTGTTATACAGATTTTTTATTGACTCAAGGACAATAGTATCTACTGCTGACTACTACTGATCAAATGTCAATGGACCTTTCCCCGAGCATCGACTTCTTTGTTTACTTCGTGACATTGACCAATCAGCAAGATGCAAAAAGTGACGTAACAATGCTTTCTTTTCGCATCCGCTCAGACACTTTTTCACTCAGACCAATGACCATTAATATACTGTATGTTCATTGCTCAGACAGATTTTCAGGCGTGGTCGTAAACATTACCTCGTTTCCGCGTTTTTGAACTCTATTCATTAGTTTTCAGTTGTGTTTCGGAAATTTAAATCAGATAATTCAAGGATTACTTTGTCTTCTTAGGAGTTTTAATTCAATTGCGGTAATAAAAAATTAGTGTAGAAATAGCTGTGATAGGCTGGGCTTTTACCGGTACTTTTAAAAAACAGATTGTTGTATGCGATGAATCATAATGATGGTTTGAAACACATACCCCATTTTACAGGCGTCAACTCGCGAAACCACTCTTAAAATAAGCCCCGAAAATTTTGCAATATTAAAGTATACTATAGGAATGATTTTTCGGGGTACAAAGGTCGGGGAAAGGTCCATTGAGCAGCGTGGCGCATTGTACTAATCGTTAAGAATGCGCTCGCCGCCGCACCTCAGATTACCTTGCGTGGGTTCGCAGGATCGAATCCCATGCGGGGTTACTTATATTCAAGAGAATTGCTGGACTCCTTGCCGGCGTATGGTGGTTCACGTAACCGCTGGTCTGTTACGGCTTCCTCCGTCGTCAAAGAACTGGATAACTGAACCCATATGTGGGCGCGGCGGTGTGGCTCAACGGGCTAAGCGTTAGGAATACGCTCGCCACCGCACCTCTAATTACTCTGCGTGGGTTCGCAGGTTTGAATCCCATGCAGAGATGGTTATGTGCGAGAGGATTGCTGGACTCCTCGCCGTCGTTGGGTGGTTCACGTAACCGCTGGTCGGTTACGGCTTCCTCCACCACCAAGTCCATGCTTCCGAAAACAAACAATACAGTAAACTAATCCCATACCCGACTTGGAATGGTAACCGGACGAGAGGCCGTGGTTCGCCATATGGATAATCCGTCTTATCGGCTTTCCTCTCCCCTGGGATAAATATGTAAATCCTATCCTATATCCGACATAGACTGGAAACCGTACTAGACGCACTGGTTTGCCGCCACATGATCCTATCGACTTTTCTCTCATTCGGGATAAATATATAAATCCTATTCCAAATATTCCTCGGCCGTGAACCTCTAGACTAGATTGAGATGCTTTTACATGCGACACGTGTATAAGAGAATTTTATATTCATATAGATACAAAAATTAATTTTTCATAGAGAATCTTAGTGTAAAGATCATATGTAGAGGCCTTGCCATGTACAGATGTATGAGTGAAAGTAAAAAGTGCATGACCACAGCAATCAATTTAAAACAAATAGACTCGCACCTATCGATTTAAACTTTTATTCTCTGTTATGGAAACTGGCAACTGCTATGTCTCGTTCAAGAGTATTTTTCACAGCTTCAATCTAAAAAACATACATACCTCTTAAATTGTAAATAATTAATCATAAAAATTAAAAAAACAAGAAATGTTAATGATTAAAGAAGCTTGACCATGTATGCTCCAATACCATGAATAAAGCTTTTGAATAAAGTTTGTAAGATTGGACAAAAAGCATTTAGATATCAGTGATCTTTTTGAGCACTAGCTTTCAATTTCCTCTTAACGGTTTTTTCGAATCTAATCCACATGAAATAAAAAATATTTGTCGGTTCAACGATATGTCTGTATGTATCAACACAAGAAAACATAATCAACATTTGGATAAAGAAAAAATTGTAGAGTCAAAACAGCTGTTGTAAATGCAGAACATTGTATTTATTTGCTGAAAAAGCTCATTTCGTACCGTGATTCAATACGTGTAATAGGACAGTTCAAAAATAAATGTGAAATAAAACACACATAATTCGTACTAGGAAATATGTGATAATATTTTAATATGGATAATATTTATTAAATTATGAATATTAGAACAGGCTTCTTCTAACCTTGCCATCACAATTCTATCTCCATCCATCAAGTTGTTCACAAAAATTATATTATATAGTAACATGTCTTAAATCAGTCGTCGTGATGTTATAATAAAGTTGCTTATTTAGGGAAAAATGTACTCTATTATTGGTATACCGTATTTGTGTCCTTTCCCGTTGTTATCACCCCTCTCCACTCGCGCGATGTGCTGAAAAATATATTTCAGTCAACTCTTCCTCCAGCCTTCTGATTTCCTCAATTACAAATCTTTTGGAACATTTTCTTCGTGACGAATCATGAAAAATTTTTGAAATCATCTGTTTTCTTACATTTTAATGGTTTTCAGCTCATTATCTACAGTGGCGATAACATTAAAGTCTCATTAGGGCCAGTGCAATACGGTCATCGGACGGCATATTATCTTTTGTGTTGTTTGTGTATTTCTGATTTGGTGTATACGAATACAGGTTGTTCATAGCGTTTGATTCTTGTGATATGAATTCTGGTTCCAGTTCAAGAGAAAGATCGTTTCTGACAAGTCGTGCTTCAAATGTTCAATTTGCAAATCAATTGCAAACAAATTTGAGTGACGTAACTGGATTATTCAAACAAATTTCTAAGGTTAGTGATTTTTCCAAATTCTGGGTCTTGTGTAGTACGGTACCTACCGGTGTACCGTACCTACTGACTTACCAGAATCGTGTATCCTTTTCAGGTACAAATTTTAAATGATTCTTGTATCAGTGTATTAGGATAGGATTTACATATTTACTCCGGGGGTAGAGGAAAGCCGATAAGACGGCTTAATCATATGGCATGGTGAACCATGGCCTCTCGTCCGGTTACCAGTCCAAGTCGGGTATCGAATTAGTTAGCCAGTTTATTGTTTTCGGAAGTATGGACTTGACGGTGGAGAAAGCCGTAACCGATCAACAGTTACGTGAACCACACTACGGCGGCGAGGAGTCCAGCAATCCTCTCGCACATAAGTATCCCCGCATGGGATTCGAACCTGCGAACCCACGCAGAGTAATCAGAGAGACGGTGATGAGCGCATTCCTAACGCTTAGCACGATGAGCCACACCTTTTACTGAGCTTTGATATCCTAGTTGAGTGGTAATATTCTGACACATTCAGTGCAATCTATTGAATTCTAACAATATTACTTTTGTGAGTTGAAAAGAGGTTAGGCATAGATCCAAACCATCTTTCGAGGGCAAATCGTGGAATTTAGTATTGTAGTATGGCCACTGCACAACGTATAAAACATTATTTTTTGATAGTTTGTAGCACTCTAGTATTAAAATTAACACATTCAGTGCAATCTATTGAAGTCTAACAATATTACTGTTGTAATTTGAAAGGGGGTTAGGCATAGATCCAAATCATCTTTTGAGGGCAAATCATGGGATTTAGTATTGTAGTATGGCCACTGCACAACATATAAAACATTATTTTTTGATAGTTTGTTGCATTATAGTATTAAAATTCATCCCAATCTTTGACTATTTTCAGGGAAGTCGAAGCTCGGAATTACTATCTCAAGCTTCTCGCAACTTCGCCGCAGTTGATTCAAACATTAATAGTTCAGAACAAGTGTTCCATAAACTAACTGCTTTGTCTGCTCACCTCGGATACCAACAAGAAGCTATTCAAAAAAGTTTGGAATTAAGCCTAAACGTTCGTGAACAACTCCAGAGTCTGACATCTTTGATATCTAAATCTGAATTGTCTTAGAAGAAAATTCGCTTCTTGTTTCTTTTTATTCTACCTTATGACGTTATTTTAAGATGGTTCAGTGGAGTAGACAAGCAGTACTAAAGTTATACAAGCAATTGCTCAACAAAGGAATTACTGATTTAAAATACACTGATAAGGAATACTACAGGAATTACATCCGCAAAGAATTCCGAAAATATATGAACGTTGAATTGAAAGCAGATAAACAAAAGCAGTTAGATAAAGGATATTTTTTTCTCAATAGTGGCCACGGAAGGGTGATTTAGTGTGGACTTTATATCTTCTGACATGTCTGCTTTTCAACAAGCAGTGTTAGCTGTAGATCCCGAGAGACTCGAAAAATTTTCTATAGAGATGAAAAAGAACATTCGACAGAAGCCAAAATCGAAACGAAAAAGTCCAGACGACAAAAATTCAAGAACCAAAAGACGACAAAAGCATTCGAATCATGAGAGAGAAAAAGCAAAATCATCTAAATCTTCGTCTAGTAATACCAGATCCGAAAATAAAAATAGTTCTGATAGAAAAAGAACTTCATCTCACTCCAGGAGTAAAGATCACAAACATGAGAGGAGTACGCCGTCAAAAGCCAAGCGACCAAAGAAGTTCAAGTCTAAGAATTCAGTTGATGAATCAGACTTCGATCCTAAAGATTTGGACTTGTCTGTTCCTCTTTCTCCACTGACGGAACTTGTGAAAGACAGAAAACTACTGCTTGATACTGTTTTTGCAATAATAAAAGGCCCTAAACTCACTTCCATGCTGCCAGATATATTGAAGCTAATGCCTTTAGAGGAAATCAAAAAGCTTTGTGGGGAACAGTTGGATGTTATGTCATCCAAAAGGGTTCTTCATACATTATCCGGGACTGTAATGGTGTCATCATCTGGTACTGATTCATCGGATAATGAAGAGCATGATTGCCAACCTGCGGTAGATGCTGCAGAAGCACTACCTTTGCCAATAAAACAGGAGCATAGTCTTCAAGCTAATTTTGTTGACTCAACAACAAGCGACCAACCCTCAGTCGGACCTTCAATGCTTTTCCCATCTGCACTCAGTACAGCACAAGCTACAATGATAAACCAGAATACTCTGGGTAGAGAAATAGTTGATGACGATACTGACCAAGACTCTGTGTCAACATCAACTCAGCCAAACTTCATTTATATGGATGACCTATCTCATTCAAGTTCTGATACAGAAGAGGGGGAAGTCCAAACATCAGATGAAGAACATGAAATAGTAGAACCCGAGGACGATGTAATTGTGGTTCAGGTACTAACTTAATACAATTAGATTAGGACTATGCATTTGTCCCACAATTTTCCATTTTTTGTAAAACTTTTTTAACAATTTAATGAACTAAACAGCTAAATCTTCATGTCATTGATGGATTACCAGATTGTATTCTGTAAACATTTGCTTTAGAGTTGATAATTTTGTCGTCTCGTTTGCTAGGCCAATCAACGAAATAAAGTTAAAATATGTTTCATAACTATCTACCATAAATATAACAAAAAACAGGTATACCATCGCTACAAGTAAAACATCAGAATTTACCTATATATTTTTTACAGTAATATTGTGATAAAAATATCGAGAAATTTATTTTTCAGTTGCACATGTTTCATTAATATTCATTGGCAAGTTTTCATTATTGATGTACCTCCATTTGTTTACAATTACTTTGTCTTCAGGATGACCAAGAAGAAAATAATCCCAATGAGGAAGATGTTCTTGTTGAAGTTGAAGAATTACTTGATGAAGATTATAACAATAAATTGGAAGATGCTGCTGAACATTCTCAACCAAACAAAAATAGAAGAAAAGTATCCGTAAAAAAAGTACGCAAACAAAGCATAGACAGCCCACAGACTAGCAAACTGCCCAAAAACTCTGATAGTATTTAATTGTAGAAGACAGTACTCGCAAAGATGATGATCCTAGTGAGCAAAATACCAAAGTAGAAAACTCGAGCGACCCACATGCTGGTAAATCCCAACTGGAGATACTAGAACTTGAGCTCAGAGCGCGAGCTATAAGATCTCTTATGAAAGCAGCACAATCAGGAAAACTGAAGCCTATTACTAAATAACTCTCCGTCTGAATTTTTGTTGTCTTGTTTTTACCTTCTTCAACGCCTTGCTGATAATAAAGAAGACTTGAAATTGAACAAATTTATTTCGAGCCTATGTAACTGTAGCTAGGTGACTAATGGTGGCTGCCAAGCAGTTTTCTGAATGCATGCGCTGAGACATCAATCGAAAATTGCGCAGGCTTATGACACTTTTAAGTTTTAGTTACCGTAGTTTCTCTTCTGCTGACCAGTATTTTATTGGAAAGAGCTAGAATCTAGCCACGTCACTGTCTGCTCTACCATCCAAAGTTACACAATTATTGAGCACAGGTTGAAAACGATAACACTGTTCTGTGCAAGGCACTCTTTCTGAAAAATATAATTGCAGCTTTACACGATTAGAGAGTTTCTTCTTTAATGCATTAACAAATGACAAAAAGAAGATTTCATGCACAAAAAAGAATCTGCTGGCATGCATATGTAAATCACTTTCTGTGAATTCAACTTGTTCTGAACTACTGCCTCACTCTCTTTTTAAAAATATATATTCAAGCATCTTTTTCCTTTTTATTGAGTAATTGAAGAATTATATACTTCAAACTGATTTTCACAATACAAAAATGGTGTAGTAGTTAAACAAAAAAATCTATATTCCAACGATAAGTTAGATCTCTAAAGCCAGCCCCCACCACAATCTCGTCTATGTATAGGAACAGAGTATAAAAAAAAATAAAATGATTGCACATCAAATATTTTTCAACAACATGATATGAGAATATCGGTCGGAGACCGAAGACTTATCGATTGAAACTGCAGTTTCCATTCATGACTCTATAGTGACACCGCATGTCCCATCGCTGATTATACGACATAATTCATCCAAAATCAATAGGCTTCTGGTCAGAGATATGATGAATGCACATGCGATATTTGGAGCAGATTCAACCTCACCTTCGTGAGATATTGCGTTCATCTAACAGACAGACAAATACCTATCAACATACTTACCAATCTTAAGATCGATAAGTAATAACATTGGTAATTTACTGTAAAATGACACATGATTGGAACCTGCCGATTGTGTATGTTAATCGTAAGTACAGTCCTTAATCTAGGACAGTCCTTTTTTGAAATGGTACACCTCAAACACCCTACGTTCCAACTAACAAAACACAATGTTTAAAAGTTATGCAAGTTTATACCGACAATACTTTGGAATAACTATAAAAGTTGCTCTTGGAGATATAAGAGGTAATTACCTCAAGACCAAATAACATTTTCTTAACTTACTCTGTCCAAATCATTTCCAGTTTCACGGACTACAGCTAATTGATGTACTACAAAAGTTATTTCAATAAGCATGTAGCAAATACTTGGGAAAAGCCAGACATACGTTGTGCATGAGTTTAAACACATTCGTTGTGCTTTATTTGCCAACTCACTCTTAAACCACTTGAAAGTAGTTCATTGTGCACTAGTGTATATGCTATAACATTCAGTACACATTATCGATGCCGCAAACCCTTCAAAGTTTTTGCCACAACCGGTTGATGAACTCTGATCCAGGATGATCGTTTCGCCACAATATACAGGAGATTTCGGTCTTATAAGCATTGTCATACTGGTAGTGGATGCTTCATAACATATCTTGGACATTCAACTTTAATTATATTTGAAGTTCTGAGATTTCGCATTGTGAAATGTCCTTCCATTGATCCACCTGGAGATCTGAAAATAAGTTCGACTCATCCATGAGTACTTAGAACCTGAAACAGATTTATTTTGCATACTGAAAATATTACTTTTTCCAACTAGGCAAGAATTAGGATTGGAGCTAGTAGTTGTAAATTGGAAGTACCATTTTGTAGACGGGCCCATATTTTTTCAACCAACTCACTAACCGGGCCTTTATTCAAACCGGCCCTTATTCAAGCACGGGTGCTTGTTATTTTCGATCGTTACAATAATTAATATATTGTTATTTCCAGTTCTCAAGTATGATTTAATTGAGAATAACAAAAATTTCGACTTTTTCTATGCACCGCAGGTACAAATCCGAAAAAGAAAAGTTTTGCGACGCCCTATCAATATTGAAACGACGCACTTGGGCGTCAGACGCCCAGTTTGAGAAGCATGGTGTTAAGTAATCAACGCTATCTGTTATGTACTTGGACGCCTAAGGTGTGAGTGTTATCTACCGGCGCCCAAAATTCAACAGTGTTGTGACAAAAGCGCTTCTTATTTCCTATTGTTCTCTACAACTGAAAAATCAGCTTTTACATCGGGCGGGTATTCAAGCACCGGCCCTCATTTAATTTTATGTTCTGTTCACACGGGCGGCTATTCAAACGAGCCCGTAATCAAGATCGGGCGGTAAAACGAGCATATACAGTATGTACTTTTTAAGATCCTATGGCCTGCTTTTGTCTTTTTAGTAAGGAATATCAATGCCGCAACTGCAAGCAAAAAATTTCTCATTATCCGCATTATGCCACGCAGCAAACAACATGTAAAAATCGGAAAGCTCAGTCAGAACTCTCCTGATGGAGGCTTTGTGTTTTGAAATTTCAACAATTTAGCGTTCAAAAAATGTAATTTCAGGGCATTCCTACCAGGTTTCATCACAGGAAATTCACCAACAACTCCTGGCCCACTGACTTTCTCCTCTTTTCCATTCTCGAAATGCTTGATAATCCAATGCCTTTCCAACAATCGACACGAATCTGCTGGTTTGGCATCTTCATCCATAGACATTCTAAAAGTTAAACACACGAGATAGATAGGTAGTCAAGGTAGGTACAATTTTCTTGTGTTTCCTATTACAAATACTCACGTAATTCTATATTCAAACAGCATGTTTTCGTGTGCCAATGCCTGTGAACGCGTCCACCCAGCTTTCACTGTTATCGGTCCTGTTTGAGCAACAAATTCAGGTTCATAGTCATACCTGTTATGAGAAGGGCTTCAAGAAATTATACTGCTATATGCATGACCTAGTTGTAATTAGACCTTGATAATATTCCAATAGAGTTAAAGTTTTCATGTTCAAAGACCAATTTAGAAGCTCCCAGGAAATATCCCAATTCATTTTAAATTAATAGTTTATCATTTATAACAAGACAGAAGTAGATTTCCAAATGGCTATACATGGAGTAATAATCAAATCATGAACACAACACGATAGTTGCTAAATTGAAACATAATACTGATTCTTATATTTTAATCGGTGCATTTCCAAACAAGATATCTAAACGCAAGATGGTACAATCATATATATATATATACCTTAAAATGAGACCACCATCAATGTGATATTGACCAAAACTAACTTTCTCAACATAATCCAAAAACCATTCTTCAAAAGAATTAAAAGCAGAAAATATTTGGTTCTGGAAAAAAATCATTCATTCCAATATAATAACGAGAATATCGGTCAGAGACCGAAGACTCATCGATCGAAAGTTAGGGGATCCCCCAAAACAGCGCTCTTACTCCATAGTGACACCTTATGTCCCATCACTAATTTAATAACTCGCTAATTATACGACATAATTCATCCAAAATCAATAGGCTTCTGGTACGACATATGATGAATGCGCATGCAAAATCTGGAGCAGATTCAATCTCGCTTTCGTGAGATATCGCGTGCATCTAACAGACAGACAGACAAATACCTATCAACATACTTACCGATTAAAATCGATAAGTAATAATAACAAAATTAATTGGTACAGAGATCAGTGTTTGTACGAGGAGATATACTTGATCTGGGTGAAGGCATGAAAATGTTTAAAAAAATGTCATCCTTTTTTGAGAAATCAGTGTGACTGTGACCTATTGTATTTTTAATAATATCCTGTGCTGTCCAGTGTTAAAATTAGGGCCAAATTGTTAATTCATTCGAGTGAACAACAAAATAGCTCTTATCGGCAACAGCTAGATGAGAATCACAAATCCCAGTTGCTGTTGTGAAAATATCAAGGATATAACACATCAACAGGCCCCGGGGTCTTCACCAGTGTTCCCTCTAAGGTGTGCGCGTGTACACAGCTTTCAGAGGCTGCACACATGCATAGATTTACTGCGCACAGACGTATTTCGATGTAATGTAACAATGTGCTCGGTTGGCAGGTTGAGAAAGTTTGTTATGGGCCCGGTTAGAATGCCAAAATTTCTTCATTGGTTTTTGCACAAATATTAGTCATTTCCAAAAAAGTGCGCACAAACCGAAATTTCTACGCACACATACTACAAAAAATTAGAGGGAACATTGGTCTTCACATATCCAAGTTCCAATCTATCATTGAGTTCAGTGCAGAGAAAAATACATAAACTACCTAATACAAATGCACATACCGCAGATGTCCAAACTACCGAATACGGTTTCGGAGCACCTTCCATATGTGTCACTTCTTTCGAGATAGTGTGTGGAAGAACCAAGCAATAATCAATTCCACAGTTTGTATCACACAACGTCAATAGTTGAGAATTAACGTCCGATTTTCTTAATGAAAATTATATTCAATAGTGTATATTGTAGCATACATTGGGACATGCAATGATGGGAATTATCTTGAGCAATGTCACAAGATCTGACAGGCAACTTTGTAATAACTTTATAGAAAAAAATGCTGCAGTTGATCAAACAATTCTTTTTTTGTAACTATCGTTGACTAACAGAAAAGCAGAATGAGAATTTTATATGAAAGGATAGGCTAGAGAGCAACATAAACATTTCAGCTATTTCAAAATTACACATCATCTAAATTATGCATACTTACTCTAGATGCGAATGGACTTGTGTGAGGCAAGGTAGTGAACGAAATATATAATTGTTTAAATCAACTGCGTATACGTTTGCAAAACTTCCAAATAATCTGTAAAATTGATATTAACAAATTAAAATGAAGAACAATACATATTTTAGAATGTAGCGGGTCACGGATACATAAAAATTTGGGTGCTCCAGAAGTATGCGCACCAAGATGTCGCACAACCTGAATCCAAACCGATACACACATACTATGTTCAGGTTTTGCGCCATATTGGTGCGCATACTTCTGGAGGTCCAAAATTTGCGTGGAGCAATTAATTAAAATCTTGTACAAGATTGTCTGATTCTACTTTTCATTGATATTTTGTTATAACAACTTGATTATTAATTAATTTTACACCATTGCCTAATACATGATATTGATGACGAACCACTTATTGTACAAAATTCTCCATACCCTGGAGTATTGGAATCCTGAGAATCCTGTCCCCCACATATCCTATAGAATAAGCGCAATGCCTCTGGCAGCTTACATGTATATTCTTCTTCAAATTGATCTAGATCTGATTCACTGAGCCCATCTACAAAAATTTATAAACTTCTGCTCAATATAAAGTCTTTTGTAAAAACCGAAGCATATATAGGTTGAAAAGACATTGGTTCGACTACCTTTTTCAAGACAAAAAGTCAAATAAAATTAGATAAAGAGGAAACGAGAATATCGGTCAGAGACCGAAGACTTATAGATCAAAAATTAGGGGATCCCCAAAACAGCGCTCTTACTCCATAGTGACACCTTGTGTCCCATCACTAATTAATTAATAACTCGCTAATTATACGACATAATTCATCCAAAATCAATACGCTTCTGGTCCGAAATATGATAAATGTACATGCAAAATCTGGAGCAGATTCAATCTCGCTTTTGTGAGATATTGCTTGCATCTAACAGACAGACAAATACCTATCAACATACTTACCGATTAAAATCGATAAGTAATAAAATGTACCTTTTAATGTTGATATAATTTTCGGTGAATGAATGCGAAGTATATCAATCAAATTAGTCCATGAACTGAAGATAATCGGATATGACTGTATATATCGACCAAAATCTTTGTAATATAAAATAAAGTTTTCTTTCCATGTTTCTGAATTTGACTTCCTTCTATATAACAAAAATACAAAACAATAAATATTGACAAATTGACCATGATTTAAAAAATAAAATTCTGCATATATTTTTTGATTTTTCTATATATTATCGAGTCAAAACAACCAAACCTTGCACAAATGGACCTTGAAACAGTTGGGGTAATTAAATTCATATCATATTATAAGAACATTGCATATCTATAAGAGCAGTAAGAAATATTAAAGATTAATTGTCTAATTTTGAATTTTGTTTGAAGATTTCAAGTAGCTCAAATTAGAATTATTGTTTTTTTTTCATGGTTAAGTTCTTTCAAATCTTAATAAAGTACACAATCAGAAAAAAAAACCTTACTCTGTCAATAACCAGTGCTTTTTACATAAAGTTTTCCAAAGTTGTTCATTTTCTGAAAGTTGCTTACATCGCCAACTTGTGAGAAAAACCCTGCATGAAAGTAAACGAATAAATCAGATAGAAATAAAGAATTTGAAGTTGTTAAAAGATCATAATACAATTTTAGACTACATATTAATTTAGCAGTTTCACTCTCACAGGCAATATAAAAATGGGATTCGATTTTCAAATTTATTCTCCATATTTATCTCCAACATTCAATGTTTCTGGCCTTGGTGGCCTCTCGTGCATGTCGGGTAAGTGATTAGTCAGCCGTTTTTTTTCAGATGCATATACTTCATGGTGGATAAAGTCGTAACGGGCCAGCAGTGACGTGAACCACCCTGCGGCGACAATATATTTTTGATAAGTGTTGAAATCTAATATATGCATTATAAATCTGGCTGTGGAGTGAAATTTTACAATCCACTACTGACTCTTTAGCTGAAAAACATTTAGACTACCTAAATCCTGATGAAATCAAATTTTGATATTAAAAATTTCAGTGTTTGCAAACTTCCGTTAATAGACTGATACGAACAGAAAGCTAATACTAATCATATTCATATGGCTGTATGGCACAGTTAGAAACGAAGATTAACCCGAAATATATGACTGACTTTCGAAACCATCAATTTATAATACTAAATACTTTTCGTACCTGTTAAGATCGTCAAGTTCAAGAAAACTGAAAATGTGCAATAAGACTTCATTAGGTAAATCAAGTAATCCTGGTGAGACAGACATCACAACTCGCAGACTTGCAAAGTGAACCTTTGATTTTTTTTAATGGATCCACAATGTGGATTGTTCAATAAGTAAATTAGAGATAAATTAATTATAAATGAAGACATATTGTGTACCAAAAGTGAACAAACATAATATACATCAGTAACAATAAGTAACATCAAGATAATTCCATCAGATGTAATATTTCCATTCCATATAATCCAGGGAGTTCCAATAAATTATTCTTTGATTTTGTATTAGTTTATTTTTAATTATTCAGCATGAAAACACAAAATTTTATAATTACCGATAGTCACAAGTTATAACATATCATGGCAAGTTCTTTTGTATAATAAAATTCCTTTCTCACTTTTTCTATATTTCTTCTCATTATAAGTGAGTTTCTAATTTTCATAATAACATTATTTATACTTGGTTATGATTTTGAAATATTACAGCATCACGCTCCAACCAAATTTTATATCTTGCTGTACAAAATAGCAATATAATAGCATTACATTGTACAATTGATAAATTTGAAGAGCAATGATCATTTAGGTCCAATAAAATGCAAGTTTTGTAATTATTTTTTAACACACAGTTAGTTCTGTAGTTATTTTTAATGACACAGAAAAGATATAATCATAGACATTCTGTGTAAAAACACAACTTCAAAACAAATGAGACTGCCTATTGATTTGTGTAATTTGATTCCGTCTTGATCTTCAGGTCTTTGAAAATAACGGTCACGCTCCTGCTAATTTTTTTTTTTTGCCAAATAAGTCCCGATGCCAAACATAATTTTTGTTTCTCACCTGGCGTGTTTTGTTTATAACTGCGATGGATAGTCTATTACTGCACGCAAGGTTGCACAGCGTGGGAACGCAGTACCAGAGTGTTGGGAACATGCGATTTGCTTTTATTGCTCAAGCTATGATACGTGCTTATAACCTGTTTGTAACGTTTATCTTCCCGTAGTTCGCTGGTAACCAGCGCAGTCTAATAGATGGTACCCGTATTCGATGAGCTGATGGTTACAAAGCCGGATAGATACAGGTAGGTACCGCAACATCCTGAACATTAGAATTCTCACTTTTCAACTAATGTCTCAATTTTACGCTCTATGGACTGGTTTCCTGCCAACAATTTTATCAATGCCATTGGGTACGAGTATACATAACCAGATTGTTTGGTTAGGCCGCGAGCCGAGGCCATTTATCTTTCAGTTTCGTAGCGCACATCAGGTAACTACCTGAAAATGATTTTAAAATGTTCCTTAGAAATTTAGTAACAAATATTGCCTTGTTCCCACTTCCAAAAGTTGCACGTTTAACAGAAAAGACGCTTTTACTACAATAAATATGTGTTACCATCTGTCCTATTTTCTCTGCTTTTCCGGTATCATGGGCCAATGAACGCAGACTTCGGCACGACGTAACAGTCAAGTTAGTCAGCTGTAGGTGGATCCCCAGTGGTCGGATGAATATCAGATGTACTACAACTGCTCGCTTTTGCGTTGAGTAGCCTTTCCATAGTTTTTTTCAGTTACCGGTAATATTAGTTCAGTTATTCTAAGGAGGTGTTAAAAAGTATAGGTAAGATATTAAACACTTGTATATCCTTACCGTAAATAGCAATTTTAGTTGAGCACTAGCTCATAAGACGTTGTTAAATAGGTACGGTGCGGTAACTCCAAGGAAGGCTAGACCTAGAATAATATGTCACAAACAACGATATTTTCTGGCTTGCATGAAATGTTTATGATTAATTTAATGACTCTTCTTGACTATTCAGCAGACTTATACTAGCCTACTATATAGGCCACAGCATATTTGGAAATAGAAATGAATGGCTTTTTCTGTAATGCACGGATGTGTGAAAGAGAAGAAATTAATCAATTTTACTAATGTCGGTTGGTCTAAATCTAAATTCATAGAGTCGACAAGAACCTGGGAAGCAATGATAAGTTATGCCGGAGTGGAAAGAAAGGTAGCATTGGAAACGATTGAGAGGTGAGAAATCAAGTTGTAGACAAACAGTTGATGTTTCAAAATATACCGTAGTCTATAGTCCATACTCATACTGTCATAGGACATTTCAGACTGTGATATATCAAAATTTAGTGTAGATATATAGTCTAGTAATGGTATGCAAACACTGCTGGACTGTAGTACATGCAATGAGCATATATACGCTCATTTAGTACATCAGATAAAATGCATTATGTATTCGAGGTATTAGTTAGTATTTAGGGGTATTTTTAAAATCATGCTGCTCCAAATATTATTTTCTTCCTTATTTTAGATACTGTACTACAAAAGAAAACGGCAGTGTTCCACCAATCCGACCTAACGCAGGCTCTGATCCCTGCTGCTATCAGTGCTATAAAATGGATTAAACAAGAAGTCTTGAAGCTTAAAGGTATATGACAATCATAATAGTTGCAAACAGCTTAGATGGGCTATTCATATTGAAATACTTTAGCACTTTTCTGCAATTGGAACTGCCCATCAAATTCATGTTGGAGACTTCATTGAGATTTTCAATTCATTTTTTCCCCTCGACTATCTAGATCTTTTGAGGTTAACGAGGCATTAATAAATAAAGCTGAGGAATTTGAAGAGGATATGAAGAATGTAAATGATACCAGGGCACGTCTATTTAACACTGTCAAACATAAGGATTATACTCTCCAGTCTCCACCCAACAATGATTCACTGAAGAAGCATGTGGCCCTCAAATCAGTTCTTGAGTTGGCAAACTGCAAAGAAAAATAGTCAAAATAATTTATGAAAGTGTGTAAAAATCAACTTAAATTGCACAGATTTTTTGTTTTTGTATTGACTGCAGAAATCACAGTACACCTATAGAGGAAAAGTCGATTTTTGAGATAGTGGATTTCGAAAACAATTCAGAAGAAAGTGAATTAGATATTACAGTTGATTTAATAAGTATCATACATTTTTTTTTTTCGGACATTTGTTAGTGTCGTAGTCCTGTTTCTAGAAATATTATTGCCTTTGTTCAAATACATAACCAGATAAACTAAAAAAAGATTAATTGTAAATTGTAATATTTCTGTTCACTATGTTATGTACATATTGTACATTCATTTAATTTTCTTGACTTTTGCGGTAAATTTCTAAGTGAGAAATAACTGATTTATTTGTGTTTTCGTGCTCACGATGTTAATTTGTGACTTCATTGCTTAAAAATAAATACGTTTGATAGCTTCTATAAAATGGATGTAGCTTTTTATGCTGTTCTTGTTGTAAACTGCTTGTGGTTATTACATAAAATTTATTCGCAAATGTGAATCAGCGTTGTTGGTGTCGCTGCTTTCGAGGTAACTCCCGACTCCTGTCACACAATTAAAGTATTTTTTGTTGTTGTTTACATGTATGCCATATTTTTCGTAATCTACCTAATAAATTATGATTGAATGAGGAAGTCCGATTTTGGTCAGGCAAAACATTACAGGAATACATTTGTGTTAGTGTGCTGTGAGGCTCTCGAATTGTATAGTTCTTATGTATGTGTTGTAAACTTATGGTTATTGAATTTCAGGGAACCTCTTATATTCAATTTCGCACCAGGATTGTGGAACAAGCTGTAATGCGTTCATTATGTTCGTTTTCACACAAAACTGAAGAATTTATTTAGTTACCAGATGTGCGCTACGAAACTCATTTTCTGGGCGTTTTCATGGTTTCGTCTCACGGCCCATATTCGTGGTAAGGATCTACAAGTGTTTAATAATTTACTTATACATTTTTCAACAACGTCTTAGCATAACTTAACTAATAATAACTAAACAGGGCTATGGAAAGCCTGCCCAACTCAGCGCAAGGTCGAGCAGTAATAACTAATATTCATCCGCTCGCTAACAGCTGGTTTAATTCAATTGTTACGTCATGCAGAAGTCATTGTTCCTTGCCGAAAATGTAGAGAATATAGGACAGATCGTAGCACATATTTCTTGTAGTAAAAGCGTCTTTTCCGTAAAACGTGCAACTTTTGGAAGTGGGAACAAGGCAATATTTGTTACTAAATTTTTAAGGAACATTTTAAAATCATTTTCAGGTAGTTACCTGATGTGCGCTACGAAACTCACTTTCCAGGCGTTTTTCAGGGCCTCGGCTCGCGGCCTAGGTGGGATGTCCAATTCGAATTAAATATTCGAATATCGCTTTTCGTGTTTATAAGAATACCGAATATCGCGCGCACATCCTAGCTATGTTTGATATTGTTATTTGCCGTTTTATTTTCGCCATCCACGTTTTGATTGAAAATATTTTACAATTGGTTTATTTTGATCGAAGACAGACATGTGCGTCTCGGCACTAAATTAAAGCCGAGATTAAGAAATTGAAGTACTTATATTGATTGAAATTATTTTATAATTAATATCGTATATTTCAACTTAGTCAAGATAGTTTGTGCGGCCACGGCAATAAATCAAAGAGCAAATCGTAATTAATTGTTTTCATCCTCAGTTTCGATAGTGACCGACCATAACGGGAAATTTTTGCATTTCTTGCAATTTACAGCGTATGATGAAATAGCTCTTAAATAATATGTAGTAGCCTATCTATCGCGGATTTTATCGTCGTTGTTGATGACATTTATCGTTCAATTTAAGTTGGCGGTTTTAATTTATAAGCAAAAATAAAAGCATTACAGCCGACATGAAATATTTAAATCAGCGCAGACTCAAAACATAAAACACTATTTTTGTGTTTATGTTTTGTTTAAATTGTCTTAATTCTTCGTCATTGGCATATGGAAATCGGGTTCATTCATTTGATAATGACCACGTAATAACAATTAATTCTCGGTTACAGCTTCCTCTACTATCAAGTCCTAGCTTCTAAAAACGAATAACTGGCTAAACTAATCCCACAATATCGCGACTCGGCGCATCGTGCTAAGCGATAGGAATACGCTCGCCACCGCATCTCTGAATACCCTTTGTGGGATCGCAGGTTCGATCCCATGCGGGGATGATCATGTGCGAGAGGATTGCTGGACTCCTCGCCACCGTAGAGTGGTTCGCACTGGTCGCTTCCGAAAACAAATACCATACCCGACCTGGTAACCGGACGAGAGGCCGTGGTCCGCCATACGATTAAGCCGTCTTATCGGCTTTCCTCCCTCTGTGATAAATATGTAAATCCTATCCACAACAGGCATGGACTGGTAACCGGGCGAGAAGCCCTGGTTTGCCATTTAATTAATCCGTCTTATCGTATTTCCCCTACCCCCCCCCAGAATAAATCCCATCCTATCTGTTTCTTGTCATTCTCCCCAATATTTGAATGTACAGCGTAATTAGCAGTGTAGCTGCAGTTGTTATTTTTATTGTTTACCGTCTTATTCAAAGACAAATAAACATATATACCTTAGTCTTCGGACCTGAATATAATTACCTGCTGTTTTTCCGTTATGAACAGAGTATTGCTTATTAGTGGGTAAAATGTGACATCAGGAAATCTTTCAATTCAATGGTCCATTATTAGGCACAGTTTTGTTATTGCTGCCATTGTTTGAACATTTACCTCTTTTTCTGGTGAGCCCTTGTTCACTACAGTGCATTCTATTCAAGATTACAGGTTTAAAATACAATTTTGACACATTATAATTGTAATGCTACCATTTCAAACAACATTTTATGACTCCTGCTGGACCACTGCAAATGGCCACCATTTGCCGAAAAGACACGTGTATTCGATACTTGGAAAATACCACACAATTGGTGCTTTGCAACCTGTAAACAAAACAAATGCTCGAAAATTGGTATTTCACATCTTTATTAAAAATGACTACAGTACCTCAAAACAGAGGACAACGGGGAAAAGGGAATCAATTATGCAGGACTCTGATAGACTTTACATAACATCATTGCAAGATCATTCTCAAACAAAATATGATCCTCTGTATATAAGTGGATTGAAGACAAGGTTACCCCATCACTTGTTGAATGTAATAGATATTACTTATCATTTCTTAAAGCATTTGAAACTTCCAGTATTGAAGATATTATTGTCAAGGTATTGTCCTACACCTCTTCTGACTCCAGAGGTGTCCATAAGCAATCTTATACAAGCTTACACCCCAACCAATAAGGTTTTTCTTTTTATTCGGTCTATTTTGACAAAAGTTCTGCCAAAAAATATATGGGGATCCCTGAAAAATAGTTCAAATTTCTATGGTGCGGTTAGGAGACTGTTGAATTCAAGAAAACATGATAAAATCACAATGGAGACTTCAATCAGAACTCTTAAAATAGAAGAGATGAATTGGCTGAAGGGCAAAGACAAAAAATTGAATTTAGAAAAATTTATTTATTGGCTGATGAATGAATTTGTCTTTGTACTTCTCAAAAGATTATTTTACATAACAGAAAACTCTGATCGTAAAAACATGATATTCTTTTATCGAAAAGAAATTTGGGCACAAATAATTGGACTTCATGCTCAACATCAGGTGCAGTCTGATTCTTGGAAACTTATAATATCTGTTGAGAATCGAGATAATAGCTGTTGCATCGAACTTCACGAACATGTGAAAGGAAACGACATCACTTTTTATGATGTAAGACCAATACCAAAAACCAAGAATGTTAGACTTGTCATGTCAAAGAGGGAAGTTGGAATTGAGAGAGGGCTACAAAGAAGGCAAGAGCATATTTCTATAAAAACATTGCTTGTATTGTTAACAGGGCTTTGGAAAGCACATCCAGTTATGAGTGGATCATCAGGTTTCGGCATCAAATATATTCACAAAAAATGGAGAAACTTCATGAAGGCACAGAGCAGTCATGAATTCAGTAAGCAAAAAATGAAAAACTATTTTGTCAAGGTCGATGTGGCTCGTTGTTTCGATACTATTCCACATAACAAACTACTTGAAGTATTGAGGCATATATTGTTGAAATACCCATACTCAAGGATACCACTTTCAGCTAAATATGGATGTATATCTCACAGCACGGAAGAGGTCTGGGAAAGCTTGAAAATGTTGTTACAGAATTACATTCTTAGGCTAGCTGGACGATTTTATATAAAAACTGAGGGAATTCCACAAGGATTGCCAATCGCTAGCATTTTATGCAATCTGTTTTACGGTCATTTGGAGCAGCAGGAGTTTCCCAACTTATTGTCTGACAGCACATGCCCGAACAGGGTCCTGATGAGGGTGATTGATGATTTCTTGTTCGTCACTACTGATTTGAATGAAGCATTGGATTTTTTGAATAAACTACATAATGGTTATCCAGATTATGGTCTGAAAATAAATCCAAGTAAAACTACAATCAACTTTAACTTGCCTGGGTATGTGAAGATACCTCATGCAGATTGCATTAATGTCCTCGACTCTCATGAACCATTCCCTTGGTTTGGACATCTGTTCCTGCCCAAGTCTAATTTTTCTAAAGAATCACCATTTGTTGGCCACGGAATTGCTCAAGATTACAGCCGATGTAATAATTTGAATAGTGTTAGGGATGTTATATCAATTAATGATCAACGAAACAGAAAACGTTTTCCATTTGCAGCTCAACAATATGTTCTTCTGTATGAGAAGTCTATCATTGCGATAACGATTACTAGGCTGACTGACATATGCTGTGACAGACTATGCAACTCACATGCACAAATATTAAGGAACATTTTTGAAATTTCCATTTTATCATCTTTGCAATGGCTTGCTCACTTCTATATGGACAAAGAATCCAGATCAAAAAATGTCACCTATTGCATCCAAAGTTACAAAAATATTGTGAATATGGGAATTATTAAAACTCTGAAGTGTAGAAAAGTGTTATCTCCCTCTGATCGCAATGCTATCATGTGGACTTCTCTTATGGCCCTTAAGAAAGTGCTATCGAGACACCATTTTTCTTTCAAATTTGCACTGAAGAATTTGAAGCAAGAAATATCAAAACTAATGTGGTTGATGAAGAAATCAGGAATATGGAATACAAAAAAATTGATGTTGTACAGAGTGACTGCACACTACCCGAAACATCTGATGAAACTAAAGGTTACATGCTAACTATGTTAAGTTGATCACACATTCATTATCGTTATGTCTATTTCATGAACAAATGGTAGAAAAGCATGTGTATATCAGAGGAACAGAATGTACAAGACCTTACTGGCCTAGGACACAGATGTCTTCAAAAATATTCAACAAATCAGGACTGCCATGTTATAGTAAGACAATATACATCAAAATAATCAGTACTTGCCCCTGATTCCATTGTGAGAAATGGAAGTCTGGTATGGACTGCCAATTGATATATCTAATAAAAATTTTGCTCAGCAGGGATACAAAGTAGATGGTTACATACAAATTTGGTCAACATTTCTGAATAACATATGAAGGAATCAACATATGATTATTATTGTGCTTCGTTTGCCTAAACTGAGCACTACTGTATGATAAATACATTGCACAGTTTAGGGTTATGTTATATTGAATTTATAGATCTGACCAAGATTTCCAGAGCTCATGGAAGTTGTCAAGAACCGCATAAGAGTTACTCTGTATAATCTTTCCGAAAAGGATAATACTTGTGTGATTTGGATGCCCAACCATCTACGTCACAAGTTCGCCAATTCCTGTTTAAATTTTTGATTTTGGTCATGTCCCCTTCATCAATAACAAAATTGAACAGGTCTATGTTAGAAGTTATTCTCGCCGGAGTAACACTCTTTGGAATCACTATCACATTCCGCTGAATTTGGTAACGAAGTAAAACTTGAGCCACTGTCTTCATATACTTCTTTGCAATATCTATTAAAATAGGTTCTTCAAAAAGAGTAGGATCGGAGATATCACGATTTCCTGGGGAACCCAACGGACTGTAACCAGTAACAACAATACCCTTTGATTGACAGAATTCCACCATATCAGTTTGGTCAAGATATGGATGACATTCAAACTGATGGACATCTGGCACATAAGACGTTTCTTTTGACAAACGTTCCAGTTGAAAACGATTAAAATTTGAAACTCCGATTGATCTAGTCAAGCCAGATTTCTGTAGCTTGATAAGTTCTTTCCATGTGTCAACATAATCAATACTTTCATCATTGTTGACATCATAATTCCCATCTTTCACCTCGACCTGGTTTTCTTTTAAAGCAAATGGGAAGTGTAGCAAATACAAGTCTAAATATTCCAGTTTCAACTTTTTCAAACTGTTCTCAATCGCAGGCTTCACTTTGTTGGGTGCAAAACTAGTAAGCCATAGTTTACTGGTAACAAAAAGCTCTTCCCGTTTTATTACACCTCCATCAAGTTTTGCTTTTATTCCATCACCAACTTCAGACTCATTTTCATAATCGTGAGCACAATCAATATGTCGGTATCCTGCATCGATGGCATTCTCAACAGCAGTTGCAACAACTTTAGCTGGTGCCCCCCATGTGCCAAGTCCGATAACAGGCATTTTTGCACCAGATTTTAGAGCCAAATGTTTTGCAGCCATGATGCTATTATGTTCCCGATTTTCTTGTAATAATTGTCCTAATAGTGATAAACATAACACTATAAATGAAAAGATCAACATATTTTGAATTAGGGAATTGCATATCGCTTTGAGCAATTGTTTTATTAACATTGTATGTCGAATAGCCTGTGGATCATACCAGTTAAGAAGTATATCATACATTCATGTGCAATGATTATGGACTTGACATTACATATACATACACTTCCATATATCCTCTATGAGTTAGAGTTAAAATTGCTCGAGAATTTTGATACAATTATTCCAACTGGTGTGGAAATACAGCAGTGAAGATTGTACCGATTGGATCACATGACACACTGCAAGTAATCCATTAGTCAAATAAATTACATAAATACCCAATATCACAACTAAGCTGTATAAAATGGAAATACTTTAAAATCATGGTATTTGTTAATTACTCTCACCAATAGGTTAGGATATTTTTTATATGCGTGTGTACAATTACTAATGTTTAGTTAAGATTACCATCTGGCATCAGCTGATATTGTGTTGAACAATATTGCATAAAACTTAGGAATGATAGGTGAATTTCCTCAATCTTTTGTGGAGAAATTTTAATGTGAAATTTGTATTGTATCATGTAAGAGTATTTGGGAGATTTCACTGTCAGAATGGAAAATGTTTATGGGTTGAAAATTTGTCTGGGTACATTATTCTAATACCTCTGTCTAATTCATTTATAGAAGAAATATCTTCATCACTAAGTTCAAAGTCAAATATGTTTATATTGTCAGCAATTCTAGTTGCATTAGTACTCCTTGGTATCACTGTTATGCCTCTTTGGATCTGATATCTCAGAATAATTTGTCCAACTGATTTTTTATATTTAGCAGCCAAAGTTTTTAGAATACCTTCATTAAATATAGATACATTTGCAGGCAGGTTTGGCCTATCTGAAGAACATAATGGGCTGTATCCTACCACAGATATATTTTTAGAATGACAAAAATCAACAAGTGCTTGCTGTCCCAAATAAGGATGACATTCAAACTGATGTACTGCTGGTGTAATATTACACTCATCCAATATCCTTTGAATCTGGGAAATATTGAAATTACATAATCCAATCGCTTTCACTTTCTCACTCGTGTAGAGTTTTTCCAACTCACGCCAGGTATCGATAAAATCAGTTTTTTCATCAAACAGTAAGTTTCCGTGTTCATCAGAAGGGAATAAATTATCAGGACCAGTATACTTTAATGCAAATGGCCAATGTATATAAAACAAATCCAGATATTCAAGGCGAAGATTTTTCAATGTCTTTTGATAAGCATCATGGATATGACTCGGGTGTCCAAAGCTGCATCCTAATTTGCTGGAAATAAACAAATTTTCCCTTCCAAGTTTGCCTTTCAGAATATAATTCTGGATTACATCTCCTATATCCATCTCATTTTGATAGACATATGCACAGTCAAAATGTCTGTAACCAGCATTTAAAGCATCTTTCACAACATTTCTAATTGTTGCACCAGGACTTTTTGATGTGCCTAAACCAACAATTGGCATTTGTTGTCCAGTGTTCAAGTCTACTGAAGGGCATGACATATTAACTAAGTGTATCAACAAAGCTGGCATCAAACTCGGAAATGATTTAAAAGAAAACTTGTTAATTAAAAATGTTAGTCACATTTGGCCAAACTAAGACACATCCCCGTTTATAAAGCTGCCAGAGAGTCGAGCACTTAGGGGAATCCCCGAATTTAGTGTCTGAAACTGGGCTCCGGAGAATCATGCTCCTAACAAGTGGAACCGAAATTTAATTCGCGATGGCATCAGTGTGAGGCAAGTTGAAGTAAGCTTATACTTTTTTGCGAGTAGCCAACGTCATTCTGCTGCTTTCTTCCGTAGAAGTGATCAATACCGGTACTGTACGGTACTATCTATATCACAGTGGAGTACTATCATTTGAAAGGATTGATTTTACACATGCCCCCTGAACTCGACAATAAAGATTGTAAAGTGTCGAAATCGTTTTTTGTCTCAATGGTCTTGCATACCAACCAACATAATTCAATGTTTGAATTATTTACTGCACTGTATTTCTACAAAAATCTGTATTATTGTCTTTTCTTTTAACATTGTTTTGTGAAAAAAAAAAATATCTCTCTCTCTTCCATCTAAATACGTTGTCCAGAGATTGGGAAAGGTCGAATTTCTGAGTTAATATTAACTTGCCAAGCGTGCTGTATTCCAAGCGCAATCAAAAATCTTTTTGATTCCACGTCTCTCGAATAAATATAGGGTTTTCATACTTAGTTTAATCATGTGAATGACTGCCCTCGTCCGCTTACCAGTGAACCACTCTCGTATAATTATGGACGCCTAGCATATTGTTACCCATCTCTAAAACTGAGGTTTCCTAATTAATAAACGTACACAGTTTTGTCATGAGAACCATGTATTCACAGTGCTTATGATGAAAATAGGAACAAAAAAGCGCATGAAAAGACATCAAGCCTAAAATACTGGCATATATGCTCATATATATTCTCCAGCATTCATTTCGACATAACCAAAAAAATTAGAAAATACCAATACAAAGTGTGAATGAATCTAATTGAAACATTCTGAGATTCACCAAATTTGAAACAATTGAAGGCATACACTACATGATTTCGTATTTCACTCTTCCAACACTGGCAATTTTTAGGGGGAAGAGTGCAAAACTGATCGTAAATTTACGCCATTGCAATGACAATGGACTGAAAAATATTCACATTACTACACACTACTTACAAACACTTCCTGAAATGATTATAAATTTTGTGTTGTCAAAGTAAAGAAGAGCATCAATTGGAACTTCCAAGAGTAAATTGTACCGTCTATACCCACATACTCGAATAGGTGAGAAATAAATCAGACATGACAATTTGTTAATACTAAAGTATAAAAGTCATTCACTGTATGGGCTATATAGTGCCAGTAATAACAGAAGTATATATTTAATAGGATACCCGGTACCTTCTGTTTCTGAGGGGCTTGAACACGATATATATACGTATGCGAAGCACTCGAAGTATTCACATCTTGTCAATAAGATATTAAAGCAGAAAATACAAAACACTCAACAGTGAAAGCAATTGGAGTAAAAGAAACAATAAAAATTTCCGCACCAACTTTTTCAATCACAATTATAGCATGATGTTGAAAGATGTATTTGGACAAGTGACAATCTGCGTCAAAAATTCAACAAAAAACAAAGTTTGTGAATAAAGTATGATACAGTAATTGTGTATTTCTGATGACAGTGTGCATTGAGCACTTCAATGTTAGCACAGTGCATAGCACAGAACAATTAATTGTGAATTAAAAAAAGCATAAAATTACAAATATTGGTTTTTGCTTTTCAACACACAATTTCTGATACACAGAATCAGATGTAATAAGAACAAATAAAAATTATAATGACATAGGTAAATTCACACTTTTATAGTTTGAATAACACTGAAAGCTCATTGCTACTGTACTGCTTAAACATTGGCGATGGGTTGTGCAACTTAGATGGATAAAACACGCCCATCAAGTTTTCAGATTATTCATGTTCCGCACGATATTAGTACATAGCGAACTCCATTGCATCGTTACTGGCATGCTCCAGTCTTTCAGCTGAGTTTGACATATTTTCCGCGACTGTAAGTATATTTTTTCTGAATTCGAGTGATTTTCTGTAAGGTGGTGAATCGTATGACCATGAAAACTGTTTGTCTACAAATTTGTCCATTACTTCAATGGGTATCGCGCTCGAAAACATATTTTGTACCGGAGATGCCCTGAAAGCAAATTGTTCCGCTTGTTCGGGGTTTTGATAGTTTAATATTTCTTGGGCTGATAGTCCAGAGGGTACTGCTGCCTCGTTGGCAAACAAGCCTTCAGTAAGCTCAGGGGCATGAACAGCAGTTGCATATTTTATGCCCTGGTGTCCCCAGTAAGCCAACCATTCTTGATCAGTGTTTTGTGGATTCATTGGCATATTTTGTGAGTGTCCGAATGCACCTGGGTTGTCAATTCGCAATTGTTCAAGTTCTGGAAGAGGAAGTTGATAACCAGGCATATGTTGTTGGTGTGTTGCCGCAACTTTTAATCTTCTTTGTAACCTAAAATTGGGGTAATAAAAGATGAAAATGGAAAAATAACAATCAGAAGATAAGACAATCACATGTAAGCTAAATAGCTTGAAAGTTATTCATTACCAATGTTTAACTTACCTTCTTTGTTGCAATACTTGAGCCAAACTATGGTGTTGACCTGCCCCGAATGGATGATTTGTAGATGGTGTGATAGGTAGGCTCTGTTGTCTGATAGGTTTTGTCATTGTTTCTCTCTGTTGTTGTTGTTGAGCAGCAGCAGCTTTAGATGACAAGACTTCATCTGATGCAACGGCCGCTGCTATTGATGACATTTCTGCTTCATTCAAACCTATACCAGACTTAATAATATTGAGTTGATGCCACATTGATGAAGCTGGATCTTGAATACCTGTTAAAAAATATTACAGCTTCACAAACAAAAAATAAAAATGAGCTTGTTATTTCACTTAGATGAAAATTACATATCCTAGAGAGGAAAGTAGGCAGCCATGGATTTTCAACATGCAACCACACCTCTTCCGGCTACCAGTTATGCCAGCTATGGAAATGTAAATAATGATAACTTATTCATTTACGGGAAACAAGGCGCACTGTCAAAAATTGCTTAGATTGGGTTTTTATTCATACATAAGACGCACCAGGCCAAAAGGCACAACTGGAACTGGTTTTAATTGTGGACAATAAAGCACTATCTGATCTATACGGTACATTAAGCGAGGTGCTTTATAAGGCACACGATCGATTTCTGAGAAAAAGTATTTGAGAAGCGCCTCCTAGTCAGTAAAATACGGTACTCTAAATTTTTTTAAGCAATGACCTGTGAATAGAATATTTCTAATTCTAACCTTCATTCAAATTCACACCCTGGACTGATCTCCAAGATGACCACTGGTACTTTGCATTATTTTCAGGTATTTGGATAAAACCTGGTCTTTCAATATCACTGTCTTGTATCTGTGGATTTAGTGGTTGTTGGCTTACATAGGATTGGTTGGCATTGGTTTGTATGCATACATCTTGTGCTTCGTGTTGCTGAGGTAATGTAGCATTCCTGAAAAATTAATTATTTTATCCTCACTTAAATTCAATAAGCAATGGCAACTGAAATATATCTTCTGAAAATAATGGAAAACAAGCATTTTGTTAAGATGTAGTAGTAATCTATGAAATACGCGATGGAGCTGTCATCCCGGGATTATATTTTTTTGTTATTAAAAAAAAAACTATATGACATGCTTATATGCCTTTTGCTCAGAACAAGGCTTTGTGCAATCGGTGTAAAATTTGAAGTTTTGTTTATTTTAGAGCTTGTTCCTATAAACTTTGATTTGTGCAAAATATTTTTAACAAGCTGAAGATTTTATGATGATAACATGACATTCCAGGAGTGTGTGTACCAATATGGAGGTAAGTAATTTTGTTTGCCTACTTTACATCAAGTTTTGTAAAGAGACTGAAGCCTATGGACAGTGGGTATATTCACCTGGCTAACACATACAGTCCCCGTACTCGTAATAAATACTAAAATAAGAAAAATCAGAATAAAAGTATGGCCTAACCATAACCTGGTACACATCTACAGGAGTACCAATAAGATAATAAAAATGAATCTGATAAAGATGGCCAAATACGCAATTCATTTTGCGTAGTGAAGAGATCATTAATAATAAATCAGCAAAATCAATAAAAGCAGGAATTACAAAGGACATCAAATTGTGTCACAAAACCAGTTAAATGCCAGGTGACAGCAATATCAATAATAAAGCACCTGATTTGAATGTGCTGAGCCTGTAAACTTCGTCTTCTCGCAAAACTCTGGTTATTATTATAAGGTTGATATGAAATATTGCTTCCACTTCCAACTGGTGTTGTACTTGGTGATGATTGAAGTTGTGGTGAAGTCTGACCTTCTGCACTATTTGTTCGATTGACAGGTCTCTAGAGAATGGAAAATTGTAATCAATTTTTGACGCACTGGATTACTTATTCATATTTTTGTCTGAAAATTGTTTTAAACAACATTGAAAAAACGATACTTCCGTATTATGTGTACCAGATTAGGGTTAGGCCATAATTTTATTCAGATTTTCCTTATTTTAGTTTTATTAAGAGTTCGGAGAGTGTCTGTGTTAGCCAAGTGAATACACCCCCTAACCATAGTAATCAGTCCCTGTACACAACTTGATATTGGTACACGTACACAATAATACTGTTAAAAAAATAGTAAATACTCACAGGAACTTGGAGGTAATGATGGGTTTTCGTTGAATTTCCTCTTGTTTGCCATGATTCTTCTGAATCTTCCTGTGGAAAACAAAGTGAAAAATCCTTCATAAGAATGTTGAATGAAACAAGTAACATTCACAATAATAAATAGAAACATACCACTGTCATTTCAGGTACAGCCTTAGCACGAGCTAACTTTTGCAAATGTTCTTTCAACATATTATCACCGAGTAATAGCAAGCCGTCGCTTGCCCGTCTGCCTTCCCTGAACCCTGTGAAACAAAACATTGTTAATTGGGTATTTTTGGTCACTACCAATATCATCAATTTAGTCCATGTCGTTATTATAAATAAATTATGCTAAAACACACATTAAATAATTTTGAACATTTCCAGATTATAAGTACCATTGAAATCATTCAAAATTAGCCATGAGCTAACTCATTTCTTACTTCTATGGGTTTTTGGAATCAGGGTGCCCATATTTCCAAATTGAATACAAATACTGACAACATAACAATATTGTCAATCAAAAAAATATCAAACATGCATACACTATAAATACACTAACCTATAGGTGAAGAATCCATCTTTTGTCTTTGTTTCATAATGAAAGCCGCCTTTGCCTCAACATTGTTCTGTTCCTCTTCAAAATCTTCTCTGTTGGCTTGATCAATTTGCAAGCTTGGTGGGAGAGGTGGCATACCAGACCTGCGTCGATATTGCAAACCAGGTCTTTCTTCCACTTCATTTTGACCAAAATTTAATTCAGGTGGTGTAGGTAAATTTTTGCATGGTAGTAATAGATTTCCTCTTCTATGGTTGTCTGAGAACCCAACTTTCATTTGTTTGCATCGACATGCAGGACTAAATTTAAATAAACAAATATTATTCTGCTGATATTTTGATACAGTATATTGATTCTCACAGTATACATAAAACAATTTTTCTATGTTGTATCATCAAATATATTCATTTCACGTTTGAAACTTACTTATTACATGTATTTTCCTCACTGCTTTGAATACATGCTGTAACATCATTTTGACAATGAGTTAGGTAATTTTGTGCTTCTGCTGCATACCCCTGTAATAATGAATTTCAATTAAAAAAATTCATTTTAGAATTTTTCAATTTGCTGTGTCAACTTTTAATGATCAAATACAGTTACTTAACAGATTTGCCTATGAAAAATTTTAGTTAAAATGTTTTTGAAATTATTCAATACATACACACACCTGTCATGTATGGTTCAAATTTAAATCTTATCCAAGTAATCATGGATGATATTTTGGAAATAGAGGCAAGCTTAATGTAAAATATTCTATTAAGAATGTCATATTACCACATAGTTACACAGAAATTGTTTCTTACATATGATGTCATTTCATCTCCGGATTTACTGAGTTTGGCAGTGCTTGTATGTGGAGATATTTGTAGCGGTACTTCATTTCCTGAAGTCATTCCAGCTCGTAACATTTGCATCTGACTTGGACTTGGTACCATGAGAGTGTGTCGTCTTTGGTTTAAATTGTAACCTCCCTAAAATTTTTAAACAAATTATATTTAGGAAATTTATTTTTACCTTAATTAGATGAATTAATACCATAACAAGAAAGCAATTCCCAAATATATGAACACGCAGACCAAAACAAAAAAGCATCAAATCTATTACTGTACCGGTAGTCTGACCACCAGATCGCTGAGATGCAATCACAGAACCACGGCACAGTGCAAAATTTTTAATTTTCACACAACCAAACTTCAAAAGGTAAAACGGATTCCATACAGCCCACAGAAATTTTTAAATAAACAAAACTAAAAGCTTTTTAGCAACAACAGCACTCTTTAACCACTGAAAATTTCAAAGCAATTAGTCCAGTAGTTGAAGGGAAAGCGATTTTTTCACAAGAACAAGAAGTACAACAAAACGATCGATAAGTCCACTTTATTTCCAATAATTATCAATAACTGGCAAAAATTTTTACAGTAATAATACATAGTGTTGCATGCATTAGTGCCCACATCAAAACAGACCTCAACTGACATTGAAAAAAAAAACACCAAATGAAAAGATCACAGGGTGTTATATTGTCAAAAACAACCTACCAAATTAGTTTCTCCCATTTCCACATTGTTATGTCTATAATTGGCAGATGTATATGGTGTGTTCGGTGAATTGCTATTGGGTATTGATGAATTATCTTCATTTTGGCACTGCACATAAGATGGATTGAGAGGTGAACTATAATTGGCTGCATTTTTAATTTGCAATTGTTCTTTTTCTTCATACATTGACATTCTGATTTGTGGTAATGGTGGTGAAGAATAGCGAATTGGTGCAGCAAGCGATCGCTGAACAGTAGGTAGACCTAAAATTAGGATTCCAAATGATACAGTTAAAAAAAATTTCCTATAAAATGAACATTCACAACATATCAGCATTTAAAAATATAAGATATTTTGAAAACAATTATCAATACTTGTATGCTTGCATGAATGTATTTCTGCAACCATTTTATTAATGGCCTATATTGAAAAACGATGACAAAAAAATAATTGCATCTGCGTGTACACTATAGTAATTGGCTATTAGTGAAAATAACAGTTAACAATAGCAAAAGAAAGTTGAAATTATCCAATCAGCATACAATCCACAATGCCTGGGCAGAACAACTTGTTTAGATATTATCAAGGTGATGTGTGAAAGGGCAACAAATATTCCTAATTTTTCCATATTTTCAGTTTTCTAGACTGTATCTTTTTAATCATTTTCAGCCAAGTGCTGTCTTCTGGAACAACCCACATTTATGCTTATTGGTGAAATTTCCAAATTACATAAATGCACTCTGCTACTGACCTGTTGTCATGTCATCAAATTGCATGTCTGAAACAGCTGTTGTTTTGTCTTGCATCATTGTATTAAATTCAGTATGGGCTGACAGTGAAGGGCCTGCATGTGTTATCTGACAAGAAATTGATAATCGGTATTATGTAATACAAGTGAAAATGCATAATCATTTTAGGCTATTGATCATTCAGTGGGTAATTATGGCCGGACGTCTAATTAAAATTATAATTTATACGCAATTATTGCATTGAATTGATTTTTTTTTAAATGTCTCTATGATAATACATAAAATTTTTGACATAGGAAAGGATTTACATAATTATCCCGGGTGAGAGGAAAGTCGATAAGATTGCTCAAACGTATGGCAAACCAACGCCTCTCGTCCGGTTACCATTCCATGTCGGGTATGGGATTAGTTACCGGTAGTTATGTGTTTTCGTATGCAATGCCTACACATTTAGTTTGGTTTTGCTTGATGGATGTTTATTTAAAAATTCAAAGATCAACTAGTTGCCATGACAACATAGCAACATGCAAGTACTGTGAATGAGCAAAAATGGGGGTGAAAAAGGTATTGAAGAATTTTGTGGGTTCTATGGTTTAGTGGGTGCAGCCCATGCCTACCACCTCACCCAGGTTTTTATAGGGGAGGGAATGCCAAACCAAAAATATTCTGGTCGACAAAAAAATATAGTCGCTTCTACAAAAGTGACTATTGTGACTTCTTATACAAAACGTTCAGAGTTAAATGTGTATAAATAAGTAATACGTATTTGAATGAATATTCAGTAATTGAATTATTATTTCTATATAAAGTCGATAAAGACTTGTCATATGACTAATTTTGATGAATTGTTTTTCGAATAAAAATAAAAATTTTTATTCCATTCCATCAGATGACTTATCGCTTGCATGCAAAATCCATTGTCTGAAATTACATGGTTATAAAAAATGCATGACTATGACGCAAGAGAAGCCAGACGTAATATAAACAAATGGGCTTTTATCCTTAAGTACATTTCATTTAAAAGGCATACCAATTATTTTATTCCAAGTATTGTGAGAAAAAATGTTTATTTAGAACTATTTGCGCATTGAACATATTGGCCAATTTTGTGATGCGTATTGCCAATATTGAAAACAAACACGTCATCTTGGTTTAATCTTCAACTTTATTATCAATTTTATTATTGAATCTAATTAAATATTCACTGAATTCAATGGTCCTACATAACGAAAAATTGTATTTGATATAGGATTCATTCTTTCACTAGATATTTATTTTAGTACACTCAAAAATCATAATAAGGTTCAAGGTCCTATGTACCTTGGATCTCAACGGCTAAAATTTTTCTGATTTGATACAGTTTAATCATTCATCTTACTATGGGTGGAGTGCTGGCATTAGACTTATTACTGTCAGTTCTGTTTGCGCAAAAAATAAATGCAATCAGTTTGCATTTGTGTCACTGAATGGTAAGTAACAAAAGATTTGATTAAATCATTAAATGAAGCAAAAATTAACAGTGTCAACAGTGTCTAACTTTATAATACTATTACTAAATATTATGCACCTAACTAATCTAACTTGGCATCAGAAACAGATAAACAAAAGCTTCCTATAATGGTTTGCAAAATGACTCATTTTGAACATTCTAGAATCTAGATAGTTTTTATTTGTCTCACTCTTCAAATATCGGGAATATCTTTCCAAATATAAGAAGTGCTTATTCCATTCAATATCATTCTCAATAAAATTGAAAGCATGTTATAACAAATCAGAATTTGGCTATTGCTTTCACAGTATTCTGTATCACATTGGCTTCAGTTGTTTCATGAATAGTATAAATAACAAAATGGATAGAATGGGATTTTCATAATTATCCCGGGGCAGAGGAAAGTTAATAATCATAATTGCTCATATGGCGTACCACGGCCTCTTGTCCAGTTACAAGTCCATGTAGAGTATGGAATTAGTCAGCCAGTAATTTTTTTCAGATGCTTGTCCTTTACTATTGACATTTTTCAAATGCTTGGGCTCTACTATTTACACTGTATTGAAATGCTATTCAACACTGTATATTTATGTTACGTATTTTCTGACTTGGTGGAAAATAAATTACTGACTGAATCAAGATTTATCCACACCTTTGAAGTCATTTTATTTTAACTTTCATATTCAATTTCTTAATATTTGCAATTCCACTTTCGATGAACTGGTAAAAATCTTATTCTAGCAAAATTCATACTTACATTTACTCCCAATCAGAAGTGTATACTAACAATTATGATAAAAAAAAATTCATCTTATATTACAAAAATAAATGTATAACAGGTTTTTTGACATACCGATGAAAGTGCCTGGTCAGCAACATTTGAAGGTCGCCTGCGTCCTCCATCATAGGAAATTGATGAATCAAGTGGAAAACTTGTCCTATGTAATTTCAATCGGTCCGCCAGCAGATGATATATTGCAAATAAGTGATCATAAGCTGACATGTTTAATGACTGTAAAATATTGCATCCAAATTTACACTATGAATTATTAAAGAAGATTGAAAATGTTTTCATAAAAATATTATATTAGAATAGTTATAACTAGAAGTACACAGTTATAATTCTGGTGTGTATATGATACTGATATTAATAAGAGCTCAAGTTTTTTTTTTACCTCAAGTGCCTTTTGTCTGTTTATTCCAAGTCCATGCATAATTTTTAGAACATGTTCATTATATTCTGATAATTTTCCTCTTCTGGGTAACTGAGGTGAACTTTTTGTTTGTGCTAAAACAATTATTGGATTCTGAAAAAAATATATAAATAATAAGATACAAGTGCCAAAGCTACTAAACGTAGCTTAAACGTAATATTATAATCTCCTTATTACTGTTATTACTGTAAATTTAAAAAATCTGCTTTCTAAACAGTTATTCGAATATAGTGTTGTGGTTGGTTTATTACCATAAGCCCACCAGGAAACAATTACTTTGTTTAGTCTTTCTTAAAATATCCATGCTATTTTTATACCGCTGATTAATTATAAAAACAAGAAAAGGTATCAAAATATTTTTCTTACATGTGCCTGCATCCATTTGTGTTTTTTAATTTGTGATATTGTAAGACGCTTCTTAGGATTTATTACCAACATTCGACGTACAAGATTTTCACAATCTAGATATAATTTTTTACATGAAAGTTATTAAAAAAAAGAAATGTTAAATTTGTCACTATACAAAGCATAGGTAAATATTTGGGTGAATAAAAGCCATAAATTCATTTATGCCTGTGACAGCTATTAATATACAGATACACATTCTATATCTGAATGTACTTCAACAATAAAAAAATTTGAATAATAAATATTAGATCAGAACTACTTTTACATTATGATCAGAGTTTCCTTTAGCGTCGGAAAACTACACAAACTACATACAATTAAAGAAAGTCACCTTGACTCATCCAGTATGGAATTCTAAAACGACCTCCCAATACTCGATCTTTCAAATTTGCGAGATTTGAACCATCAAATGGAAAAGTTCCGCAAACTAAAACATACAGAACAACTCCCAGACTCTGTAAATAACAAGAACAAGGTTCGACATTGAATTCAAAAATAGGCATTAAATTCACAAGAGACAAGAATATATTTATTTACTTTCAATTTTATTGGTTCTCAGTAGGGCTGGAAATGGTTAACCGGTTACGATTTATTTTAGCCGTTAACTGACAACTGACTTTATAATCTTTATCATCTTTATAATGTACAATTCTTTCAAAAATGATTACGTCATCACAAATTTATCTCCTGTGGCGTTTAATTCAAAAGAATATTGCTAACTGTATTGGTGAGGACCTAAACGTGAAAAATAATTGAAGTACCAAGATTGCTGATTATGAAAATTTGACAATAATTAATTATGAATCAGTTTTCGGTCAAAATATATTGTTCACGATTTTATTTCAAAATCTGTATCGTATATTTAATGTCAACCAATAAGTGCGTAATTGATGCTGTTTTTCTTTATAAATCTCAAAGTAGAATTTGCACATTGAACACTGAAAATTTGTCACATAAATGACATTTCATAATGGAATCGGGTTTTACTTAAAATACTTTCATATGTCCTACCCACGCTACCTATATCTTGCAGCAGGTCGATAACAAAACTATCTCGATTCGTGAATAATTTTGAGCAATATCGGGATGAGGTCACGCGAAATTGCTTTGTAACCATTGTGACGTAACAAGCTAAAATTATTATGTGAAATGTCACGCTGCGGTTAACTGGTTAATTTTTCCCGGTTAACGTGTTTCCCTGAAATTCCAAGCCCTAATTCTCGGCTTTTCCTTTGCCCTAAAAATTCACTTCATTCATATACTTGAATGGTCTCATTTTGAGGTCAAGAATATATTTTATTCTTGTATGTTGCTTTTCTTTTTAAATATTTGGAAGCCCACAACCTGCCTTTAACTGAGCTCGCACAAAATATCATGTAAAATAGAGTAGTACCGCAGTTCCCAAACGGGGGCTTGTAGGGGACCATGGAGTAGTTGGAGGGGGGCCACATTGATGCCGCAAAACTGATTTTACTTTTCTTTCGACAAGAATACCCATTCTTCCTAGTTTTATTGCTTGATAAGGTTATTTTACAGAGTTTTTCACTTCATTGCATGATTTGTTTGAACATAATGGGATTTGTATTCTACCACTAAAAATAACACTATAAATAGCACTAGAATTATAAAAAGGGCGCCATGCGTGCAAAAGCTTATGGGAGAGGAGATAAAAACTACATGTGATAAATCTCTTTCTATCATTCGTCAAATTTTTCATCATTTAAACATCAACATTATAGCCAGGTCAGTTTGAGACAGCATTCTAAACAATATTCATACCCAAACATCCAAGTGTGGTCCTTCGTATACTTTTCCCTCAAAAACCTCAGGTGCTGCATAGGGTGGGCTTCCACACCATGTACTCAACATATTACCAGATTGATAAAAATTGCTGAAACCAAAATCTGAAATAAATTTTAGAAGTTTAAATACTCTTATTTGATTTATTTGTGTGCGAAAATTTAACAATAATAAAATTGACTTTCCACTTGTATACAGGTATTTCTCATATTAAACTATTTTAAGAAAATCTATATGTACCTGACAATGACTCTTATTTATCCAAAAATAGAAATATTCTAAATTTGTAATCTCTTATCATGAATTGTATAAACATTTCAAATTTAACTTACAATACAAATCTAAATTTAGAGGCAGAGTTATGTCTACTGTTTCTGTGGTATTTTAGGAGTCAAAAGTTGCAATATATCAAATAGATATAGAAATCGATAAATATAGAAAAGTTTTTTTCGTATCCTATGTTACAGTCCCAGTACTAGAATCATTGACAATATCATATTCCTATGGTATCAATAGCTTAACAATAGACTGGAAGACTTTTCGAGCCATAATATATTTTTTGTTTAAAATGGACATTGATACTTACCAGCTAACTTAACATTGTTGTTCGAATCGAGTAATAAATTTTCTGCCTGAAATAAAAAGGAATTTAAATATGCCATTAGAATCATTATTTTTTAGTAAACAAGATATTTTTGTAATGCCTTTTTGCCAAGCAATGTTTCATAATTCCATTGATAAAATTTGAAGACCATAAACAGTATGATTTCTGTGTTAATCAAATATATCCATTCATAGTATATCGAGGGTTTTAATACAAAACAGGCAAATGCTGAACTTTCGAAAAATAGATGCTTTTAAACTGGTTTTCAAATTAAATTTTGATGCAATATTTATCAAAGAATTTCAATTTAAAATTGGATGAAAATGTCAATAAAATATCAAAGATAAATGTCAAAATAAATGATAATTTATTCATTTTTTCAAAACAATTTTTTGTTTCATCTCTTTGGACTAAAGCACACGATATGTGGAGAAAAACAGCAAAGACAATCCGTATAATGGCATCACTGCGAAAAATATGGTATAATCGTGTTCGTATAGATTTATTGCTAGGACCCAATCATTTTAATGTACTCGCCAATGTTTAAAATTTAGAAAGACAGTGAACATTGTTGTTCATCAATGAGTTCTCAAACTGAATGAAAGGTCACGATAAAATAATCTCGGCTAACGTCAATGGTGACCTTAGTATCGCGCAAATGAACGTGTGTATCAATCAAAATATATGAGTCAGTAAACAATGTGTCTGGAGTCAAGTAATACTTTAAATTTTTGACATAATTGATTTTGAAATAAGGAGTTATTCCAGTATTTCCACATTAAATATTACGGTAGTTTATTCAAAACAAAAACTAAAGGTTAGAAAGACGTTTTATATAATTACTAAGTCAAATTTGTTTTTTAAATAAAAAACAAAACGAGGAAAAGATCATGTCCGATGAAATTTTTAATGAAATTCAGTAACTGTTAATTAGGACTATGCTGTACAATTAAGTGTATAATGTTATTATGCAAAACCCAAAATTTATAACAAATATTTACATATTCATTTGTTTTTCATTATATCGGAATTTTTGCCGAGAACGCTAAGCCTAAACAATGGATATAAGCGTTATTAAAATGACCAGAGAAATTTGGGCCATAAAAGGATCATAAAATTTTGATATATTTTGTGAATTTTTCAATGTTTCAAAATCCCCTCTTGGGTCATCAAAAATAATCAGCATGGCTTCATGAGACATCTGCCAATGTTTTATTTAATCGAGCTTATACATGTTATACTTAAGGTTTGGACATAATTCAATAATTGAACCTGTATGGAACTTATTGCTTGCTTAAAACTTAGTCACAATGAATTTTGATAAAACAATATATGATTTCAAGTTTTTGAGTTTGTAAATAATGTATAAATCCGAGTTTAACAATACCTACTTTCAAATCTCTGTGAACAACATTATTTTTATGACAGTATTCAACTGCTGTTAAAATTTGCCAAAACATTTTCTTTGCCTTTTCTTCAGGTAATCGACCTTGTTCAGTTATATAATCTAAATAAATAATAAAGTTATTGTCAGTAAATAAATGAGCCAACAACATCACAATAAACCTAAAATCAATGGAATGATGTTAACGATATTTAGAATTACATGGTCTTGGACCATAATTATTGAGATCAATATGTTACATAAAAAATAATAGTAAAATATAATGGTGTTGCATTGTGATTTCACTTTTTGTTTGGGGTGACTTTGAGTGAGGCTGGACACTAGCTTCTAATATGGCATGATTGAAAAAAATCTATTCTCAATAAATGATTTAAATGACAATCTCCATTCAATTAATTACTCCCACAGCATGCCATAACAAGCTTTATAAGTTCATCATCACTATATACGACCAAAGCAAACATACTCATTTATTGAAACTAAATTTATCAGAATTATGCATAGGTCACTCATAAACATAAATTATCTCAAATTTGTTAGCAAACATCTCTATTAACATTTGACAACTTACCAAATAGTTCACCATTTCTTGCATATTCACAAACAAGGTAAATTGTGGAAGATGTTTCCATTACCTGCAGAAAAAAATTGGTCATTTTTTATGTTAACTTATTCTTCAATAAATCATTCATTTATTCAAAAGTATATTGGAATGAATACTTCTGTGGATCGAAATGACACTTAAAAGTAAGATGATAACCCTATTTTGAATTGTGAAAGACCTATCTATCAATCCAAAAGTTGATACATTGCACAAAGCTGTATTTTCAAATATACATGAAAATACAGTGTCTAATAAGCACATGTACATGTACATTAACCAAATGAAGGCGGCATCTATTTAGTTATCATGTTATACTTCACACTTGTACATGGCCAAATGCCTAATTTCCGACACGGTCAAGCCCTATTTACCTGATAAAGCTTAATTATATGTTGATGATTGAGAAGTTTTAAAATCTGGATTTCCCTGTATATCTTCTTAAGATTTAATTGGTCGAGCCTCAATTTGTCGATGATTTTAATGGCAACCTGTATGAATGAAGACAAATCAGTCACTTGATAGAAATCTTTTGTTAAGGACATAATTAAATACCAAAGACTGATTTAATTACACATGTATGACCTGTTAAGGAGAAAACGATGTGTTCTTTCAAGGATCACAATTAATTGTTTAAGTGGCACAAGTTGTGAATATTGTCTACAATTTTAAACATCACATATAGTGCCATAATATTTTGTTAAATTATCAAATCGAAAATTTTGAAATATGACTCCCAATGTTGTCCATGTGTCAAAGAATATATTCATAACAGCTTCAAAATTTTTTTTGAATTTGGGATTATTATACTGTTCATTATCTTGTTGTTTCGACAACTGAATACCAAAATGGGGATTTTTATAATAAAGGGATCAATATGTAATACTACTTCCAATTTTAGCAATATCAATTGAAATACGGTAATGTTGAGCCTATGCTCCTAATATAAGATTAGTATTTGTATGAAATAACTAAATCAATACATAAGCTCACTGTTATTGAGATTGTAATTTTAACTAGACCTATCTATACCAAATTTGTATAAATGGGTATGTCTGTGCATAATGATGAGAAGATATTATTCACTATGGTTTGTTGTATAACCACGCATTACTTAACAACAGAAGAAGCTTTGTTTTAAGTTATGCATAGACCATTTAGTCGTCATCTCTGTGAATGAGTAATATTATGGAAGTCGGTAAATGCCCATGTCATGCATCCATTCAGAAATTATTTTCATGTTTTTTTTGGCATTAGATCGGTGTCAATCTGACAAAACGCACTTTGCCACATGTTTATGCGTCAGAATAATTCATTTCGATTTTCCCCTAAGCAAGTTTTGCGTAAAGCTTTTGCGTAATTACACACTTGAGCGATCGTTAAGTATTCGATATGACGCACGAGTATCTACGCTTCATTTAAATACCAGAGCTCGTGGTATACTAACCTCAAATTGTGGTATATATATATATATGTACTGGTAAACCCAACGCCTAGCCATTGAATTACTCATGGACCAGAAATTATTAATGCATTTGCCATTACACGACAAATATATATAGTTTTATGAAGGATTTAAATGACCGATAATTTTCACCAAATTTACGTGTATTTTCTAGTAGTGTATTTGAACGCGCCCTTTGGCCATCATCAGTTCCTCGTCGGTGGCCTCGTGAGTTGAATATTCACAAAGACGAGTGAATTAGGGAACGAAACAAGATCGCCCGGAACTATATCTGGACGTACATACACGAACGTCATTTTTCAAGGGCAATGAATCACGTGGATCGTCATAGCCCTGTAGCCCCAATCATGGCGTGTCGAAGCTAAATCATTCACTTTGCCAGATATCATTTCTTGAAATATACAAAACTAAGTTTGTAATATTTCTTCGCTAAAATGAAAAACAAATTTAAAAGATACACCCATAACGATAATTTGAATTAACTACGAAAGTTTAAAACCGACTCCGTCACCGACGACGTAACTAACTCAATGACAATTTATATACATTACATGCTCGACTTCTAAACATTGCAGTTACATTCACAATAAAATTCATTTTCGGAGTTTTGCTTCCAACCCGACCGAGAAAGTTAAATTATAGGAAAAGGATTTGGATGGTTTTTTTGCTGTTCAGGAAAATTTAATATTATATGTGAAGTACAACACAAGATTCACAACAAATTTGTGCGTCATTGTTAATATTACTTTTTTAGATTGTATTTAGAAATTTACAGCTGCTTTTTCGGGTACTCCCGTAGTACGTGTACCAGGTTAGAGTTAGGCCATAATTTTATTCCGATTTTCCTTAATTTAGTTCTATTACGAGTTCGGGACTGTCTGTTTTAGCCAAGTGAAAAATAGTTACCTCACATACTTCTTGAGCGCCTCTTTCGTAGCACGTCACCCACCCACACGCCCTACTTAATACACCATTGTACGATATTGACGGTTATCGTGTTTGTTTTGTTCATATTAATTCAGACGATAGAAACGATTTCATAGAAAAGTTTACGCAGACAAAAACCTCGTGTTGATTCAAACGACGAAGTAAACAATTGTTATTCTTTCCCAATTCTGAGAAAGGTTCAACAATTTACACCATATATCTTTTTCGTCTTGTGACAAATTTTCACGGTTATAACTTTAGAATTTGAAAACACCGGTAGAGATATTTTGTTTGGGTGTCAGGATAAGTGATTCAATGAGTATGTCATTCAAAATACAAACACCTTAATAAACTTCAAGCTAGTCCATTGGACTTTATACAAAGGAAATATATATAATATTTATCGTTTCAGAGTTCCGTGGTGACTACTGGACGAAAGTTACTAAAATTGGCGTCATCGTGCTCGTTGTTCGTGTCTGAGCGCATTTCCTGGCCGTCCAATTGACGTATTGCGCAAAGCAAAAGGTTTAGCGTGCTTGCGTTGTGAGCTAAATCTAGGATCCTGATAAATCTCGCGAAATCTTTCAAATAAACATGTTCCTATATAGTTCCGCCTTAATTTCTAAATGTATTACTCTTTGTTTCATAGTTTCTCTTTCTGGTGATCCCGGTAATGCCCATATAGAGTTTTGTACCAAGCAAACGAGGCTTTGCCAAACTTTTACCTCATTCTATTCACTTGAATTTTCTAGCTAAAAAGTCCTTACCTCCGTTTTCGTTATGCGATGTCTCGCCAACTTGACCACGGCAAAGTTTCCCCGTCCTATTGTCCGTAATATATCATAAAATCCCACTTTTATAGGGGTCCTTGTAGTTCGAATGGCGTGCTCTGCCATTACCATGCTTGCGAGGTTCACACGTTAACTTTTTGACTTCTATTGGTATATCATTGGATAAGGGTACATCATCACAATTCTCTCGGACGTCACTCGCAGAAGGCTGGTTATGTGGTTTTATTTCATGCGGAGCTTTGGGTTCTGCTTATCGATATAGCGTGATGCATTTATTAACAGTCAATAGCATCATTCAAATAATGTATGGGCCTTACGCTTCGCCCTTATCTGAAAATCATATATATATAATATTACTATGTTCAAACTAATTGATGACTAGCTGCCAAATAAATAGGTATTACTTATCTACCATATGCACGTCTACGTCATACGTTAAAGCCATATTATCGATAAAATGTTTGGCAAATATATTTCTATATTGATTCATCATACAGCTGATTTCCGCTCGACGGTATACTTATGATTATTCCATAAGTTGTATCATCATCAGGAACCGAAACCGTTCAGAAATGTCGCGAGATAATCAGCGATTATTACCACATGTCCTGGCCATTTGTCGGTCAGCACGATGGGGCGCAAAGTCTTGCGACTTTGGTCGTTCATTTCAAATACAGAGTGAAAGACAGGTTTACTGCCACAACGAGAACATCACTAGTCAAATGTATGTATGTATTAGAAGTCGGGTTTATTTAAAATTTGTGCGCTCTATATGGAGTACCTGTCTTCTATAGTTCAATTTACCTAGTTCCTGGCATTTCACTTGTTTTCCAGACCTCCACAATTTTGAGTATTTTTTTACAATAAAGAAGAGACGCAACACAAATCCGACCAAGCGCTTGCATTTTTGTCTTCTACTACACACCTATACCACAAATACCTATCCTATACATGGGCTAACTATACATTAATCGTTCTAACAGATCAGATATGTTTAGTCAGTAAACGTTGTCTTTTCACTGCTTACTAATACACGACAAATGATGATTCGCTTTTGCTTTGTTGATAGTTTTATCTTACCTAAAAACATTGCGTAGTTCCGAAAGCCATCCAAATTCTAAAGGCAAAGTCGAAGTTGTATGCCAAAAGCGTCATATTGTGCGTGACGCATGTTCAGCCCTACGCAACCACGGTGCGTTCCACTTAACGGTTTATTCGCGCGGCTCAAGAGACACGATGGCTTATGGGAAGGTAAACAATAACTTATAGCTGAAGGCGAAATCGGAACTGTTACCTCTGAGGCCAAATGAACTGTGCGTACTTCAAACCGCTGTCACGTGACGTCTCGTATTTCTAAGCCTCGCGGGAGACCAATGTCGTGCGTCATCCGAATCACAGTTGTAACTCCATGACGTAGGTTTGAATAAAACTTGTTTACTTTGGTATGCGCCGTTTCAACACAGTCACACCATATCAAAAGCCGCTGCCAAGCGCGAAATAGTGATGCATAACTTTATCGAGATAGACCTTTAGTACGGTTCATACTGGATTAAAAAATTTCGAGGTATACCAGAGTTGTTTAATTGGCAAAATTTGCCATCCAAATAAACAGCATTCCGCAGGTGGTAACAGACATGCACATACTAACAAGGGAGTAGCTATCGAGATAGACTATTAGTACGGTTCATAGTAAATTAAATAAATTCGAGTATTACCAGAATTGTTTAAATGGCGAAATTTTGTCTTCTAGTCATACTAAATTAAAAAAAATCGAGTAATACCAGAATTGTTTCATTGGCGAAATTTTGTCTTCAAAACAAACAGCATATTGCATGTGATAACGGACATGCACATACAAACAAAAGAATAGCCTCATTTTATCGATCTAATATCACTATCCAATATGAGAAATACGCCTCGCTCCGCGATATGTGAGAGTGGTTTTCCAAATTGTTATAGTACTCTTGGTATGTTAAAGGGAATTGAATCCATCAGAACATACGTGAACCTGACACCGAAGGAAAGAGTGATCCAAGAGGCTGTTTGAAAAGTCACAAAAGCGGTGGGAAGTTTGAAAGTACATCGGCATAAGGCACGAAATCCATTGTGCGATATATTTAAATCAATATTCATTCGGAATAGTGTGGTGCAGTTTCGAAGATATTACGCAACCACAGTTTCGGTTTTATTTTTCCTCGCTTTGAAAAAACAAGGTTTAATCTTAAATCTATCAGCTGTGTTATATCAATTTGCGCTATAATGTTACAGAAGCTCCTACATGTAAACAATTTACTGCATTACTTACAAGGACGAAAATTTCGAAGGATCAATGATCCGGTGGCGTGGACCCTTGCATTGCATTATTTTGCCTCTTCAATTTTAGCCTGCCTAATTTCGCACACTAGACGAAAAATAGACATTAAGGATTACCAAACGCGCTTCGCTCTCTGGTGTATACTAGGAAAGCGTACGGAATTACCATAATGTGTTGGTTGATTGATTTTTACGTAACCTGAGAATAATGCTTGCTCGCTGCGAGGTCAAAAAGCAAGGGAAAATATGACTGACGTTTGATTTCCTACATGTAATAATATAAGCGATTGACGCAAATATGGTTGAAAGAGAAATCACGACGGATCTTGTTTTGAAAGAGTTATTTAATACATAAACCACGACATACTGTCTAACTGCTGGTGTGCATGGGCATGCCATACTGAATAATGACAAGACTGTTATCTATATGCTGTTTATGCCGCTCCATGTACGTCATAGCTGTCGTAAACACACCGACGGGAGTGATCGCTATCTCAATCATCACTGTCGCTGAGGTATTATAATTATGTAATAATAATAACAATAAGGTCCTAGAAAAGCAGGGTCGATGAAGTGTTTTCGAGGATATGCCTGACAAGAAAAACAACTTATGATAAATTCCATTACATCAAATCTAGAAATCAAATCAAATCCATTATATCGAATCAACATTTGTAAAACCCAGTACGTACAAAGGCTTCAATTTCCCCCTATAACATGCAGGATTTGTAAAATCAACGTTGAAAAATTTAAATCTGACCTCAAATGAATGAGTCATATTATTACGGATAGGATAGCGAAATCGCAATGACAATTTTCTGCTCATTTATAAGTATTCGCTCAAATTACGTGAAGCGAGTTCACTAACATGCTTTGACGCCATACAGTTATCGCTCGTGTTTGGTAAAGATTTTAAAGAGACGACGATATAAAAAATGCAAAGTATCGCCGAAACGTTTCAATCTCGAGTCCGCACTTAACAGTGGATTTTTTTATATACTGGAGTAACTACCGCATAAACTTACGCGAGAAATGTTACGCAAGACGAAATTTGTTCCGTGAATATGCATAGTATTTTGGGGTCGAAAAATGCAGTTGCAGCAATTACATCTTCTTAAATTCACATTGACACGAGACGAAAATGCCACACAACAAACGCTTTTCTGCGCTTAATTATTGATCAAAGGAGCAAAGTTGAGCCAATTTGAATAAAATTTCTGATTTACTTTTTCCCGGTGTGTACATTTGTAACAACACCCACAAAAGAGTAAATGAGCACGTAAATATACAAATACATAGCAAAATAAGAGTTCAATTAGGCGTTAGATAGCTGGAACATAAAGGCTAATTGTTCGTTTGGAATACTAATAAGTAACTTTAAAAAGCTTCAGCCGTTACAAGCAATTTTACCCATTGTTATGTGTGGTACCCACCGTACCCCACAATAAGATGGAATCCAGTTCAAAAATTTGAAATATATTTTTCTAATCTTCACGAAACTGTTTTCCTAGCATTCGTATAAACTAATATACTGGTCTCTATCTTTGGTATGCCTCTTTAGGCCTACCCCTTTACTGTACTACTCTTTTACTGGGCATATACACGACGTAACAAACACTCCGAGGCATTCGTCGGACGTAAAAATCGATCGTTCGAGCGCACAGCGCCTTACAGATCCATCACGTTACTCGATCTGCGGGAGAAACGGCCGCAATGTCTTCAATAAATAAACAAACAAAAGCGATCGATTTAACGACCAGGCTACATTTCTTATTGATGGTGCCCAGATTGATTGTTTTTCAAATAAATGAAAACTCCCAGAACTTGGATCAACTCAGTATTTTTCTCGTCAAATAAACCAACCATACAAACTGGCAAAAGAACTTTATGATTCATCGGAGAATTATTTTCGAGGTTTACACAGAATCAAAACTAAATAACGAGCATCGAAAAGCAGGTTGGAAATGCGGTCGAAAAGTTGTCCATACAAGTTTTCAAAACATTGCCTTCGATATTTTTGCTTAGCTCAAACTGATCTTACAAAACAAGATCCAGGCCCAAGCTTTTGACTAAAATTAATAGTGTATACATTTACTGATGGAGGAGTGGCGCGTGTAGATATATAAACAAGGGGGCGATGCTCAAATATATGCCCACGAAATAGTACGGGTAATTTTGATGACGTCATCGCACCCAAAAAACGAATTCCATAGAGGCCACAGAACTTTTGAAATAAATAAAATAGCATTCTAGCGATAAGTAAAATCTTCAACCACTGAAAACCACTCAACCACTGAAAACAACTTCAACGTGAATTTGAATACCAACTGATCTGAGTCACTTCTGTATTATCATATCAGGCACCGCAGCCTACCGTTCCCCATAAAAAACTTCCCACTTTCGCTAAGCACGAGATTCACCGACGTTCGCTGAGCACGAAATCCGCTGATATGCGTTCGCGGAACCGCCATAAGGTGCCGAAAGTTTGATGACGTCATAGCACACAAAACGTACCGGTATCCTATATACCTCGAATAAATTTTTGTAATAAATAAAAGTAATAGCCTTGAATAACGAAAAATACAATCTTTAACCACTGAAAATGTCAGAGCTGTTTGACCACTAATTAAAAAAAATTAAAAGCGATGGTTCCATAACAATGGGAAGAAATATATTCTAACATAAAAAACAAGAACAACAACAACATAATAAAAAAAACGATTCATAGGTCCACTCCGTGTCCAATATCAAAACTTTCCATAGGTCCATTTCGCGTGCTTAGTGCCGGTCTGCACCAACTCAAAAGAACGGAAGGACCGCAGCAAACAATTAGTAATGGGCCTATGGTTCGCAGGCCACAAGCCATCGTCATTGCAAGATGAAATAAAAGCAACTATAATGTATTTATATCTTTAAATTTTTGTCCAAGTGAGATATTTTCTATCAGTGAGATTAGAGCGCTGTTGTTTGTGCTTAATACCGAGAAGGTTTGGTCGCATATGTAAGTTCCCCCGAACAGGCTGAATATTTGCCTTACCAACACCAGTAGGTTTTCAAAATTCTGCTTTTGCAAACACTTGTGAACAACAAACTGTTCTCTTTGTGCTTTTTTTATATGCAGCTAAGCTTTCAAATCAATGATTTTCAGACTTTCTCTGGATCTATTGAAAATGCATTTTCGATTACTTTCAGCTGCAATTTTTCTCCACTCGAGAAATAAAGTCTGGTGTCAAATTCTTCAGTGAGCTATTTGATTTGTTGAGTATATTGAATTCCAGCGTCTGGATGTCTTATTCAAGAAGTAGCCTACGTTCCGATCAACCGATTGGAGAATGTACTAGTATCCCTCTTAAAAGTTAACTTGAAAAGTCTAAGCACAGCCTTGAACCCGTTTACCGCGACAACAAGGTCTCAAGTGAGGAAATATAAACATAGTCAAACAATCTTCATTCCACGATGGATCATCAAGAAAGGGAATTCCCGTGGCTCCTTTTATAAAAGCAATGGACCCATTTAAAACTTTATCTTACTCAACGATCTCACTTCAGTGTGGTAGATCAAGTCCCCGTACTCAGCACTAACTTCTTCAGGAAATGGTTTCAGTAAGGCATGAATTAGCTTACTACCCCGAATTGCAGTTAACAATAGAAACAACAACAGACGCAACATGCTTACTGACATACCGTAAATTTCAAAACCTTGCTGCATATAAACCTGTCGATGTATATTGCAGTGGTTTGTAATTTTTTTCACCAAAAAACCCCTGTAGCTCTCTTCAACTTGTCCTAGTTTAACTCAAAACTAATAACTGCGATTATAATATAGACAATAATATAAACAAGTGTCTTTGAACTCCGACTGTATTTGCCAAATACGGAAAGGTGAATAATAGAGGTATATATATAATATATAATTCCACAGCAATTCACAAAACTAGTTGTTGCAGAAAGAAAACGAAACATTCAAACTCAATTTGAATCAAAACTGTCCAAATCCTGTCGGCCTTTTTTTCGAAATTCTTGTCAATATGTGTTCTGTATATTGTTTGGACATAATCAAATATCTATAATCGTTGGCTATTATTAAACTTGCGACACTTTGATAATCATTTTTGTTTCGTCATTATTAGGTTCGATATTTATTAATAATTTGAATTATTAATGAAATGATGTTTTTTTGCACGATACACTAATATACAACAATAACACTAATACACAATACACTTGAACTAATGCACATGTGTTCCTCCAACCTGTCATTGGGGTTTCGATCTACGTTAAAAGCCACTGATCCAGTGTTTAGAGTTTAGACCTCCATAAAGTCTTTTCGTGAAAGAAAATGGAAGCATGTATAATGGTGCCTTGCTACTTTCCCTTTGTAGAATTAGTTCTTTGAATTCACGATTGTAAAGTTTTTCTCGTTGCTGTTTATATCTATCTAGGAGCACCTTTGCAATCAACCAGCATAAAGTGGCGGTTATTGTTAAAGACATATTGATGTATATTTTCACAATGACGCAAAGTGGGACGCTCCAGGCAGTACTGATAGACGCCCCTAGTGATTGCAATATAAATTGCAAAATAAAACCAGTAGACTTATCTGGTGAATGAACTGCCGTTACCACTGAAAATAAATAAATAAAACGTAAGTCGTTGTTTTATTCGTGATGTCATATACTTTCATTTGAAATGGATTTGGTACTTCCGAAGTATGCGAACCAAGATGGCGGACACCGGAATGTAGAAGGTGTACCAGGTTAGGGTTAGGCCATAATAAATAATTTCATTCCAATTTTCCTATTTATTTCAGAATTCCACATTCCCGAGTTTGGAAGTAAAAGGATTGTTAAGTTTGATGACGAATACACAGAATATAAATCGCCAATCAAATAGAAAAAAGTTAATAAACTAATTTGAATCAAGATTTCATCTATGAACACTAACATGGTGTACTAATTATGAAATTGTACTCACAAAATGCGATGTTACGTCTGATGCCATGGGTAATCCCAAAAGTAGCCGAAAAAATATACGAAACGAATTTAGTAGAAACGGTTGGTTTCCACAACAACGAACATGTGTAATTGATCAAATCATAAATCAATCCCACGGAAAATATAACTGGTAAACCGACGTTTTCCGAATTTTTCGAAATTACTAAAGATGTTGCAAAGGACATTATATCGACAATGGCAGTGCATATTCCAACCTGAAATTGATGCGTAACAAATTATTTACTCAGTCACTACAAAATTCGGCATTCGGCATAGGATCGGCACAAGTGTCTCAAAAATGTCGTGTTCCAAGTGTCCCACTCGTTCTACTTGTCCCACTTGCCCAACGTGTCTCACTTGTTCCACGTGTCCTACTTGTGCCACGTGCCCAATGGGACAGGTTGGACAAGTGGGAAACGGTACCACTTCACATCAAATATGCGCATGTCAGTAACTATGATGTGACAAATTCCAGTCCGATTTTATTGGCACGGATCGACGGATGTTACTTATTGTTATTTGAAAAGTTGTTCAATCTCTACTCTAAATTTAGTTACATTCTAATAAAAATAGTCATATATAAAATTGGTAACCAATTTAGTAGTCAATGTAATATCAGTTTATAGTTTGGCATATTTATGCATGTAACAGCGTCTCATTTAAAGATAAAAATACCACAAACCTTATCGACTCCAACAACACAAGACACAAATGCCCTGTTGTGTTCCGTCCAAATATACGCAATTGTTAAACCGAATAGCAATTTAACAGGAAAAGTCAATAGTTCTTGCAAAGACGTGGCATATTTGAATGTTTTTTTGATACCGGACAAGAAATTTCTTTTTTCGTCTGTTAGCAAAGGCGTTTTCATCGATGGACTGATCTCTCCTGAAAAAGAAATCCGCGCTGGCCCATAAATTTAGTTTGCCTCAGTTTTACCTTACATTATTTGTATCATGGCTTTCTAATTACTGCTGGAAAGTAAATCGGGGACGTATTCTTTTAAGATTTTTTTTCGGTAAATCTACCACATGCAAAAATATTAACAATAGGAACTGTATTGATAGAACGATTTTTATTAAATTTCATTTTTGTAATCGATCAATCAAAGTAAAATGGTGCAGTTTTTTATTCTTTTCTCTTGTAAAGTATAAGCATATCGACAAATAGGTCTTGGGAAATAACAAAAGCAACCCTGCGGACTACGGCCAGTAGTAATTCAAATGTACCTTGTTCAGTCGCAGAGCTCTTGCCCGTGACAAAAAAAATAATGAATAGCTGCTCCTCCAATCTGCATTAAGATGTAGACAGTAAGTAGAACTCGTAGTAATTTTTGATCCGGTATAAGCACCAAAAATTTGCCTGACGTCTGACGAAATGGGTAATCGATCTAAAAAAAAGTTAATTTAAGTCAATGTCTCTTTTATGTGTAAATATGGAAGAAAATCAATATCCACACTGAACTATGAAACCAGCCATCTTGTCATGCAGTGAAGACAAGGTTTCACTGTTATTAAAAATAAAAGTGCTTCCGAAGTATTCGTACCAAGATGGCGCACAACCTGAACATAGTATGGGCACCAGGTTAGGGTAGTTTAGGTTGTGCGTCATCTTGGTACGAATACTTTAAGAGCGCCAAAATAAGAACTTAAATTTATCATGTATTATGAAAATATTATGAAAAATTGCAATTACTAAAAAAGCATTGAAATATATAGACCTAAGCCCTACAAGGCCTATGTGAAGATAACGTAATATCGTCAGGTTAACAACCGAATTGCGTATGTCACTTTTTGGCGGAGTTTGTTATACAATAGTTATTCATGTAATGCTGCGCACCTGTCAGTTAAGTCAGATTTTATCCCCAGTAGTCCGAAACGCATAAAAATGGAGATTTATGCGACTTCCACATTATTGCAATTGTACCGTCATATAAATTCTACAAGACTACGAGACTATACAATAGCAAAATAACATCAGCGGAGTATTTTTCGATTTTTTTGCATCATAGATTCTAGCTTAATGTTTATAAATTTGAATTTACACTACGGCATAGAAAAGTGGGCACTTGTGATATCCGCTTTCTGAGTCCAATTCATATTGGTTGGCTTTTAGTCAAGAATTCATTGCTTTTTTATTCTTTATATTTAATATTTATGGAAAGTGCAGAGCGCTGTATATATATTGATGAAATATATCATTCAAACATAAAAAAAAATAATGTTAATAAAACAGATAAGCTTATTTAGGGGTTTAGGCATCGTGAATAATATAAATCACATACATTTTTCGAATGTTTGGTTTTCAGGACTGATGAATGTAGTCAAGTTGGAAAATTATCCCCAAGTCATAGGTACATTTCTGCGTAAGTCACAGTGCGCCATTATGACGTCACATACCCACACCATACATATTAATTTAAAATCCGGATAAGACTAAAATAAACTAAATTGAACCATGGGAAATAATTTTTTCCCAATGGCATAACAATATCATAGGGAAGTTTTTTACTTTTTCCTCAAAATTGCTAAATATGACTTACGCAATTTAGTTATTAGCGTGACGATATGTAATTACATAATATAAATATACAAATTCAAGTGATTGATAAACTCTTTAAAACTTTGTACACATATAAAAAGAAAAAAAGGAATATATATCATATGGGAGTTTGAATAAATGGGAAGCTGTTAAAGCTTAGTCTTTCATCGAAACGTTCTGAAAAGTTCAAAAATGATGAACTTACCGGGCAATCCATTGATCCGCATGTCAACAGGTTATCAGACGTTATATTATACGAAGAAATAGTACGGCTGTGATTGAAGCCGCCCTCAACAAAGTTGTCAACGTATCGAGCAATGTTATTCCAGTCAAGTATCAGTTCAGTCATAACATTAGTGAATACCTGGTGTAATAAGAGACCAAACATAACAAACAAAAAATGAAAAATAACCTGTTTCAATTGCGTGGACCAATGGACTAAACTAAATATTCCAATTCTAAAAAAGCGGGATATATTTTTTAATTATTTTCTAATAGTAATATTAAATCAGTCCCTAAACCTAATCTTTGGAAACTTTCCTCGCGCGAAATTCTTCATCTTGCTAAGCGTTAGAAATACGCTTGCCGTTGCACCTCTAGCTCTAATCACCCTACATGCAATTCGCAGGTTCAAATCCCGCGTGGGATAATTATGTGCGAGAGGATTGCAGGACCCCCACCGTCATAGAGTGTTTCATGTAACAGCTGACCGGTTTTGTCTTTCTCCATCATCAAATCCATGCAACAAATAACTTGTCAACTTTTCCCATGTCCGAAATGGATTGGTAGCCGGGCGAGAGGTCGTGGTTTGCTTTATGATTGAGCTGCCCTATCGGCTCGGGATAAAAATGAAATTCCTATCTTATCTATTCAAATATTAAACGCAACTTTCATTTTGGCGAAATATATATATATTAGTGTACATAAGTTTTAGTAAACATTCGCAACTCTAGACAGAAATATTTTGCTGAACCTACTTGTCCCAGCGACAATATTGCTAGAAACATCCCAAAGTACTTTTGCGAAGACGAATCAGCGTTTTGATCTCTTTCAGCACTGGATGCAATGCTCTGGATAATCACGGAAGCTCCAACCCAAGTACAGGGCACTGCCATACCAGCAATGATTGCTGCAGGGTACATTACGTACCAAACTGGATAAAACGAATTTAATATATATCAATCATTTCTATGGAATAGTAATTCACGAGCGGCCGAGTAGACCGACAAAAATGTGTAGTATTTATAAGCAGATGCAGCAAAGTTGGTTCGAGTCTCGTACTGATATTTACCCAGTGATAGTCAGTGTACGTACGCGGAAGGTGAAGTTAAAATTAATGCAATTTTCAAATCGATCGAGAATTACCGACATTATTTTCAACTTTACTGGACGTGGAGAATTTGACAGCTGTTTTGTCAGTCAGCAAATTTAAGTGAATTGAATTGAGCTACATTAAAGGTATATTTTATCATTATTTCCTATTGCATATGTACGGGGTAGCCCCCAAAAAGACAAACATTCCTAAATACGTCAACGAAAATAAGAAAAAATTTATTTAACGCTTGAACTCCTGTTTTAGTATGATGTACCAAAGGTTTCTGTAATATTTAGTTCTGCACAAAGTTATGTTCTCTCTCTCTCTCTCTATATATATATATTCCAAAGTACCTGGGTTATGTTTTGGGAGGTCACCCCATGTCCTGTACTTATGCAGGGCAAGGGTAAATTTTCGATTCGGTACAGACGAAAATTTCGAATCGCCGCCTCTTTTTTTTTCGCACGACAAAAGTCGAGATGCATCTCTCAAATTTTATTGAAGTCGTTTTTTACTGTTTTTTTTTTAATTCTCTCTGCGGCCTGGCCGAAGCATATTCATACTTGCAACCCTTCTACTTAAAATGCTTTTCTGTCTTTTTTTCTCAGCGTGTTGTAGATGAAACATGTTTCTTATTGTGTGTGACAACTCAGCGAACTGCCTGAATGCCAGATTCTATGTTTTCAGTAATTTAAATGTCTGGGGGAGCTATTACAATAAAAAAGTCACATACAATTACTTCGTTGTATTAATTTAAATATTTTCCAAGTATTTGAGATTCGAAAAGAATATTCGATTCGATGTCATCAGGTATTCTAAAATGCCGCATACTTGAATCAATTCCTGATGAAGATTTTAAAAGGTAGACTGCAGCAGCATTAGCGTATAACTTACCCGGATAAAGATTTGCCAGAGTGAATAAAATATTAATTATTTGTCCAAAAAGCATAGCAGATTTTTGTCCATATCGTTCAAGTACGAGAGGGACAGCAATTAGACTTCCAATGATTCTAGCTGTGGTTTTGATCATAATAGAGTGTGTGCCGATTCCTTCTTTAACGTTCGCGCTGCTTTGTAAGGTCGCCAGAGCTGAAAAATATTTACGATCATTTTCACTATGGTTAGTACCGTAATTTGTAGAAAATTTACTTGTATCGCCAAATGTGATTCACAGCTATGTTTGAAACTTTCAAACAATCAATTACAAAATAAATATCTTTATTTTTTACTCACCGTTATTTACTCCAATGGATATAGCGAAGCCGATTGCACATGGATAAAAATTTCGTTCACTTCCATATTCTTGTTTATTGGTTTTTATTGTATTATTTTTTGTCATTTTCTATTAGTGAGAAAATCCTTTTTTAGCTGAAGCTGTCATTTATAATTTACCTCATTTAACTCGGAGAATTCACTCAAAAAAATTGCAAATTTATACCAGAAATATGAATAACACACCAAAAAAGGGAAACACAAACGTAGTATCGGAAGAATAATTTAATCGGATTACTTAATGGTGAGTTTAATTAAGATTTCCTCACCAATACACAGAACTTAATTCAACTTAATTTGGCACCGATATGTTTTAGCGTCAACAAATATATTACACAAGCAAAAATATTACAATTGTCGTTCATTTACCGCTCTTACTATAACTGGCTGTAAAAACTTTTATAGGTACTTATTAATAATTGAAAAAATCACCGTTCACGACCGCAAGCATACAATAACAATTTTTCATCTGTCAATAAGTATGTCTGTATGTTGGTTGACCGTTTCATGTTACGGAAAAGGAAATCGTTAGAATATAAATCAACAACTTAATAATTATCAAACGGTTTACTTTTATTGTAAAATAATTTTTCCGGTTCATTTTAAACGTTTAGTTTCTTGAGATATTAACTATAGGAACCCAATTTATTACAAATAAACATAACAGATTTAAATCGAACGTATAGTGAGGTTAAATTCTATTTCTTTGGCGGCTGGCCCAGTTAGATAAGCCGTAACATTTCTTTTATATTGACGAGTCTATATTTTCATTACATTGTTCATTTTCATTGTGGGCCAGCCTTGTGACGGAAGATTCATGAAAGAAACTCCCGACACCACATGTGGATAATTGCCAAAGCAATCAAGCGACAGAAAACAATTGCAGAATTGACAACACCAAGTAAAGCAATTAAAAAAGCGTAAATCGATTACATCAAAAATAAATACCACGAAGAAACAAATATAAAGACGGAAACGTCCAACAAGGCTCTATATTATAGTGTAATCACCATTAGACGCTCCAACAAAAATGGAGTGGATCCAAATATATACAGTATATATAGGGAAAACTTATCCAACGTTAGAACCGGGGACATGGACGTGCCATAAACTGACTATTGTGCATATCGTCGTTGTGCCGTATCTTTTGCCTTGTGTATTGTACTGGGGTTTTATTTGTTCAGTCATCTAGTTCTAGTATATTGTCCTAATATGACACAGCAGTTCTAAACTGCTGTTATACTCGTTAGGGGTACATGTCGCACATCTGTGTTTTATGCCAGTAAGGTCTTGAACATGTATCCCGTCTCCTTGACACTGTTTAACTATTATGCTGATACTGTTACATTTTGAGGCAAATAAGCATACATACCTACATACAATGTTAATAAAAACCAACGGACATATGTAACTTACCAGAAGTTGAATGGGTCTACTATTTTTGGAGGCGGCTCTAAGACGGCAACAAGTCTGAAATTTAACCTACTAAATTTCCAATAACATAGCGAGGAGTAGATGCCAGGTGGTGACGTTTGTCTTTAAACTTGACTGATAATTAAATGTTCGTGCTACAATAAATTTTACATAAATGTAATGAATAATAATTCTAGGGACCTCCTGAAGTTAATTAATCTGCTGAATACATCAGTGCTGCGGCCTGCGGCTAGCAATTAACTGTGTAATAAAAACAAACCATACCCATTCAATAATTATGTTTTTCCTTGTTTTATATAGCTAGTATCAGTCCCTCCTGTGAGAAAGCACTGTATTTTAACGGATTTCTATTTGACTGCCATTTCATCATTTTCGTCAACGTTTCTCACACTCAATTATTCTTCAATAAACACCCTTCAAGCAACAGATTTGGAGTGTGGATTGCAAACTATCGAATAGAACCGCGTCAACGAAAATAAAGTGCTTATGCAAACATCTCCTTTAATCAGGCAGAACGCGAACATCACCATTGTATAATTGGTGCTGTAGCCGGTATAATACCGCAGCTTGGAACACGAATTGATGGTTAGTTAGCAATAGAACTCGAGGTGGCGATGAAGCGCATAAAAACACCACTTTTATTCGCACTGTTTACGTTGTCCCTCACAGGCTGAAGTCGACGACGAGAAATGACGCGTCATTGCGAGAACAAGAAACAAAAAACAGGCCGTCCGCGCAAGCGTTCATCGATTTATAGACCGTACTCAAATTAGAGGATAGCCTATTTAAAATTGTAAATCAGACTTTCCACCATGACTGCGTCATACAAATAACCACATTCGCCATGAGTCAAATATTGCTTGCCTATGCGATGAATGTTTCCGCGTTTGATATGACTGAGGTCCGATTGTGTCAGCTTCCTTCTAGGCTTTTTCAGATAACACCTCATGCAGACTAAATATTTTTGAGAATATCCTGAAGCGTAACACCCTATTTAAATATTATATTTTCATTTTCCTCATAACGTCCAGTCGTTTTTTATTATAATTGTCATTATGTGTGTTATTTTTGGTGAACGAGCAAATGCATTACACATTATAAACTTTATTCTTGAATTTTGCTCGTTTTCCAGGCATTTCTGTAATATGATTTTTGTATGAGTGTTGTGTTTTCAGAATGCCAAAATAAATTGTATTGTAGCGTTGAAGTGTCAGATAAGACTTTCACAAATTATAAAACAGGGCTGGTGAATACAGAAAAAAGTACCTTCGAATAACATTTGTATTACTGCATTGCAAACCATCTCCTATACCCACTGTCAGAATAAAAATAAATCAACTTACAATATCAATGTATTGGTCACCTCTGGACTATGACATTTTAAAGATATTCATATTAGAAATCTTTGTAAGCAAAATAGTCACAAAACATAACTGTACAGCAGATGACAAAAAATATCTCACAATATAAAATTCGAATTTTTCAAAGTAAAATATATCTTTAGGTCTTCATCAAAATTTTTAGGTCTAATATAACAAGGTCCCTTCCTTCTATTCATAGCCCTAATAAAAATTTCCACGGGAAGATTACAATCACAAAATTAATAGCAATGTAAAAAAAGTAGCAGGCAACACCAGGTGCTAAAAGCTACATAAATATAACTGGAACCAGAAAACATATCCCTAGCAGAAGCTTTCTAACAGGACTGCTGGGTGCGCAGTGGGTGGTATCTGCTTTTCTTTCTCGATTTTATCCCACATCTGCTCAAAAAGTAAAAAAGAGAGCAAGAAATTAGTCAATTAAAATATATTATAAGAAGGTGCCCGAATGAATTATTTCAGGCGAATTATAGATGAAAAAATATAAAATGCTGATTTTTTTATATTGTAAGTCCTAGTTGGCCAGTAGGTCAAACGGAACATTATTGATTGGCATTGCACCATAATCTAGAAATCTTACTCATCAAGTTTCAAAATCGTTGTAATTGGTTGTGAAATCATTCGAGGAAACTTATTTGGGCCATTTTCTAGGCTTTTATCAACTCAAACATTACTGCTATACTGAAACAAGAAAAAAGAATTTACAAGATGTAGCAATCTTGATGTACGTTAACCAAATAAAACCCTCACTTTGCCATGCGACTATAAACATCTTTAGATCGCTCTGTGATGGTGCCACATTGGGCCAATTAGAGAGTGCTGATTCAATTTCATACAATGATACCACATTTTTAACATGTAGCTAGAGTAATTAGTCACTTTAGCATAACATCAGTGGTGGGATTCAGCCGGTTCGCACCCGTTCTATAGAAATGTCTCACTGAATTTTGTGAGGTCAGTGAACCGGTTAGCATTACTGGTTACTGTCAATGTTCTGTTCGTAACAGAACCGGCTGAAAAATACAACTTTTGTGAAGGAACCGGCTGACAAAAAATTTGAATCCCACCACTGGATAACATCAAATATTAAATAAGTAGCAATCTACCCATTCCAGTTTGAACAGATACAATTTTGATACACCTATTTTCAATACTTGCATTCATCTTTTTTATTTTGTTCAATCAAATATTCATTGAGTATCGTTCAAAAGTATGAAGGGGAGTTCGTATAATTTCAATAGGAATTATGCCATGATTGGATGAGGTACAAGTATTGCTTGACGTTCTATGGTCGATTAGGTACAAGGGCTCATTTTTCTTGTAAAAACACATTATGAACAATTTCATGAAACATAAACACACACAAGTTAAAAAAGCTAGACATATGTACAGATGCACTAAATAAATTCTTTGGGTAAAAAGAATAAACGTCGTTGAATTGAACGATAAAATTCAACAAGATACTGATATGCAATTAAAAAGAGATTTAGTTAAGAAATAGGCGCAGACATTCATTTCCAAGTGGGTTTCCAGTCTTTAACTGTATGTCTCATAAATTTAAATTAAATTTTCCAAAAATTGGACAATCCATAGAAAATTATTCCATTTTCAATTTTTATTATTATCTTGGTTATTTTCAAACGTCAACAAGTCCAAGGATCAATATTTTGGCACATGACAATAAAACAAGTCATTTATTTATATTTGTTTAACGTTCCTTATAAAAATTGTCGGTACTCCCATAGTGTGTGCACCGGGTTAGGGTTAGGCCATATTTTATTCTGATTTTCCTTATTTTAGTTCTATTAAGAGTTCGGGGACAGGCGAATATACCCCCAGCCCATAGGTTTCAGTCCCTTTACACAACTTGATGTAAAGTAGGCGAACAAAGTTAGTTACCTTCATATTGGTAAACATACTTCAGGAGCGCCCATTGTTGAATTAGACGATAAAACTCAACAAGACAATGATATGTTTTTAGTTAGGAAATAGGATTAAACATTAATTTTCAAGTGGGTTTCCAGTCTTTAACTGGATGTCTCGTGAATTTAGATCGAATTGAATTTAAAAAATCTTTTTTCCAAAATTAGACAATAGAAAATTTTCAAAACATTTTTCATCTTGATATTGTCAACAAGTCCAGGAATCAATATTACGCCACATGACACCAAAACATGTCATATATATTATGTTCAGTGTTCATTATAAAAATTGTCAAAGTGTTTGATGCCAATGTTGGCCACTTTGTACTAATTTGTCAGCCGGTTCAGTCAGACGTCTATTTTCACCAAGAAATTGGGCCTCGACACGGTTGCGATCACACAAGCAACCTATTGGCTTCGATAGGAATTCAGATCATAGTAGACATAGACACAAACAAGCAGCACACAATAGAAATGTGAGAATATTTTACAAGCCGTTGTAGTATACATCTGTTTCCCAATGTCATAAAGTATAACAAAGATGGGAGATCGAATTGATCCACTGCTATATGCCCAATGTTGATGCGATTGTCATCCAATCCATGGTGGAAAGATTTTTGTTGATTGGTGCGTTCACTTCACAATCGTGCACTGACAGAACAGGCAGTAAAGAGCTTGTGTTAATCTTAGACGTGGGTCCAAGGGGTCGAGAGCAATCCCTGTCACTGCACGACTCCCTCTGATCCGTACTTCGATCCAAATAAGCATTATCTGAAAATTTATAATAACATTATTAGTTAAGTTCCAAACTTATCACAATACAGAATAAAAAAAACAATATAAAAAATTTTTGTCAAAAAATTCAACTGACCGCAACTGTTGCCAGGTTGCAGTAATAAAGACATCAAAGATGATTTGTCTCTTTGAGTGTGTCCACTGAGAAGTAGTTTTGTAGCATCAGGAACATTTCGTTGAGCTGTAGAATGATAAAAATTTAACAAAAATTAAACGAGGCAATAGAGGCTTTATGTCTGAAAAATGAAGTGTAAGATAGGTGATATAATGATCAAATAAGGAAAGAATCTAATATGCAAAAATACTTGTAACCTTTCTATGATTTTACCTTGGATAGAACTAGCCTCAATACCTATAATAAAATTATTATTTTTAAAATGCTACACACCAGCGTTTATCAAATTAAAAATGAAATTCCACAAGTCATACCTTTATAGGGTGCAGGCAGGTCCTGTGGCATTGGGTCATAAGACTCAAAACATTGCGAAATTTTTTGCCTTTTTGCAAGGGGACTAAATTCGGGTGGGTTTGCTTTGTACACGCTCCCATCGATGTCTACTCGTCGCTTCTGTGGCTGGAAGTTCATATGCTGTTGATATTGTGATCTCGGAATAGTCAGTAATTGAAATCTCATGTCTGGTAACTTCCGTTTTGGATCCTCAGGAGGTGATGGTGTGAGAGAATGAGAAGTCACTGCTGTATGCTGAGGGGACTAATAAGAATGAATACAGATGAAACTAGGATAAATATGGTACCAGACAAAACAAATTTATACGAGTGCTTTTCCCCAGAACCTCATTAGAGTTATTTGAAATTCACAACGTCATAGCTTTTTTCCTGATCGTAATACCAGGAACTAGTTTAGGTATCAGGTGAATCAGTATTTATTAGTCTCAGTAGCTCTTCCCCTTCCCCTCAGTGGCTCAATCCCCTTAATGATTCTGAATGAGCACACATGACGTTGATATGACCAATATTTCTTAAAAACCAACACCAGAGTATTGTTTACTGATATTTGTTTATTACTTTCATTCATATAAAAAAATTGCTGAAGTAAATATGTTAAGCAATAAATCTATTAACCAATTAACAATACAGCCTATAAGTTTGATAACCCGAATGAGCAATAAAAACGTACAACAGGAATACTGAAACTGACAGCCATGATATAAGGCGTTTTGGTAATATTATAACTGTTGGATAAAAAATGAAAGCAATTCTGTATAACTTACCATTTGAGGACCCCTGAATCCACGATTAGGATAGTTGTCCTTCAAACCGTTGATATTGTCAATATTTACATTCACTTCTGGGAAGAGAGTGCCAAAATCTGCCAAAAAATGATATAGGGATATATTCAATTGACTGGTTCTTAAATTCAGAAATTAGTATTGGGCTTCAGCCTGGGTGAAATATCATGCTAACAAAAAACCAGATACAGTCTAGATCAGTGCTTCTCAAACGGTGGGGAATTAAATTAAAAATATTTAATAGATTTGATCATGCCGCCTTCATTTTGGATATTTACATTACAAAACTTTCCAATTGCTTCATTATTTACATTCCATCAACATATTATTTTCAATGTTTTTTGAATAAAATATACATTTGCCTTACTTTAGCTTATTATTAGTTAGTTATTGAGAATGGGGCGCGAGACTCGACAAACTCTTAAAAGAGGCGCGGCATAAAAAGTTTGAGAACCACTGGCGTAGATGTTCAATTCAAATAAAACAATCACAATAAGTAGGCAATATAATAATAATAATATTGCACAATTGAGGTCTGTATTATTAATAATCTAATTTACATTACTAGACTTTAGAATAAAGTGATATAATCACATATTTTCTGTTAAGTATAATATTATCATGTAATTTATTGAAGACCCTTCACTATTTTCCATGTCACATTATTTTGAAATAGTCTATGTAAATATTTGAATTGATATGTGAAGGCAAAGATTATAATGAGATCTTGGAGATATTGAGGCTGAAAGGAGTGAGTAAAACTAATGATTATTCTTTTACGTCATCTATAATGTGTACTATATCAATTTGACATTGTATGTCCTTGTGTTTTGTATTCATTTGGTTCACATATAACTAAAAGTCGATTGTTGAAATTTATGCTGGTAAATTTAGATAAAACGACTGCGGCCGCTTCCTAATTTGTTTTTCATTAAATTACTTGATATCGTAAACACTGGCTCATTCATAAAATTATTTCCGATCTATTGACATTTAATAAAATTTTGTTTCGACATATTTATTTCACATTATAGCAAGGATTTTTAGTCTAGAGGTTGGCAACGTATGGCCCGCGGGGCGGATCGGGAGAGATATATCACTGCTGATTTTTATTATAAAAAGTATCATCCATTCGGTTTTCAACTTTCTAAAAAAATGTGCAGCCCGCCAATGACTTGCAACCCTTAATTTCGGCCCACGAGTGACAAAAGGTTGTCGACCCTTGGTTTAGTCTGTATACAGAACATTGATTATCATTTTTGCATAAAAGAATTCCGTTCCGTAATGCTTCATTGCACTTTAGTTATCCAGCCAATGCAAATCGATAATCTTATACTTATCATTTTCATATTTGGTTATCTTTAAGAACATGTCAAAATATAATTCGGCCAAGCTTGAACATTGACTACTTATGAAAAATACACAGACAACTAAGAAAACAAGCCAGGCCTATTAGCATAAACTCAATGACATTGGCAATGACATTCACTGGTAAATCTGACGCGACGGTAGTACCTCGACCGCTTCCTCAATTCTGAAGTTATTAAAACTTTATCATAATTTTCCCACAGGGCCTAAGGCTACCAGTCATAAAATGATTATATAGAAAGAAGCTTTAAAACATTAAAACATGTACCGTTTTCTAGTTTTCAGAGAGATTTAATTAAATTTTGTAAGCGGTTAATTTCAGCCACACAAAAATTCCTTATTAAACATGAACTATCAAATGATCATACTCGAATAAACATAACATAACAAACAATTTTAATACATAATTTAAACATGTTAAAAATGACCAACAAATTCACTAACTTCTATTTACATATGTCCCACTCAATTATAAACTTTCGCTATATTCAACTATATTGGATTTTCAACAGATATTCTTAATTTATTTTTACAAAATGGCTACTTGTAAAGGATCATGGCGTGTGTCATAAGATATCACACATATTTATTGCGCAACACTTCTCAGACGACCAAGTAAATAAGTACGTCACTCATTCGTTGCATCACGGCTTTCATTTTTAGTCAATAGGAGGAAGTATGATAGAAAAAAGCAGATTGGTATTCATATCACGCTTATGTGAGCTATACAGGATGTAGTTAGTTAAGGTTAAATCATACATATTCAACATATAAGGACCTATTTTTACCCGTAGATATTCTGACAAGCTTCAGATTACTTTGAACTGAAATTTATCATTCATATTCAACTGAGGAATAAAAAACAATACATATCCAATAAAACCTAATATAAAATGAAAACATAATTGAATTACAAAACATACCTCCTTGGCTAGAAGGAACACTGAATTGTGGGTCTCCAATGGAAGGTGCATTGTTACATAGGCTTTCAATCGATTCTAAGAAAACGATATACTTGTAAAATGATCAGTAACAATGGGAAGTCAAAATATATATCACCATTTGATATCTTACTATGATGCAACATAAAACAATGTCAAAAACAAGTTATACCCGAGTCGAAACAGTTATCACTAAAATGTTCTTAGAAACATATAATCAATGTATTTTATATTTTTTTTCTTTCAAATATTCCTACCTACCTATCTATATATATATAAATTCACTATATTATTTCAAGATCAGTAAATTGTGTATAGTTTGAAAACAATTTCGAAAATTTCAGCAATGTTTCCATGTATTATGAATGTTAAACTCATAGGGCAGGCATAGCTCCCTATATTGAATTTGATCGATTGATAAAAACGAAATTGATTTACGTCTGACACACAGTGTATTGATAAGCTATGGTTTCAAAGACAACTAAATATAGCAGGTGTTAAATTTCTTCGAAATTAAAAATAGCTAAGGACAATTCTCCTACGATATTTTCAATATTTATTGTACATTGTTGAATAGATTCCGCCTGATATGTGACAAAAAATATAATGAAAGTAAGACAAAATCAAATTTTAAAATTGAAATTACATTCTAGTCTTCAGATAATAAAAAAATAGATAAGTTCAAATAAAATTCAAACAATGTGCGTTTGACTTATGCACAGAACCTCTCGATTTAAAAGACATAAAAATTAGCAGTGCTAATTTGTTTAATGTAAAGTCACCAATATTATAATAATCACATTAATATTATCTCACAAAAAAAATTCTCTAAAAATAATTTCGACATACCAACTCCAAATGTTTCTGAGAAATTAATATCAGAGAAGTCAATTTCATCTCCGATAGAGGGAGCATTCTGTGCCATCACCTCCAATGGAATATCCAAATGACTGTTTACATCACCTAAAAAGAGAAAAAGTTTAAATAATATTCTATCTCTGATTTTAACACATTAATTATCCATATCACAGCTCCAAATTTACATAAGCCTAAAATTTGATATTATAAAGCCTGGATCCTTTGCCAATCTATTATGTGTATAAAGAATACAAGTACACTCATCATTGTTAGAGAACATGAATATCCAATCTAATTTTATAACTCATCATTTAAAAAATAACATGGTTTCACTTGTTATTCATGATATGCAAATTCGAGGAGCAAATACTGCAAGTCATTTTGCCACAAACGTCAATGCCAATTTATCTTTTACCACAACAATCCATGTCTATACATAACTCCTATTGCACTAAGATATATAGAATTTACAGTTTATATTATACCATACCTCCTAAATTCACATCATCGTTACCATCAGGAGCGAAGCTGCAAAATATAGAGTCTGTGCTGTCGCAGAAAATTTCATCTGTACAATCTAGTGGGCCGAGCTGTAATAAAAAAATTGTATTGTAGGATATCATGATAAATTCTGATTATTATTAATCCAAAGAAATGCAATATTAAGGAAAGGGAGGAAAGGAAGCGCGTCAAACAAATGAAGGTTTTCATAACTTTTTCCCGACCGTATACTGTTATACTAATTCACTAAAAACTACTACAAACTGTAATTTCATTTTTCAGCACTCAAATTCTTCTAATGTCTCTGTGAGACAATATATTTAAAACATATAGTCATATAATGCTCCCGAATTGCAAAAATATCTCCGTTGCAAAAATGGACAAATTGGCATTAGTAAAACTATATCAATGCCATATACTGTATCCCATGTACTATATTGCTATACATCACTGAAATCTAACAATGACAGATTGACAAATTACTCAACTCAACTGCTATTTGAGCTCACGATACTAGTCAACTTCAGTATGATTTTAATAAGACAGGATTTGATAAATCTCTAACTGCTTCCAAGCCATTGAAACTAGTAGTCATTTCTAACTTTCTACTGCAGAACTTGTCATAAAATTGGATTTTAAACAAATTTCAATCTAAGCAGCACAATCCCTTCTAGAGAAACTTGAATCAAAAACTTGGTTGTTTGCACTGTATGGTCCTTATTCCACTCCGACCCGAACATAAGCACTTGAAAAATAAATGTTAGCTAATTGTTTATTAACATATTTTCTAATCACAATTCAAAATGACATTTGTTGGGTAAAAGCCAAGACAAAATATGAACATTCATCAATGTCATATGACATACAGAGGAGTAGTAAAATAACATAATTTCCACTTCAGAATCCGCTATTAATTAATGAACCGTTTATGCTGAATTATATGGAAAGAAGTACTTATTATTGTTAAACTGATTTTACAACTGGGTGCTTAAGCCTTCATCTTACTTCTTTATAATATTATACAGCACCCAATCTTTCTCACATTCTGACATTGTACTTCCATTATATTTCCTTACACTCTGCTGACTCTGGTTGTCAATGGCAAGCTGGATTTTTATATTTTGTCTTGGATATGAAAGCAAGCTTTCTAAATAATATGCTGTTGATTCACACATAACATCCTCCATCCTTTTCTGCTGGAAAAGTGTAGAATATATACAGAAAAATGATTATTGTGGCGAATTATTTAAAAATAATGTGCATTGGAGTAAATTCCGCATGATGGAAGTCCATCGAACATCTCATCAATCTCCTGCATTAACTAAAATAAATAAGTTATAGTTGAGCATTGCTTCGTACAAACTTCATTCCTTCCGCGGGTTAGAAATAGCATGTTGCAAATTTGTACAACAACGAAACTCAAATTGCTAGATCTGTCTCAGTTCTTGTCTGATGAATCTTACTCTGATCTAGCGTAGATCTTTTCCATGAATTAGGAAACTTTTAAAAACACTCATAAGCTGCTTGCAGATCTCAAACTGGTGTCACAAACTTGAGGCCAATAGTAAACTACAAGTATTGTGATCTGACCTTAGAAAATTATATTCACCAGAAATAAGATTCATCTTCCAGCATCCAAAAACATTTTATTTCATTGCAAACAGCCAAGCTAAAAGTATACAGACAAGTACCTTTATACACCCAAAACAATTCAAATAGTTTTACCTGATCATCAGATAAGTCTTCTGCTTCTTGTTTGACAAGTTTAGGAACTTTAGATTCAAAGAAGCCGAGCTGAGAAAGTGACATGATCGATCCACTGTTTATGATGTCACTAAAACGAAGAAGATATAAATAGTTGTTTAATTCCTATTTTTACAAAATAAGGAAATGAAAGCAGATAGTCAGATATTGTATTAGCATTATCATACTAAAATTGGGTACTCCCGTAATATGTGAACCAAGATGACGGACACCGGAACGTAGTATGTGTACCAAGTTAGGGTTAGGTCATAATTTTATTCCAATTTTCCTCATTTTAGTTCTAATACTGCACTTGTGTGTTTTAGACGAGTATGGTTTTGCTCATTCATTCCTTCCCATTACAAGACGAATAAACATACATAATATCTATACACGAGGTTATAACACTATTTATTTACGTATGTTCGGTCCATCTCGAACTCAAAAACAAGAATCTTCTGGGCAAAGGACACATACATATTATGCCTAAGAAAACATGTGCAATAAATTGTCCAAATAAAACACTACAGAGCCTCTGTGCAGAAAATTTAATTTCAAAAAGCAAAATTAAATTTGTATTTAAATATGTTTGGAAAGGGGGCCATACAAGCAGTTTAACAGTAAAAAAAACTATTTTATAAGCAAATGTTACATTCATCTAATGTTTTCATATTAGTTCAAATTCACTTCAAAATAAAGAAAATGATTGGGAGTAATTCACGACAGAGAATTCTGAAATAGCTAACCAATCTGAAATCCAAAGAAGAAACCTCAACATATGATAAGTTTCTGATATAATCTGTTGATTGTAATGTATTTTGAATGTAAACAAATGCATCAATAACAAATGGTGCGCAATTTTAACCAGGTATATGCTATCCAACCATTATTTCCTCATGAAAAGTATTTTATAGAACGTTTTCCAATGTTGATTCCATCAAGCTTTCACTATATTCTGTTGATAGTTGTTTATTTTAGTTACGGCCTTAGGGGTATTTGGTTGTTATTAGTAAGGTTTAAGAAATATCATACCTCCATATATGGAATATGTGGACAAACATGTTTATTACAAATTCCAACATGATTTTAAAATAGGTGTATTAGAAAATGGTCATTTATTATGCATGGTCATGTGTTACTGAGGACATTTAAAGGTTAGTTTTATAATATTGAAAAATTACCCTGCGTTTTTGTATACTTGAGAACATTGCCATAAGCAAAGTGATACTGTTATTTGAAGGCTGTTATGCTGCAATGGCTCAAGCCACAAAAATTATTGCGCAATGAAGTAAATTCTTTTAATGAAATCATACATGATCCCGCATAAAGAATATGGACATAAACATGCTAACTGTGAAGGAGACGATTAAATCGCGGTTTGCAGACGCAATGAAATAAAGAGAGAGAGTGAGAAAAAGTGATTCCTGCGTCACACTGGAACGAATACAAGAGAGAGAAAATTCTCTCCTATTGAACGGATAAGTTGTTTACGACGAAAGCTCGCGAAGGTGGATAAAATTAAAAACACCGCGTTCTAGAAAGAAAGCGAAGGGAATGGAATTTTCCGCGCGGACGACGAGACCATGTGTTGTCTGCTTTTGCAAATTGTAGTTGACTGTTGAAGCGCTTTACATACGCTATATATTTAGTTTATTTTAAACATGTTTCAAAAGGGGTGAAACGGGTACTACAAGTCCGCCAAGCGAATATACGACAAAAACAGATACGTTACATCGGGCTATGTTCGTGATATGTCCGAGCCAAAAACACTAACCAATCATAAAAGAGGGGCGTATTTTGCAAGTTGGCATTTCCGCCCTGTTGTTGGTGCGGCATTATGCCATATAATATTCAATGACCATAAGATAAGCTTTAAAACAGAAATTATTTGGTGTGTGGTAAAAATATTTTCTGGAACATTTAACAAAACACAAATTACTATTTAGTCCGTGCATAACTCATTTCATATTCAATATATTCTACAGATTAGTATCCATAATTAGTATTCATAATTATGACCATCTAAATAGCATTTTCAAATCCTAATTGCATGTAACTGTCATCAAACAATTTATACTACTCAAATCTACTAAAAGGGGTATTTATTTTATTTGTATTGCTAATTTTTTTATTTCCACTACACTTTATTATATCATCCCAATCAAAATAGACTTTGATGTTATTATTAATCTTCAGTAATACAAAATAATTGAATATAACTATCGACGCATGTTGCTTATAACCACACTTACATAATAGAGGCGGGGAATTAGGGTAAAAAGTATTTGATATATTTTAATTTCAATATGCAAGTACTGTTGATGAAAGTATATTGCTGATTCATCAAAAATATACCATACTCTTTAGTCTACATAATCGGTAAAACAGGGAATTTTTTTTGATGCTTAACAGAAAGTAAGTTGTGCTAAATCGTTCACAACTTAGCCTTGAGGGCAAGTTTTAAATATTAGGTTATAATGACGATTAGAAAATGCGTTACATTTTATGAACATATAAAATTAGCTTTCTATCCATCTAAGACGAAACTGACTAATTCAATAAAATTAAAAAAGTAGAAATAAAGTATGTGTTGTAACTCATTACACATCAATGCATAGTTTCATAATTGACGATCGGTTTCTATACGCAATGTGCCAGAACTTATATTAATTACTTTCAAGAAATTTTATTAACTAATCACAGTCATAAGACCTAGTAGAGGTAATATAGGAAAATCCTGAAGCAAAAAGTCTTATTATTTCGCAATCTTCATGGAAATACCCATTTTACTCACTCAACCGAAATACGTTTGTCAGTATCTTCATACCAAAGTTCATCAGATTTACGGATTATATTTTAAAAATGACTTTCAATACTCAGTCACAATAGCCAGATAATAGGAATTACCCAGATAAGTATGACAAAGACGTTAAAAAAAAACTAAAACTAATAAAAACGAGATTTACAAGACAAAATGTTGCGGTGAGACTGTCACTATAATTAAATACAAAGATTACTCTATTTTAATCTCCAACAATGGGATCAAAAGCCTGAATTATGACTTATATGATATTCCGATATACAAAGTGATCTTTATGTCAAAAAAAATTTCAAATTGCAATTGGAATTTATCAATACAATATAAAATTTAATGGCTACTACATGTGTATTATATAAAGTGAAAAAAACTTTAAACATTTATTAAAACAAAAAAGTTCAGGATATATTGAGAACTAACTTCATACCAAAATCCGAATTGTAGTGGGGCTTTATGTACACTCGGTATAATGTCTGTCCAGGATATATTTTAGAATGGAAATAAGAATGACTAAAAAAGTTTACTCAAGTTTCTGTTTCCCCGCACAACACAATTTATTCACATGATATGCTCACCTGATGACATAATGCACACATACGACGTATGATGGTTGTTGATTCCTCGGATTATTGATGATTGTAGCTTGTGAAATTACCCAGACATAACCACCATACTTCGCTAACATCCGATAGTGATTTGTGGTAACTTGGCCGAGACGAAATACTGGAAAGAGCAAATGAAAATACCGATTAGGCAATAAAGATAAATCATACTAATAAGTGAAACAACTCGAAAACCTCTGGAATACATTTACTCGATGATGAAAACAACACTTACATTTACTGTACATTTAGCATAATTTGGAAACACGAATTCCTCATTGTATATTTATCATAAGACATAGGAAATGTCTGCATTATAAACAAATGAAAATTTTGTTAAATAACTCAATGTCCCAAATGCGTAAAATTAATTCAAATATTACAAAGAATGATTATCAGTTTATCACTATGAATGTTATGTATGCTACATAGATGGAAGAAGTTATAAACCTAAATCAATTACCAGATCAACTGAAACTGATGAAAATATGGGCAATTGAACTTTCCTACCAAATTTGATTGATTAGTTAATTTATTTTGTATGGTAGTTCAGGTAATTCACCCACTGTTTGATTTTCTAGACATGACAACACACAAGGTTATAATGGCGGGTTATGCCGGGTCATATTCCATTAAGCTAAAACACAAAAGCCCATTAAAAACCAATTTCCGCAAAATCCATAAGGCGGGTAATGACTCAACAGCAAAAAAAATCCTGCAAAGGTCTTGCAAAAAATGACATGGCAAATAAATTGTTTTTTGAAAATTGTCAAACATGTTGAAATATCAGTTTGAATGATAAATTATGATATTGCGGAATTTGAAACAATTATCTCAAATTCAAACAGCAAAATCCAAATTTATGCTAATTTAATGTGAAGCTAACGATTTAAATCATAATATGTACCGTAGATAAAATTTTAAGTGCATCAAGGCATCATAGTAAAAATGGTAAATTAACCAAGAATAGGAAAAACAATCATTTCAAATTTTGGTTGAACTAAATTTTCTGAAAATCTCAAATCAGAATTCAAGGACTATTCAAGCATCCAACAAAGTCTGACATTACTTACATTTTTTCATCAATGTTTCGATTGTTTTCAAATCTTCTGTGTTGCAGAAATCATAGAATGACTTTCCAATCATGTCTTCTTCCGAATATCCTAACAGATCATTGACCCTTGAAAAAAAAATGAATAGAATAGTAAAATTTCATCAAATAAAGATACTCAGTTACGAAAGCACACTTCGGTTGGATTTCAGTAATTGATTATATCTTATTACGATTCAAAATTTCAGATAGCGTACATAAACCTACTTCAGGCACACATTACGTAAACTATCTAAAAGCAATATATAGCAATGTATTTGTGTTATTGAAAATCAACAATAGCACCCTGCATAACTTGTATAGGTGTGATTGCAAAATAAAATGACAGAATAATAATAAAGTCTTTTATAAAGAAGATTTGTTTCAGAAACTTGTATATGCTCATTATCATAAGAATTATCACAATGATGCACATATTGTTCGTGGTATATTTATCTGATGTAGATTAGATAATAAATGGGTTTGCCCCATGCACTTTTCGTTACGCTAAAAACCAAAGTTTTGGGCTATTGTTTTTTACTCATTCCCAATGAAATTAAATATTACAAATGGTTTAAAAACAAGGTTGATGAAACTAAAATCCAATACATTCTAAATCCTTTCAAAGTTAAATATTAATAAAATTGACTAATCCAAACGGGAATCAAAGATAAATACCTTTCACACACTGTGAATTTCATGTCAAGACTGTGGCGACTTAAAAAAGTACTATGATCCAAAACCATTTCAATATTGGTTGGATGTGGTATAGGTTCACAATAGGCAACCATGTACGTGTCATTTGGTTCTGTCAAGAAAGTAACAATATAAAACTTTAGTATATTACAGTTTTATCAGAAGTAGTCCTTAGAATATTATATTGGAATACTCATAATCAGTAAACAGAATAATTTTTTAAGATAATCTAAACATAATTATCATCGGCATAATTTGGGGGTTCCAGGAGTTACGTTGTGTAAATAATGTCTTGAATTGAAATTATTAATAAATCTCATAATATCAAAAAAGTAATAAACAATCTCACCAGTGGAATGGTGAACTACTCCATCGCACTTTAGAACCTGAAAAATTAATTAATATATCTTATCATATTCGTTATACCAATACCAATTCAAATATACATAAAGAGCTGTTGTTTAACAATCGTCAATTTCTGATAAACATTAATTCTCTTAAATAAAAAAATACTATTCGTTGTTTTGTTATAATATCTTTCACATAATAAACATTAGGAATTAAAAAGCACATATTTCTGGGTTGGACACGTCTTCAGAAATGTCAGATTTTAATCTTACCATTTGCTGTTGAAATACCATACGATTGTAACAAACAACTCTCAGATCTCATTTTAAAGCGAGTTTCTCATTACAGCATTAAATTACCTGACATTTAAATGATAATGCTTTATTGTTCAAGACATTGCTTGTATGATTTTCAGATAAAGATATTTATACGCAAATAATTTAATATTCTAAGAAATACACTAATAACGCTTAGGTGCATCTGGGAACAACATGTTTTGTTATTAACTTTACCTATAATTATAAAATATAGAAAATGTACCTTGTATGTAGCGGACTTGAGATTTACATTTTTGCCAGAAGATGTCAAGGTGCTCTTCATTCTCATAAAAAATGAGCAATTTTCTGTTTCTTCTGAAAAAGTGATGTAAATTTGATATTTTTCATAAAAGTATGTATGCCATACAGGTTGAATATTTAAATACTTATTTTGTATGCTTATCATGTTACATTGATAGTATGACTAGTATGATCAGGCAATACAAGAGAAACTGAAAATTCCAATTTTTTTTGTCAGGATGCGAGTCTTGTTTACAAGAAAGGTTGAATTGAAATAACTTAGGTACAGGTACAGAACAGTATTCTAAAGTAAAGTCTTATCTTTACTTTTCAATGGCGTCTAGAAAATCTTTTGATAACCTGTTTATTCATCCATCAAATAAAAATAAATACCGCCCATAGTGCTGATCATTATCATTTTTTTAATATTGTCAAAATTATTACACAGCGGTATTTTTCCAAAACCAGTACCAGTCGAGTGAATTAAAAAACCTCGAGAAACCATAATCACAGTATTTCCGCAACAATGATAAGCACGGATAAGGTCTGATAAACACCTGAGGCATAAAATGAGCTCTTGCATAGTTTATGACGTTCCAAAACCAATTCAATTTTATCAAGGATGTAATGTAAAGTTCAGTGATTGTTATCAATTATTTTGTCAAATATACATTGCTCTATACTAGACTGTATGCAAGTTTATACACACATCCAAAGTGCCACAACATGTGAAAAAACACAATTTAACTATTTTATATTCATTTAGTTCTTAGTCGTATAATGAAAAAGGTCATTTTAAGATCATTTCCTATACTTACTTCCTCGCATACAGTTTTCAAGTGACAGTAACAATGAAAATGGTACGTTTCTGTGAAATGTCAGAACTGTCTGTTCATTATACTAATTCATAACTAGACAAGCATTGTATATAGCAAAACGCAACATACCTGAGCTAGCTTTCAGGCAGTTTGTAATCTCGCCATGGTCACCTTCATGAGTGTAACCAAACAAATTTTGGCCAATGAGATCAAGCTATAAAAATAGAAGAGTATTTTAAAAATGATAAAGATAGAGAGAGCGAAAAATTATTCTTAATAACATAATTATTGAGTTCCTGGCGGATAGAAGTTTCAGTTCTATCTCTTAGAAATTTACAAATCTCGGTAATTTGGAAACCTCCGAAAAACAGCGTTGAATATTTTTGTCACCTTACAATAGGCTATTGATTTAAAAAAATATCAATCGTGGCCAGATGTTTATGATCTTATACCACATGGTATGTAAATTGAGTAAATAAAGATGAAAAAACAAGTTATTCGATATCGGTCTAATATTAGAAGCAATACAAATCCTGTTTATGATTCAAAAACAAAGCGGAGGGTGCGCTTACTACTCATTGTATCTTGTGTGGTTAGGGGTTTTACAACCTTTTTTGAATTTTTGTAAATCAGAAAACAAAGAGTTTCCGCATCAACAAATTTTGAGTCATTGAACTCACACATGGTCAAATACACTACTTTACTCATAATGCAATAACACATTCTTAAATTGATATTCAATTTCAACGAAATAACAAAATAGCAGGATATTACCCAACATGTTCTAAAAAAATTATCCAGATTTTAAAAAGTAACAGCAATACTGCCAAAATGGTTGGTTGGTTGATGACTTGGTTCATACTTGGTCGAGGATGTTATTTTTTGAATCATTAAATTATATAATAACTTAAAAGAGATGTCAATTTTATGACATTTTTCAAAGTATTGACGACTGACGTAACAGTCTATGAATGTTGTAATCGAAGCTGACATTGCCAGGTCAATTTTCTCTACGAGTTCATTTTTGTTTTAAAATGGAGACTTTGTAAGAGATGATTGCAGACGAATAAGATAAAAATGTTCAGTCTCCAATGATTTATTGTGTAAAGTCTAATAACCGAAAGAAATACACCTATTACAGAACAATAATACCCATAAAAATATATTTTCATTTGAAGTCTAAAACCTATAAAATCTGAAATGGATATTGAAAAATCGCTCTGGTTTTGGGTCTGGTTTTTGAATCCCATTAGTAAGCCAATCCTATTTTTATCAGACACAAAATAATTGAAAAAAAAATAATAGAACATAAAATACAAATCGAGTCATTGAATAAAATTATCCAATCACAACAACGACTGCAAATAGGCAGGCACAAAATAGTAATCTGAATTACATGCATGGGCCATTGATGGAACATGTCTGAATCATGTTTAGCCATAAGCAATAACTTCAATTGTGGGTTGAGATCACATATTTCATTATACACACCCATAGACAAGAGTTTGTATAAATGTTTGCAATGAATTGATCCCCATTAAGCATTAACCCAAGTACTTCTAGATACTGTGTAATGAGTTTGCCACACCTCTCATTAGTCAGTTCAGAAAAGGGGTTTGTTTCTGCTCTGTTTTAATACATTACTAATAAAAATTCTGAAAGGATTTCCTATCCTAAAATATTTACATAAATAGTATATAACTTACACTTGTGATTCCAATATATTGTTTTGCGTTCGTAGAAACGTAGAGTAAATCACAGTCATGGGATAAAACGATGATAAATCCATTCAAAGCATTGATGTATTCGTCATCATTTGGTATAACATCCAAATCCTCTTGCTTTACTTCTATAACGGTAAATTTAAAATCAATACAAAAAGTCGTTCAATTACAAAATATTCAAATCTGCCTGAAAATTACGATTCATCATTAAATTAATTATTATTTTTATTCATATTATTAGGGCTTAGTTGGGATGAGGTCTAAACACACCACCACTGATTTCACACCAGTAGTATGACCTGAATGCTTATGAGTTATGAGTGGATTTTTTCATGTGAATTATACTCGATAGCGACTCGATATTCCAACTCGATTTTAAGTGGAATAAAAATGTCCTTTTATTTTCTAATTTAAAAGCAAATGAACCTGGACAATAGACAGAAACGTGTTTCTTTGATAGGCCTACCCAATTTATTATAGAAATGACCCAATTTTAATAAAGATATTTTAAATTTTTTTGAATATCTAGAATTTTTCCATCAAATCTGCTTACATTTGAATGTGAAAGAAGATATATTATTTAGGTTATCATCGATGCTGATATGTACAAATGTTAAGTGAATAAAAGTGACTTTGAGGTATAACTCCCCATGTAAATGAAATAGCATCATATCATGCTAGAAATTATTTCAGAGAAGTATGGTGTGAGAAGAAAAACTTCTATATAAGAATACTCACCAGGTTGTTTAACCAAATCTGCAGAATTTATAATGTTTCTCAGTTTCATAAAACTGATCAGAAGGCGCATGACTGTGGATCTGTAGACATGATCAAAAAAATTAAAAAGCAATAATATACCATTATTATCTCTTCAAAGTAGACTATATGAATGCCAATTAAACCTTTAAAATCAACGTTTAATTCGCATCTGCTAAAGCCAAGCAGTCGATGGCCACAATAGCATCAGCAGAAACTTCGCAAGTCCCTATTTTAAAGATAATGTGATCCAAAGAGAAGAATACAAAAATAATACATCATTTCCTAATAAATCAATGTGCTATCTGAATAGAGCCTATAACCATAATATTGAGTTGGTTTATTTGAGAAGCAATTTTATATTCGATATTGCAATTAATTACAATAAAAATCTATCAATATGAATAATACACAAACCTGTCCATCTGAGCCAATTGTTTGTTTGGAATCGGGATGACTTTGCATATCTCATTGTATGTATCAGATTCTAGCTGTCGACGAGTTCTAGCTGCATCACGGCTTTTTTCTCGTCTTCTTGCACTGTATACAATGTAAATTAGATGTCAAATAAAAACTTGGTTTTTGTGTGAGTATAAAACCTTAACTCCAGCTTCAAGTACGTCAAGCTTCGTAAAGACAGTTTTCGGTCATTAAACGTTATATGAACACGAAATAGTATTTAAAATATCAGACTTAGCTTCTTTTAAAAAGTCAAGCGCATGGCTTATTGTCCTAAATTACTATGTAGAAAAATCAACATACCCCCTGTCGATAGCTTTGTCTTTCTGTATGATGTGTATTTCCGTGGGAGGCAACATGGTATTCCCTGGTATTTTCATATAATGAATTCAGATAACAGAAGATAGCTTTCGCTTAAATTTAACAACTATTAACGCTTTTCACTTAGTTTTATCTGAAGGGTAAAATACAATGTATACTTCAATATGAATTTAACAACACAACTAATTTTTTTATTTAACCCAAGGAAATTTTACATATGAAATGTTAGGTTTCGATTCAAGTACATAAATTTGTGCATTCACCAGGGCATTACATCTTTCAAGCTCTTAGCGATCAATTTGAATCACTGACATATTTTATCGCTTTCAAATGTTCCACAATTTCGTAACAATATTAAGAAATGAGCAACAGTATATTGATAACACACGAAGGATAACCTGTGAACATTATATATATATTAAGAAGTAGATGTTTGGGATTCAAATGCTTCAATTGATTCAGATGCATTGAGCACTGGCGCTAGTAATCTTGGTGTTCAATTAGAAAACTAATAGGATTTGGCTGTGTTGGTGGAGAAAATAAGTGTTTAGTCTACTCACGTATGAAACTGATACATTGAGTTATGTGCGCAGGATTTTGCATAGCTCAAAGTTCATAATAAATCCAAGCAAAAATAATTTCAAGATCGGTATTCTAACCTATTTTTCAAAACATTCTGGACCATATTGAGAAGCTGAATATATTGGCAATATCGGTCTAAATTTAGCCGATACCGATAAATTGGCCGATACATCTCTAGTTAACACCACGCATGAAACAATTGTGACTAACAACTTAAACTGTACAAGCACATGTTATTTCAACGATTCCTGGTGGGATGTTCAATTTGAATCAAGTCGTCAATATGGACCCAGATCATATTGCAGTATTGCATCGCTGTGAGCACATAATAAAGCAGACTGAATCAGTTTTTTGAAATAGAGATTGTGAAATTTCCTCATAAATGCAATTTATAATTTCCAACATGACAAATATGATAATACCTTCATTCAATACTGCAATATGACATGACATGGTCAATTTATTTCTTGACAGACAATTTTTTGGACATAAATGATGAATCCAAGTCTGAACTATTCCTTGATTATGCAATTGAATCACTGAACACGCATTATATGATTTGCGGAATTTGCAACTTCAGAGACAAAATTATATGAAGTTTCCTCATCGACACCATGGCTTATAAAATTCGGGCAATAGTTTATTTTCTGCAATGCAGTGCTTGTATTTGAATTGTTAGAAAAAGCATGCCTCTATTTTCTTGCGTCTATGAGCACCCTACAATACTGCAATACTTTGTTTTATTTTATTAAAATTTCTCATCATCCAGTCATACTAATCCAGTAATCAGCCAATTGTTTTTTCCGCTTGTCCACCCACAACAGTAGAATGCAATCATAATACAGTACTAAGTTTTGTTAGAAGTATTTTAATTTAAGATATTTTCCTAATTTTGATCTTCATCAGCCTTAGCTGTATGTAGGTATGATAGATTCATACTCTATGAGTACCGGTACCGTATATGTAGATATACCGAACACCTTTTCTGCTTTTGCAATCTCTGAATCTCAAGTAACCTTTACCACTCCTTTAATATTATATGATATCCTGCATATCGTCACTCACTGGTGCTGTGAACATTCACTCGACTCAAGCTGTGATACATCGCTGCAACAAGCTGAATTAAATCATGCTCCCGCCTTCGAACACACGCAAGAAAACACTTTTTTATAAATACGCAATTCATTATAAATTCTTTTTTTCTTTTTTGTTAAATAAGTTCAAATCTTTATTACTCTTTACTGCTTTATGCGGATAATTAAATACCGCACCGGTAACTTGTGACCGGTATGTTAGTCGTTGCTTGTGACTGAAGCTTCTTTTCCACTTGCTATTACACTGTCCATTCTATTTAATTCAACAGTTTAGGTGCACTCTAACATAAATGTATTTTGTAAAGATTATGTATTAGTTTGAACATTATGAATGTTTCCCCAAGCATCGATTTCCTTGTTTATTTCCGTAACAACTGCAAATCACCAATAAGTTTACAAAGACGTAACAATGGGAATTTATGCCGCCGCTCAGACACTTCTTTCGCTCAGACAGATATTCAAGCGTGGTTGTAAACATTGCCTCTTTTCAGTAGTTTTGCGTGTTATTCGTCCAGTTATTTATCCAAGGTATATTTGTAAATCAAATAACTTAATTGTCATTATGTCTTCCGAGGACCTTTGGTTTAGTTACAATATTCAAAAATTAATACCGCAAACGCTGCGATGGACTAGTCCGAAATTAGCTTGTTAATATAGTTGGTTATTATAGTTAATATAGTTAATTAGCTTAGTAATATAGTTTCTGCAAGGTTACTAATTATTGCAACCAAGCGAGTAGTAGAGTATGTTGGATTCTTCCCTTCAGATTTTAATTTGCTGTGGTTCATTGTAATTGGATGTGGTTTTTATATCATTTATGTATTCATGCATTTTATGTTAAGGCACGGTATTAGTGTTTGAGTTGACTTGTTGGCCAAGGTATAGATAGTAAAATTTTGTGTGTTTTTTGCATGATGTGATAAAATTTTCTCTGTCTCAAGCAGAATGTCATCATAGATCATCTATCCATCGCTATATAATGACAATACATCCCATTTAATTAAACAATTATTTTTGCCTGTAATAAATAGTTCAGCGCGTTTCCCTTCACCCAATCATAGACACATCTACTCGCTACTTTTATTTTTTTGTTTTTTAGGTTACTTCAAAGTGAAGTAAAACACATAAGGAAAAAATCAAACAAAGACCCCGATATCCTGTGAAATAACAACCTTATTCCTATATCCTTGTCTGGAATCAATACCCAAGAATGAAAAACCTCACTTACACCCTTTGTAACCAATTTATTTTCATATCCTACTTTACTTAATTATAGTAATTTTACTGTTACCGCCTTAACTTTAATTACTTATTACAATCTGGACTAATTTGGCAATAATAGGCTCTAATTTGGGGAATGAAATGGTCTAGCTCTAGCCCACCTCTTCATGCACCCAATTCTGGCAACTTTGGTTGGGCAACTTGGCATTTGACTCCAACTATAATCAGCTTGACAATATGTTTTCAATAGAATCTTCCCTTTATATTTTAATTAACGATTAGAAGATTGATCAATTTGGCAATGGCAACCATTACAAAAATATCAATATAGTGTAGCAAATAATTTTTATTTTTTTATTTCTAGTATTTGTTTATTTATTTTTTGTTTACTGTATAGTACAGGGATGGCGAACCTTTTTCAATGAATGGGTCAAAAATCATATTTTTATCGCGGAACAGAAGAGAGTGGGTCACAGATATTTAATCAATGTTTGTATCTATAAGAAACTTCTGAAACAAATCATAATACAACGGTTCTGTTAATGTTGGTGTAGTTTAGTGCTTTATTTTACAGCACTTTATCAGGAACTTTTTATGGCACTCAATTAAGGGTACGAAAACCCACATATGAATTACGTTTTGGATGATGCGGCAAATTATTTTACGGTTTCAAAGAGTTTGAAGGGAATTCCACTCTGATAGTGCTATATTTTTATATCAGCTTTAACCATATAAAAAGCACTTTTACACTGCCCCATTGTTATTCCAGATTTCTAGGTTTTTATTTCAAGTCTGAAAGATTTTGTATCCTCAACGGCATTGTAGGCGAGAAACTAATAAAATGCAAAGAGGCATCTAGTTCTCGTACAACCCCTAAAACAGTCTGCAGATGCACTTCTGAAGAGACAAGACGTTGCGAGAAATGAACATCGATTGGATTGTTATGTCATAAACTACGCCAGAGCCAATAGCTGAAGAACGGCACACAACGGTGCAGACATGCGTCCAAGATTAGGGGTTTTGAATATTATCATACCGGAAATTAACAATTTGAATATAAGCGATCGCAGCCCTGACTGCCCAACTGACGGTACATTATAATAGTTTAGGTATTGTTAGATTAATTTAAGGCCGATTTTAATATTTTTTATCACAGATATGTTAGCATTTTTCCTATTTTATTCGTGCCTTGGCGGGTCACGAATAAAACGCGGTGGGTCACTTTGTGACCCGCGGGTCAGTGGTTCGCCATCCCTGGTATAGTATATCCTAAATTTATCGCGTTTTATTCTTACCCAAATAACTTCTCAGTGGCTGTGTGTGTGGCTGGCGGGTGCATGTGAGCGTGTGTGAAATAACTTAATAATTTTAGGTGAGTAAACACGTACCAATTCCTCTTGGCAAAACCTTCCATCTTATATTTTGTACGTTATAAACCTTATCTAAGGTTTCGTTTGCTCCCCTGATTTCATAATCAGTTTTTATTTATTTGTCTTTATCTGTCAAATGTATTGTTATTCTGATTATGGAGTCGAAATAAACTTATACCTATACTAGCTATCAGTACCTATACAAGTGCAGTTTCAAGTATTCTGTGGCGTCTGCAGCTGCCGCAAAACAATGGCGGTATTTCCATACCATGGCGGCTACGGCCAAACCTATGGCGACCATTGAGGTGTATATAACAGGTGTTATATACACCTCAATGATGGCGACTGACTTTTTAGCTGCCACAAACCAATGACGAGCTGCCGTTACCGCGGCAGCAAATTGAAAACCTATGGCAGGTAAAATTTTACTGCCGTAACCACGGCAGGTGGGCCGTAAAGACAGGGCTGTTCCTTATGGTGACAAATATTGGGTAAGTTGGGACGTTTTTCTTATGGATACAGCTTTGATGGACTTGTGGTTAGGGTTTAAGTAGATATAATTCCGCATGATCAATTAAATTCTGGTACATTAATTTGTGAATATACCGTTAATACTAAATGCTGAATGAACCTTTCCCCAAGCATCCACCACCTTGTTTACTCCGTGACATCGGCCAATCAGCAAGATGCAAAAAGTGACGTAACAATGCTCCCTTTCCGCTCAGACACTTTTCTCACTCAGACAGATTTTCAAGCGCGGTCGTAAACATTACCTCGTTTTCGCGTTTTTGAACTCTATTAGTTAGTTTTCAGTTGTGTTTCGTAAACCTAAATATAAATAAGATATTTCAATGATCACTCTGTCTTTCTAGGAGTTTTTAATTTA